CCAGATACTAACTCAGATGGGGATCCGGCTGAGGATGAGACTGACCCACATGAGGCAGTGGTACCAGAGGAAGAAACGGCGGATATTGAAATGAGCCGCTTGCGTGACAACATCGCTGAAGACATGTGGGCTCAATATGGGCAAGTTTTGCATGAACAAGTACTAGCAGATGGTGATGACTTAGATGAAGAGGACTTACTTGGCCTGGATGGTGATGACAACGCAGACGAGGATGAGGGCGCAGATGCAAACAATGATATTCATGTATAGTTCTTACACGTGTATTAGAACCCAATGCTACATGATTGTGGACTCGAAAATGATGGTGGGACAACAAACAACAAAGCAGACAGAAAACAGCGCGACAATCACAGAACATACAGCCTAAGATACATTGTACAAGTAAGGGACGAGATGTGAAAGTGATACCTACTTCGCTGCATGAGCCTCAAGAAGCGCCTTGATATAAGAGCGGCGTGGTCCCAGTGGGCTTTGCACATAAATCTCCATCGCCCGCTCATTGCTTGTAAAAATTAGTAACAGTCGGCCTAAGTCCTCTGCAGGCACCTCCGCATCTTCGGTTTGCATAAGGATCATGGCGCGATCAAGAGCGGTTGCAACCAAGGGGGGAGGGGGTGGAGGAGGTGGTAGTGGTGGTGCAGGCGCAGGCGCTGCAGTGACGGCTTTTTCGAGAATGTCACCAATGCGGTTGATGGAACCCTGCATGCCAACAACAGCAGTGGCAGGTGAAACCTTCAACCCTCGTGCTGCACTGGTCATCATTGCGACCGCACTGTCACCGTGACGTCCAGATCGCGATTTTTTTGCAGGAGGGGGTGCTGATACCAAGGTAGAGGACGGCAAGGGACCAGAAAAATGACGGATAGCTGGATAGGTGAGTTGATGATTCTATGTTGCACGATGCATCATCATGAGTGCGTTTTCCAGTGCCAATACTGGATGCAACAGTGGAAGGAGGCAAGATGGGAAGACGAGAAGCATTGAAGTTGGTATCGCGAGGCAGTTCCATGGTAGCAGCAACAGGGTCATTACTGGCACTGGCAGCTGATGCGATGATGGTTGCAGCAGCAGCAGTAGTGATGACATGCTCTGCACCAGGCTCAACATCATCGTCAGCCAGTACTGGAGCTGCAGCAGCAGCCGGATGAAATGCGTGAGTTCCCTGAGCGCCAGTGCCATTTGGGAAGATCTCAGCTAGTTTGTCGTAGTATATCCACCCGCTGTTGGCAAATGGCCGCATTGAAGCGCGGGACGTCTATTTAATATATTAGATTACAGTAGATAGCTTTGAACAGGGGACGTACACTTGATGTGACGTGAATAAACTAGCTTGCGGAGGTGAGGGTCGAGCCAGTCCATTGTGGTGCTAGTCAGTAGATAGGGAAGGTTCGAGCTCCGACTGACCAAAGGTATATGCTGGGAGCATGCCGGTGCAACTCACATTGCGCCAGATGTGCAACATGGCAAATATGCCCCAACATCGAGTTGCCGAACTGGCTCTGACTAGCACCACAATGGACTGGCTCGACCCTCACCTCCGCAAGCTAGTTTATTCACGTCACATCAAGTGTACGTCCCCTGTTCAAAGCTATCTACTGTAATCTAATATATTAAATAGACGTCCCGCGCTTCAATGCGGCCATTTGCCAACAGCGGGTGGATATACTACGACAAACTAGCTGAGATCTTCCCAAATGGCACTGGCGCTCAGGGAACTCACGCATTTCATCCGGCTGCTGCTGCAGCTCCAGTACTGGCTGACGATGATGTTGAGCCTGGTGCAGAGCATGTCATCACTACTGCTGCTGCTGCAACCATCATCGCATCAGCTGCCAGTGCCAGTAATGACCCTGTTGCTGCTACCATGGAACTGCCTCGCGATACCAACTTCAATGCTTCTCGTCTTCCCATCTTGCCTCCTTCCACTGTTGCATCCAGTATTGGCACTGGAAAACGCACTCATGATGATGCATCGTGCAACATAGAATCATCAACTCACCTATCCAGCTATCCGTCATTTTCTGGTCCCTTGCCGTCCTCTACCTTGGTATCAGCACCCCCTCCTGCAAAAAAATCGCGATCTGGACGTCACGGTGACAGTGCGGTCGCAATGATGACCAGTGCAGCACGAGGGTTGAAGGTTTCACCTGCCACTGCTGTTGTTGGCATGCAGGGTTCCATCAACCGCATTGGTGACATTCTCGAAAAAGCCGTCACTGCAGCGCCTGCGCCTGCACCACCACTACCACCTCCTCCACCCCCTCCCCCCTTGGTTGCAACCGCTCTTGATCGCGCCATGATCCTTATGCAAACCGAAGATGCGGAGGTGCCTGCAGAGGACTTAGGCCGACTGTTACTAATTTTTACAAGCAATGAGCGGGCGATGGAGATTTATGTGCAAAGCCCACTGGGACCACGCCGCTCTTATATCAAGGCGCTTCTTGAGGCTCATGCAGCGAAGTAGGTATCACTTTCACATCTCGTCCCTTACTTGTACAATGTATCTTAGGCTGTATGTTCTGTGATTGTCGCGCTGTTTTCTGTCTGCTTTGTTGTTTGTTGTCCCACCATCATTTTCGAGTCCACAATCATGTAGCATTGGGTTCTAATACACGTGTAAGAACTATACATGAATATCATTGTTTGCATCTGCGCCCTCATCCTCGTCTGCGTTGTCATCACCATCCAGGCCAAGTAAGTCCTCTTCATCTAAGTCATCACCATCTGCTAGTACTTGTTCATGCAAAACTTGCCCATATTGAGCCCACATGTCTTCAGCGATGTTGTCACGCAAGCGGCTCATTTCAATATCCGCCGTTTCTTCCTCTGGTACCACTGCCTCATGTGGGTCAGTCTCATCCTCAGCCGGATCCCCATCTGAGTTAGTATCTGGGATAGGACCCTCCTGTGGGTCGTGCAGGCGTATAAAGTTGTGAATTGTACATAGAGCAGCTGGAATCTGCGCTTGAATGTTTAAGTTATACCTTGGTGCGAGGATGAGGATGCGGAAGCGATGCTTTAAGACGCCGAAGACACGTTCAATGACGTTCCTTGCCATGGCATGGCGAAGATTGAATAGCTCCTCTTTATTGCACGGCCTACTATCAATGTTAGTGTGCGTTCCAAAGAATATGGACTGTCTTACCTTACACTCGCTCATCCCCACTCAGCGAGATGGTAGCGGACATTACGGTATGGTATCAGGAGTCCACGGCGTAGAGGGTAACCAGCATCAGCTAGAAAGTATTTTTCTTGGGAGATCTTAAGGACTTTGGTAGACGCGTCCTCAAAAACACATGCATCTGTGGCGGATCCCTCCCAACCGGTAAGGACATAGGTAAAATTCATGTCGAAGTCGCATGCGAACAGGCAGTTTTGAGAGACGAGACCTTTGCGATCGCGGTAGGCAGCACGTTCAAGTGCAGGAGGTGTAGCATGGATATGGCTCCCATCAAGCGCCCCAATGGCGTCCTTAAAAAACGGCCAGAATTTGGGATTCTGGCGAATTTTGCGAGAAACTGCTTCATCTGATGGGAGGTGGACGTATTTTGAATAGAATGGCGGGGTTGATAGAATTACGAGCATCCTTCGAAAGTATCTAGATATAGCGTGACAAATGAGTCCAGTCCATGAAAATATGACACTTACCGAGATATTGTCTCATTGGAACGCTGAAATCTTTCACCAATATGCCTGATTGACAGGCCTGTGACAGCGGCATACAGGAAAATGGCGAGTTGCTCCTCTAGAGAGACAAACTTGGAGTCGGAATACCCAAGGGTACAGAGTTCTGATATGAGCTCTGCAAAGACATGGGCATGCACTCCAAGCTCACAACGAATGCGCTCCGGATGACCAGTGAGTAATTCGACCACCCATGCTTCACCAGAAAGCGCTGATGTATGGTAGGGTTGTGGGTCCCTTGGGTACATAGATGCTACAAGACTGCCGGAGGCATGGATGAGAATGCTGAGTAGAAGTACTACATACTGTATGATTTTATGATGAACCTGAGACCGGTTTTGAAGACGAAGCCCTGGAAAGACTTCGGGTAGGGACTCCATAGTACTATGAAGGATTCACGAGCCCAGGGATACAGTCGTCTAACCTAGGATTACATTCAAGCTCCGACTATATGCCGGAAGCATGCCGGTGCAACTCACATTGCGCCAGATGTGCAACATGGCAAATACACCCCAACATCGAGTTGCCGAACTGGCTCTCACTGAATGTATTGATTTCTGGACATGTGTTGCCAAGTAGCGCACATCGACACCCCCAATCTTGGTTGACCCCTCTGCCGTGGGAATTATTTGGTAGTGTATATCTCTCATATTGTATAGCGAAAAGGCAGCTCCCGTCGCTATACATTATGAAAAAGTGTAAGTACTGTACCAGATATGGAGGTCATTCACGCTATGACTGCGTTCACGATTTTCACAAACGAAGCACGGGATAAAAGTCGATCATCTTCTGACGCCCTGAAGTACGCATGCCAAACTGGGTCTTCCATCTCTCGCGAGCTCCAAGTCCAACGGACGACAGGCTTAACCGTGCATTCAAGGTCTTTTGGGATCGCCACCTTCTCTCCTGGCTTGAAAGGCAATGGTGCTTAAAAGGCTTGCGGTCTTGCCTCCTTGCGTTATCCGAAGGGCAGAAACTTGCACAGGTGTGTTCTCAGTGACTTTCATGTATCAAGCACCTGACCTGCGCACAAAGGAACGTCTCGTTGAAGCTACAGGGTCATCTCAGTCCCAGGTCTGAACTGTCGATTTTATGCATTGTATGTCGTTATCTTGCGTTGATACTATTTCCCTTTCGCGTCGCTTGTGTATTTACAGTATTTGGAATGTTGAATATAATATAGAATGTCGGTGTTTACTACATGTTGAAATCCATCGCAATACAAAATGACATGAAGATTCTAAATTTAGGACGAACGAGTCCTAGTGTAGGGGGGCAAAACTACTTGGCTTTAGTTTTGCCGGTTATAACCGGCAAAACCGGCAAAACGAGGTAGCCACAGCATGCACGATCCAACGTAGCGGTGTTTTTGCAAATTTTAGACGCATTCACCAAGTATATAAAGAATGCCAATCGAGTAGAGAAATCTTTAGAGTTGTCTATCTCGCAACTTCTTCAACACTCGTTCATGCAATGCCCTTGCCACACCGCTCACAAAAGAGCTATCACAAACTACCCCGGCGTCGATGTAGGCCACCCTTGCATGTTCGTCTTTTATACGCACAGACTTTATGGCATCAATAACAAGGGTCTTGAAGTCTGGAATTGGTAGCAGAGTGAAAAGCTCGGGAGATGGTGATGATATTGAGGAGCTTGAGCCGAAAAGAGAGTATGACGCATCTAGGATAGCAATCCGTTGTTCCGTCATTAACCGGAAGTCAAGAGCATGTCTACCACGTTATGTTAAGTTCCGATTATGAGCATATAATGAAGAACTGCACCTGAGGTCGCCATATAGCACCCTCCACCAGCCTAAGCCTTTGACGTATGTGTCTACCCATGGTTCGGATGTACCAGTCGTAGCCGCTATACGTGGTCGACCTCTACCACGTCCTGGCGACTGCTTGGTGTCACGGGAGCTCGCTCTCATGTGTTCAAGTTCCACTGCTATAGGAAGGGTGTTTCGAAGGAGTTCAACAAGGCGGTCGAGTGAGGATGCCAATGGACCATGGCGGAGAACGTGGCAGAGATATGGCTCAGCTTCTTCATGGGGATTGGTTCGTAGCTGGTGATTTGAGAAACGAAGATGAGGCGGAGCGAGAGAGGAAGGTTGTAGGAGGGTCGGCGAAGGCGCACAACGTGAAAAGCGTAGCTCGAAAGATCCACCTGTAGGCGATAGCTGATCCGTACAAGTAATTAAGACCGTATAATCCTGCAGAAGTGGGGTGAAACATTACTCGACAAATGAACGGTGAAGCTCACTGAGGCGTACGCAAACTCCACAGTTTGTAGGTCAAATGATAACAGTCTCACGTCCGGCCATTTCTTCCCTTTCGCCATTCGTGCCACTGCATTGCTAAGCATCAATAATACATCGACAACTTCAAGCACGGCATACCTTCACGGGCAATGACGACCATTTTAGAAACGCGGGCCCACTCCTCTAAAAACTCGTCCACACAGGTATCGACCTCTTCAGATAAAAAGGAGACCACAGCCTCGGCCGCGTCATAGATGATTCTTTTCGATGGACGAATGATATTTTTTACTGCTAGACCCTGCCGCGGCACGCTTCCCAACTGGCTGTTGTACGTACTTCAATTTCACGCATGTCACTACCTGCGCCTTCTTGTCTGACCACCAGTTCAATGGTATGACGCGGATGTTAGGCATGGCCGCCTCGGCTGCTGGTGCGCCTGATAGAATGTCTGAGGACTGAACACAAAGTGCCGGTACAGAACGTGCAAGGGATGATTGAATGTGTCCAAGTTCGGATATCTGTGGGAGGGTGACAGTGGGGTTGACATGGGTGTAGGGGATGCCACGAAGCTTAAACTGGCGCTCGACTCGGGTGTATGCAACGCGTGCGCTAGAAGAACAATTGAGAATTATTGGATGACGACGGAATAAGGCTTTCATACCAACAATATGCATAAAGTTCCCGGAGTACTTGCGTCTCCAAGTTGAAACTATGCTTACATGTTAGCAACACAAACCGGAGAGCTGAAAGATATCTCACCTATCTTCGCTTCTTGATAATTCTGAAGGGATATCATCTCGTTTTCTCTTTTGCAACACCAGTGGTTCGTGCGACATAGATGATATCACAACTTCATCCATGCCAACGCCAACACTCCTATCACCTCGTATTCGTCTCACATCAAGCCAGCCGATATCCTCCATAATCATGTTGCCAAACATCGTGTCCGAGAGCATTTTTGTTGATATAAGCGCGTACCTGAACTCTTCGTCTGTGAGGACAAGCACGAGGTAGTGCGTAGGGAAGTTGGCAAGCTGGATATACATCATGCCGCGCGCTGCGGATCCAAGCTTTTGAATTTCTGAGACGGACGTGAGACGGAGCATAAATATGAATTAAGAGCACCAAACCTTCTTTGGGAAGTTTCGATGTCGGAAACACTTGGAAGCCAAGGTAATTGGCTTTTTGTTCCACAATATCTGTAATCGTCTGCCAATATACTGCCGTGAGGATCGTAATCAGTGTAAAAGTAAGATCGCGTACGTTAAATCGTAGTCTGATGAGTAACATCGAAAAGCAGATTGGGTGCTTCGTTGAGTTTGTCAGATAGTGCAGAAAATCGTGGTCCTCGGCCAGCTGCTGCGAGGTCACCAGTATCTCGAATGCTCAGCCGGCCTGTCCTGGTGTCGATGGACACGATCGCGACTTCGTCGGCACAGAGATGTACCCGCAGAGAATGATAACCCCCTTGTGTAACATTTAACGCGAGATCAGAATTGTGATTGTTTTGTACCCACTCTCAGAAACCAGAACCACTTTGCCTGCAGGGGAGAATACCCGAATAAGACCCCGTTGAAGCTGGACCAGGTAGAATCTCAGGATTGCTTGTGTGTGCACCTCGATCACCTTTCTCAACATTGACTCAAAGTCAATATTATCAGACTCCTATCGAACGTATGTTGTGAGCAGCCTCGTCATGGAGGAAATATTGACATACAACCGCAAGCTCGTTAACCGCAACTATCGCTTCCTCAGCGTCGATATTGGCAGCCAACACGCCCTTCATCGGTTCCCATTTTGCGTCAAACTGCAGGCTTTCAACATCATCAGAAGGGCGCATGTCACCTAATTTTGACTTTCGCTGAAGCTCGGCAAGCATCCGCGCTATAGGTGATCGCGCAGCTTTTTTGTCAACCTTCTCGACAATAGAAATAGTCAAGGTACCACCATGCGGTGGTAATTTGAGACGATTGGGGGCCACCACGGGGGCTCCGGGTTGTGGAGGTCGCCTGAGTGCACATGAGCAACAGGAGAATGATCCATGAAACTGAGGGCCTTACATCCAATACGATACAGCAAGTGTTTTACGCCCATCACGCATCTCAACTTTGAGGAAGTCAGGCCCAACCAAGGGAGCGCATCCTCTGAGCCTGTGGAAAGCCGTCAGCTAACAACATTGTGATCATGAAGATTTACTTGGTAGCACAATATTTCAAGTTGATAGGACATGGACATCATTTCTGTGCGTCTCCGTGAATTACCGTCCAACGAAAAGAAACTCTTTCACTTACGAAGGAAATTAAAGAGCCTCACGAGAGGTGCATCTACCGTTCCCTCTGGAAGCTGCGGTCGCGGTGGATCTTCTGGATTCGGAGCAAATTCTTGTTTATCTGGGAGCGGAAGGTAACATGACATCCGTCGATCAGCCTCGTCTGCAATGTGTCGTCTGAGGAGGCCGGTGGGCTCGGAAGGGAACTCTAGGTGTACACGCCATAAACGACAATATGCAGTGAATCAAACGACATCAATACCTTGCATGCCTGTGAGGTCACCACCAACAGTGATCAGGAATTTGACACTATCAAAGAACCAGCTGTCATTCTTCTCTGCACCTCCTAGGTAGATGGCAGTTTCGAACAACTTGGGGACCGAGAAGTGCACACGTCCATTAGCTGAGATGAATTGAGTGAGGGACTTGGGATTATAAGCTCAGAAAGATACCAATGCGATGCTGAAACATTTCCACCGGGATTATCTCCGACATACGGAGACGGTAGCGGATGGCGTCTTCCATGTCACTGAGCGTACTTATAACTTCAGCGTCTGTTAAGGGAGTAATTGGAATGATAGATTTCTGTGGGAAGACATGAGCATAATCCTAGCATATGGCAAGATGGGGAAAACCTTGATGCCAGAAGGTAGCCGCTGATATGTTGCCCGTAGTAAGAACATCCAGCGAGGTGAGTAAGTCATGATTTCGTAGCCTACGGCATAGAACGCGTGAGGACAAGCGTGAGGGTGTGCAATATTTCTGTACCTGGAAGGATCCAAGCTTTCCTTTGCGTACGTCAGACCTCTCATGACATCTTCGAATTGCTGGTTCTGATTCATGAGAAAAGCAGTGATGTTCTGGAAAAAGATCATGAAGTGTAAAGCCCTGATGAAAACGCGTCACTCGCCATGCATTTCTGTACGGTATCTGCATCCCGCGCCCACTTAGTGATGGCATACAGCTTTACAACTTGCTTCTTAGTCTTCACGACCCAATCAGCGAGCGTGCGTTTTCGAGCACCATCGGACATATTTGGAAGGCTTAATGGAGGTAGTTCAAAGGACATATATGGAGTGAACATGGGGTACACTCACGTCTCAGCAAGTTCAGACAGCTCAGCATAGATGGCCTGGGCCACTCTAGAAAGAAGGTCGCCCAGCGGAACCTGGCCATCAAGAACTCGAGGGAGCTCATTCTCTAGCTCCTCCATAGAGGGCTCGTGGTAGCCGTTGAGGTTGTTAATGATGACTGCAGTTTGTGAGCTACGGGTTAGCGCATAGTCCGTAGGACCATCAGCGCTGCGAGGTAGTAATGGTTATTAACAAAGAGCCGACACTCTGTACCAAATATAGTACTTATTTCCTTTTCCATAACTGTGTATTTGATTACATAATCAGTGAAGTTCTAGATTTTTCCCCGAACATTTTTATTGCGAGTTTTTACCAACTCTTTCTTCTGCTCGTTCTCTCTTCTTTTCCTGAAGTTCTAATTTGTTGTTGAAGTAGCTATGCACACGTCTTCCCGTGCCCTCCGTCGCGCTGCCGCAAAGGTTAAGCCTACTCTGACCCGCGGTGCACACAAGGAGATCAAGTTCAGCAACGACGGTCGTGCTAGCATCCTCAAGGGTGTCGACGTCCTTGCTAATGCAGTCAGCGTCACCCTTGGTCCAAAAGGTTAGTACCACCTCTTTCACTCTTGCAAACCGAACTAGAACTAAAAAAAATCGCGATTTCACAGGCCGCAACGTCATTATCGAGCAGAGCTTTGGTGGCCCCAAAATTACGAAGGGTAAGCCCTTTCTCTCTCTCTAGGTCTACTCTTACCTGAATCACCATCAGATGGAGTAACCGTGGCTAAAAGCATTAGTCTCAAGGACAAGTTTGAAAATCTCGGCGCCCGGTAAGTTCCTTTTGTCCCACTGTCAACATACCACTTACGCGTTCGCGAAACAGGCTCGTGCAGGATGTCGCGCAAAAAACAAACGAAATTGCTGGTGATGGCACTACTACCGCAACCGTCCTCGCTCGTGCTATTTATGCTGAGGGCGTCAAGAACGTCGCGGCAGGGTGCAATCCCATGGACCTCCGTCGCGGTGCTCAATCCGCCGTACAAAAGGTTGTCCAGTTCTTGGAAGCCAACACCAAAACGATCACCACCACAGCTGAGATTGCACAAGTCGCCACCATCTCTGCTAACGGTGACGAGCATATTGGTGGACTGATTGCACAAGCAATGGAGAAAGTTGGGAAGGAGGGTGTCATCACCGTAAAAGAGGGCCGGACGATCGAGGATGAGATTGAGGTGACGGAGGGCATGCGCTTTGACCGCGGTTACATCTCCCCGTACTTCATTACCGACGTCAAGACTCAAAAAGTCGAGTTCGAAAAGCCCTTCATTCTCCTCTCCGAGAAGAAAATTTCGTTACTACAGGACATTCTCCCATCCCTCGAGACTGCCGCCTCCGCTCGCAGACCGCTGGTTATTATCGCAGAGGATGTTGATGGCGAAGCCCTCGCAGCTTGTATTCTTAACAAGCTCCGCGGCCAGCTCCAGGTCGTAGCCGTCAAGGCACCCGGTTTCGGTGACAATCGCAAGAGCATCCTTGGCGATCTCGCCATCCTCACCGGCGGCTCAGTCTTCACTGATGAACTGGACGTCAAGCTTGAGCACGCAACAGCTGACCTCCTGGGCAGCACTGGCAGCATCACCATTACCAAAGAGGACACCATCGTCCTCAATGGTGCCGGCTCCAAGGATGCCATCTCAGCACGGTGCGAGCAGATCCGTGCACTCCTGAACGACCCCACCACTTCCGAGTTCGACAAAACGAAACTCCAAGAACGTCTTGCGAAGCTCTCAGGAGGTGTCGCCGTCATCAAAGTTGGTGGATCATCTGAAGTCGAGGTCGGAGAAAAGAAAGACCGATACGACGATGCACTCAATGCAACGCGTGCAGCTGTCGAGGAGGGTATTCTCCCGGGTGGTGGTGTCGCACTTCTCAAGGCCAGTCTTTCGCTCAAGACAGCCGCAGCTGGCGAACCTGCCTCCTCCGACCCCGATATCATCCCAACTGCCAACTTTGACCAAGGCCTTGGCGTTAGCATCATCCGCCGCGCATTGGCACAGCCCGCACGCACGATCCTCACCAACGCGGGTGAGGAAGCAAGCGTCATCGTCGGCACGCTTACAAACTCGTCCAACACCTCCTTCGCATATGGTTACGACGCGGCAAAGGGCGAGTACACCGACATGATCGCGCGTGGTATCGTCGACCCGCTCAAGGTGGTACGGACAGCACTCATAGATGCTGCAGGTGTCGCAAGCTTGCTGACAACAAGTGAATGTTGCATTGTAGATGGTGAGGAGGAGAAACCTGCTGGTGGTATGCCCGGTGGCATGGGCGGCATGGGTGGTATGGGCGGCATGGGCGGGTTTAAGTAAGGACTCAATGTTGAGCCTTACCTGCGACCTTGTGATGCGCGGGGTACAGTAATTTCTATCCGCCGTCAGTAGTCACCTCATTTATGCTGATTTATTATACTTTTGCTCTGTTGTTGCACGCCGCTACGCCCCCCTCACCATCATGCACTTCACGTATTTGTAAACCACATTATTACTTACTTACTTGCATGGAATTGAAACACCACTCAGTTTACGTCTCCTTTGTGTGGTTTTCGATATCTGCATGCACAGCATGCTACTAGATGCATGAACAGTTGTGGTGCTTTGATGACCTGTCCGAGTTCGTGGATGTCGCCAATCTGACGGACATCAAGCTCTCTCGCCGAAATCGACGTGTCTACGTCTCGTATCTATCACTGGTTTGCCAGTGTTCTCATTATGATTCTGGTCCGAAACCAACAAAGCGGGTGACTTTTCGAATTCCTTTGCTACGATTTCTGCTCTATGATGGATCTCTCCTTTATGTAAGGTATTTGCAATTCACATCCGCTTGCCTCTCATGTTTGTCTTGCTAATTTTCGCCTTCCAATCGGCATCTCTTCTCGCTATTGCGTCTCACCCCGATCTGGCGGCTGGCAGAGTAGAACGAAGTGGGAAGGTTTTTTTTTGGGGGGGGCCTCTAGCCTGATCGGCATGATGAGCATCTGATTATCTGCGATCCGTGGAGTCTTTCCCTGACCTCATTGGCATGCGATACTTAGAGTCGTCGTTGCACGCGTTCCACAGACATATATTCGTCCTCTCCCCATCCCGAGTGTGTTTGAGGTAGTGGAACAAACTCTGTTTCTCTACTTCAAACGCATGGAGAGGAAGAGAGTTTACGGTGGTTGTCACACAGGAAGTGCAGGAAGCGTGTCGTTTTGTCCACTGCGACGCATAGTATTTAAGCTGTCATTTATATTCTTTAGGTTGTCGTTAATTAATTATAACCTTCCCATATCTCCGAGTTTGAGATTTCAAAGCTGAGAACATATCTGGAGTTGGGGAAGGGTATTTCATCAGAGTTGATATTACGCAGTATACGTACGGTGCAGGGAGTGGTGAACATATCTACAGTACTGTGCGTGCCGAAGCACTATTCACCATTTCCTACATCGATCATACGAGCAGGATGTAAGTTGAAACCCGAACTTGAACGCGGGTGATTCAAGCTTCAATATCAATGTCTGCCAGAAATTAACTCACTCTAGCCCGGGCCTCACCCTGTCTTCTCAATATTGATGTCTTCATTGAAAATGTTCCACCACCACCACCACCTCGTGCGTTGGAGATAGTAGAGCTGACAACCTGCAATACCGTTGATCTCGAACGCACGAGGGAGAGCGAGAGAGCGTTTTTTTTTCGTTCGAGCTGGGTTTGTTGATGAAGAGTCGGGTTAAGTTGTTGTCCATGAAGAGTATGTGGTTGTGCAGGACGTACATATTTTGCCACCCGCTTATGTATGGTGTCCCTCAACTATAAGACTGCCAATGTCATTCGTAGACTGGTCATCACTTGGTGACAGACCGGTCATCACTTGGTGACAGACCGGTCATCACTTGGTGACAGACCGGTCATCACTTGGTGACAGACCGGTCATCCCCCGAATGTGCTCTCAATTACGAGATTGTAGCTACAAGACATTCGGAGTGGGGGGAAAGAAGTTAGCGTGGGTTTTTACTGGACGGTCGAGGCGATGGACTGCAAACGGTGTGGGGAGTGGTGACTTACTATGCTCGATGTGCGTGTTCTATATGCAAGCATGGGATATCACTTCGAACATCGTAAGAACATGATGTAAGGCGACATGATAATACAGGCAAGCTTGAAAATCACTTATGATGGACGCATTGGGGAATGGTTGAAAGGTCGCGGTAGAGGATGTGTTGCCCGCAGTGGGCAGTGAATCAAAGCAGCGTGTGATGAAAAGGACGGTCCGACTGTTTTCCGGGACTAGCGGCAAGTCCCTCAAAACGGGAGTCAAAGAGGACAGAGACGAGCCCCTCAAAACAGGTTACACGAGCCAGAAAAGGAAACTGGGTGTGAGAAACTGTAAACATATGAAACAAAATGAACGGGAGACGGGGGGTCCAGGAATAGTTTTCATTCTTTGCTTTCAAACCTCATCTGTTCTACCATCACAGTCTTGTAACAAGCAATCTAACTTATTTCCTTCTTGCGAAATCGTTATCAAAGCTCTCGCGGCAGACTTAGGGTGTTGTTAACACAGGGTAGGGATGGTTGATAATGAGATGAGTTAGTGGATGTATTTTATCCAAACTCCCTTCATTAGCTGCCGTTTCAACTTGAATGGATGCCGATGTCAAGGATGATGTGCACATATACGAGGACGCTACAACTATAGGCTGTCTCAGCCTGTCTGCCGTAACGATGGCGCCATCAGGCGTCCAATATAGTTTCTGACTTGGCTTTTCTCGCTCTTGTCCAAACCCTTGCAACAGTCATTTATTCGTTATTGCTTCAGACACTCTACGAGACCTTCGGCCGAGTATTTTACAACCCGTTTTTCCCTTTCTCTCTTCCCCCCGTTTCTTTCCGAGTACTGATTGGCTTAAATACCGTACTTACTCGTAACGTTACCTTGGTGTTTTCTGGGCCCTCGAATTGCAGACTTTTATTCTATCATTCGAGCCGCACACGCTAAATAGTCAATACCACATCTTTTTTGACATCCAAAAGTCTACTTGAATCCTTTGTCAAAACAATCTCTACTCTACATCGTCATCTGGATCTTATCGGTTTGGCCCACCGAACAGTACCAACGACGATGTCATCACACTACAACCTTCAACCTCAATGCTCCGCTGTCACCAGCGTCGAGCCCACTATACCCAGAACATTAGCAGAGTCTCCCTTGATTGAGCAAGAGACTTACAAAACCCCAACTCCCTCACCAACCGAGAGCCCCGTCTCACGTGTTGGTGAGTCCGTTCTCAAACCCGTCCGCTCCTACAGCGACGTGGTACGAACGAGGTCCGTCACACCCCAGCCTTGTGCTGGAGTGCGTTCGGCAAGCGTTAGCAGCGCTACGGCCAGTCCCCGTGATTGGACCTCCCTAGTGGAACCAACTAGTAATAAAATTGTCGAGAATCCTTTCTTGAGCACGAGTGAGTCGTCAGGTGAATCGGATGATGAGAACACACCTTGGACGATGATTGATGACTCGTCGTAAGCCCTTCGACACAGATAGAATAATGTTTTCTGTCGAATGACAGGATGAAAGTCTGCGATTCAGGGGTCCAGAAAACACTAAGCTAACATTACGGGTAAGTATGGTATTTAAGCCAATCAGTACTCGGAAATAAACGGGGAGAAAAGACGAAAGGAAAGGACATGTTGTAAAGTGCTCAGCCGAAGGCCTCTGAAGCAATAACGAATAAATGACTGTTACAAGGTTTGGACAAGAGTGAGAAAAGCTTAATCACTGGAAAGTATATTGGACGCCTGATGGCGCCACTGTTACACCTACATATCTTGAAGTACCAGAACGTTAGGTAGGGAACGATGTAATGTAAGTTGAGATTCTGCCATAAAATGTGCAAAGAATAAACGCCATGCAGAGAAGTTTCGCCATAGCCTTCATTCTTTACCACCATACGGCATACGAGCGAGGATGCAACTTCTTGAAGCTTTGAAGCGTCAACTTGAATAAGTGAGCATCTCCAAGACTTTGTCATGACCTTGGGTCTTGAAGATACTCACCTTAACAAGTGGTCACACACTCCTCGTCAAGTGAGTATGTACTAACTACACTGATAGGAGTCGTTTCCCCGACATACCCCAACGCAGTAACCAACTTCCTTCATCCACCATCCAGCTCCTGCCATTACCCGCTTTAGATTACCCACACGAACAGTAGTACATGGGCTACATCGTTAAGTATTATCACAACTGGCGACAGCGACATCCATAACCTGCGCTGGCGGCCGTCAAAGTTTACATCGATCTCAAGCCAACCTCCCTCAACATGTCTGGACAATCCAACAACGTCGAAGGCCCCATCCAATTTGAGCATCTGATCAAGGCCATGGCGATTCTCTCAAGGCCTACCCGAATCATATGTGCGCTCAAATCAAGTGGCTCAGAATTTCGTTTGATCTGGGTGGGTCGGAAGAATGCGGAGGCCGTGCGTTTTGCTGTGGGTCTTGTGGAGCTGGTCAACTTGAATTAGTGTACGTGTCAAGTTCTCATTGAATTTTCCCAGCACGTAGTAGATATATTAAATATCTGCAATGCGTTCCTAATGTCCATCTAGGCTGCTTGGCTGGCTTTGTTCCCTGACTTTCGTTGCGCGCATGTTCATGTGTTTGAGGTAGTGGGATAAGTAAGTATATCACTTTCTCAAACGCACGAGGGAGTGCAACAATCAACTGTGCAAGGGAGTTTTGATTCGACTTGGCTTTTTCAGCTGTTTTGCACATCGTTCATTTCGCACCATCCTTGTCACGCCTTAGTTTGCATACAATCGATACGAAGTACAATGCGCAATATTGTATATAATGAATGTTCGTGGTATTCCTCTGCCCAAACCCAACGGAGCATATTCCACCGTGCTATTCCATCTCCCGATCCAACCATAGTTTCGTCATTTCGTTCCACTGCGGACAATGCTGACGAATTTCTCCCGCCCATCATCGACTTGAGTCATCTCCAATAATACTACTGGAAGTTTTGGAACTGACTCCATGCCGGGGGCGCCCATTGGGGCAGCAATGCCCACAACCTTCGTCACCGATTTCTTGCAAACCGGGCACCGAGTGCAGGAACCGTACGATGCGCACTCCGAGCAAACGGCGTGGTGACAAGGACGAATGCTACAGAACAAGCCGGTAAGCGATCACTTCATCCGCACGAGGAAAAATAAGGTTTGCTATCTAGTACGTACACACAGCCCAGCATATTGTTTTGGCATTTGCATTTTTGCAAAGGGACATCCACGCCGGGCTCGTAACTGACGCCTGTCCCCGCACCCATAACGGAATCTAACGTAGAAACAGATTTGATCGTCTTAAATGCGTCATATCCGTGGATATCAGTTGGCACTTCATTGAAGATGTCGAAGAAGGGAAAACCTGCTGCCGCATACACTTTGACGTCAACTGGGGTTGGGGGTGCCATCATCTTGGTAACATGTTCAAAGTGGGTCGCATTCAGAACTTGTACGTTGAAGACCTTTGCCCTCTCGACGTCCCAGATACGTGGATTGTTGTGATCTTCGTTGATGGCCTGCTTGATCATCCCACCAGCGCCGAAACTCATCGTTGGCATCATTTCCCCCGCCCCCTCTCAGTCTCAAGATCATATGGAGCGTCGACTCCTTTTGAATGTTGTAGTCCGAAAGCTTCCAGTCATCTTCAAGCTCATTTTTGGCAAAGATGAGCCGTTGCTGGTCCGGCGGAATTCCTTCCTTGTCTTGAATCTTTGATTTGAGATTTTGTATAGTATCGCAACCTTCTACCTCGAGAGTTATTGTCTTTCCCGTGAGAGTCTTCACAAAAGTTGCCCCCCGCAAGTTGGCACATTCTGCATACCGCTGTAAGCGGTTGTAGGTGAAGGTGGTATCTTCGGGTTGACCATCGTCATTTCGGAGCCGAGAGAGAGTCCAATTTCATGAGGTGTGCGATAGATGTCTGCTCCCTTGAAATGCACAGAAGTGTCATACGCCGGTATGACTTCGAATTGGATCCCGCCCGTTTTCCTCCGACCCGGTGATCTGGATATTTCTTAGACATCACTAATTCCGTAGACTGAAAAATGTACCTGGTACTCGATCGAATAACCCGATCCATAAGGAACAGCAACAAACTGCTTAACTATACCCGGACCAGTTGCAATACCATCTACCCATGGCTGTTCAGGTACGATGATGTAGTCCTGCTTTTTTTCACAACGCCATTTTGCCGCTTGAGCAGAGTAGGCCATGTTTGGAATCATAGGCTCGCCAGTGATTGCCATTGACGCCGCCAACATATATCCGAATAGCGAATTTTTTTTTGCTATTAAACTGCAACCACATTGCTTCCCGTTCTACGGCCCGCAGTGATGTATGTGTGATAAGGTCTCAACCAGGACCGACCAAACTCACGGTACATTGCAAAGAACAAGCCACCCTTCTCTACCATATCTTGTGGCAAGACATGAGAAAATTCAGCAACATTATAGAGTGGGAAAGCCCAAGTCCAGGTGGAAGATTGTTTGGCTTCCCGGTTTCGGGTACGCGGACTGTGCGCCGGAAAGAAATTCCAAGGGAATCGCAATCGATGGAGAGGCGGTCAGCACTGCATCCATTGCCACGGCGTGGAAGTTCGGCGCTGAGGGGCTCGCGGGGTAGGCAATGGTTGAAGAAGGAAATCAGCGGCTCATCCTCATTTATTTGGAAGTCATTGGGACCGTACAACGATTTTCCGGAGGTCACCTTGACACGAGAATCCCTCGACATAGTAGAGATGTGCATTGTGTTACCTAGCTCAAACCTGTTAATCGATCGAGTCTAATACCAGCCACCGCTGAGATTCAACGGGGTTTTAAGTTGCTGTAACTGTAAACTCCGCGCAATATCAGTGTATGCGCGCAGTGTGTTCTGACGAACAACATGATACCTGGCTTCAAAGCCTCACCATGCTCTTGATTCAGCGCGTTGCTACTGGATATCAATATTCAATACCAGATTTTGCTGAACAACTTGTCCTGTGAGTTGGCTGTCTGACATGTCTGACCCATTTGTAGCGTGGTCCGAGGAACGGGTGAGGGACCTCATGTGATATTACAAGTGGAGGAGTGGTTGGTATGCGTGGATAGGCCCAGCGAAAAATGTATGATGTGAGATTGTTGATCTTCAAGCTAATGACCACCAGGGCTGCAATACTAGTCTGTCGTCCACATCTCGTGCTTTTAAGTGAACACGACACCGGATGTTTGATATGCTCAGCATGCTTACCACTGCTTGGTACTGTGTTCAGTTGGAGCGTCCCCATTACTCAAGCACAGTGGAATTTTCCCAGGAGCAACTCAACGAGTCAACGAGCGATCATGTATATGAGTTCGTGTACGTGCATCGAGTCTAGTCAAAAGTAAGAATGCAGGTAGATTCTGTGGTTCGTGCCACCTTTTCTTCATTATAATGATAATCTCTGGTGATTAACAATGTGGAATTTCCACAGGGCCAAGCACTTTGTGCGACCTAAAGGAACAACAACGCAGCTATAGCTACAGCGCGTGATCTCACCCACAATGCGTCCACATTATTGCTGTGGACGACGCTGTAATTTATGAGGGTATTAAAGGCAGGGCTCCTTCAAACCAGCTTCTCATCTTACTCACTTGTCATGGACCCTATTGCCAACTTTCCATTTACCAACCTTCCAGCTGAACTTGCCCTCCTCATCCTCAAATATGCCGCGCAACCCACCTTTGACCAAACTGACAAATATGAGACTAAAAGTCCGTACTCCTCGACACTCGCACTCTGTCACGTCTCCAAAGCTGTCAGGCGCGTTGCGCTTCCCGAACTCCTACACACCGTATCATTGCCGAAATCTGAAAACCTGAGAATGTTCGTCGATGCTCTGCGTATGCAGCAAGAGTACGCGGAGATCCAAAAACAAAACGAATCCCGTTTGGAGTGCGGGGAGGAACAAACACAAAACGATCTCTATTTCGACTACGCACCTCACATACACAAGATATGGATTGGGTGCTCTGGTGCGAATATCGTACCAGATCACCTGCTCCACCCGCACTATGCACCGGCACGTAAGCTTGCCATCAGCGTCCTGACACCGGTGCTACTCGCTACGCCGTCCCTTGCCCTTGCTTGGACAAGTCTGGGGCTTTTTTCAGAATGCCTGGAACATGCATGGAAGTATCATGCAGACACGAATGCCAACGACGAACAGTCCCCACGTCCATGGAACACCAAAACCCTGACGTTGTCGGGTGAGACGACCGCCGGCGGCCAATGGGAGCTCCTCAAGGACACTCCCCAAGGATCCGCTTTCCTTGCCTCAATCTCCCACCTCACCTACGGGTCCCACACAACCACATTCGACGAATTTCTTTTTATATCCATGTCTCATGGCTTACCTCGGAGCTATAACCTACCTTCATGGATGAAGAGCATTCCATGGCCTCATCTCAAGAACCTTCAAACTTTCTCAATGGCCTACCCGTATATCAGACCTCCGTTCGATATATATGATTTCGAGCACTTCATAAAGAGAAAGGGAAGAAGCTTTCACGTAGAGGTGTTGACATTGTCTGCAGCCATGCTGACGCGCCGCCGCGATGATCGCCGTGATTGGAGGATAAGTGCGTTTGGTGATACTGCTCCTGGAAAGGAGTATATTCGATCGGATAGAGTTGGTTTGAAAGTGTCCGATTCTTCCATACAATTTTGGTTTGATGATGATGATTGGGAGAAGATTTGGGCGTGCGGGTTGTGCGCCTGATGAGGGGTGTTATGAAGCCGAGAAGGGATATTATGATATGACTGGTGTTATATGTATGTACATGACCGCGATACCCAATGGACATGGTCAAGCCTTTGTTACTGTGCAACAACACATCTCGATCCCAGATTTTCGAATCAACTTTGAACTGACAAAAAGACAGGCTATGATGAGACATGATATCAACAAAGTCCGGTGTCTAAAGAGTTCCTTGCTAAGTCAATAAGTGATAGAATGCACGTCGAGTAGGGCTAGCTTAGTCTTCGCGGGCGGGTGTGCTTCCGGGATGTTTTGATAACCACTGGCGAGGCGTTGAGGGGTAGTAGCGAAAGCGGCCTGCTGGAGTAGCACCAACGTGAAACTTGATCTCCCGAATCAGTGTCTTCGAAGAAGTCACCTTAAAGATTTTTCGTGTAATATTTGATCGTGCAGGCTACACTTGCACAATGAACTGCTACACCAGGACCCTCAAGTTTGCAATCGCATGCATAGCGATGAAGCGCTCTTACAATATTTGTTGATCTCTCAGCGCGTACGCCTTTCGTTTTGATATATTTACATGCAAGCGATATATATAGTGAGATCATAACTATAGACGTATCGTCAACCGAACATCCCCACCCACCAAGGAACAACCGCAAAGACTCACCTAACGCCCTACATCTTCGCCTTCGTGTTCCCCGAACCATTCGTAATCTCATTCAGGATCTCGCCAAGTGCCTCACCAAGTTCGTCTGGTTTCTCTTGCGGAATCTAATAGGTTTTGGGAAAACGATATCTTACAACTCACTTCGACAGGAAAATAAGAGGAAGACACATACCAGATGTCCTGCCCCCTTGATAATTCGCTGAGACACTACCCTGTGCTCCGCAGCGTCTAAAATATCCTTCTTCGCCACTTTAGATCTATATAAATTATGTCACGCCACTGTCGACCACGAGAAAAAAAGAAAAGAAAACAACGCACATAAACTCCTCAAAATCAGCCCAAACGACATGAACCCCCCTCCCAGCCTCCTCCACCGCCTGCACGCACGCCCAAGAGACTCGGGCTCCACCGTATGCGATAAACACGCATACAACGGGCTCTCCTCCTCTTTCCTCAACGTGGGCGTCACATAACTCTTCTTCTTCCCCGCACCAAGTTCGGACTCGTTCACCTCTTCAAATCCATACCTCAGATAACTGCTCAAAACCCTCTTATCCCACTTCCTCCAAACGCCTTTCCCACCACCAACCACTTCGTCAACGTTTCCCTATCCGTCCAGCGATCGCGTTTAGTCAGTGACCCTCGGACGTTTGCGGCTCCGTGGATGGAGCGAGGGTCAGTAGGAGTAAGAGAAGGGAACATCAATGTGGGTTCGACCATTATGAGAGCAAAGGGCGTAAGAGAAGGGGGCATGGATGTGAGCGCAAAGATCCAGAGCGTGCAACTTCCTGAATGTGCGATTCCTACTACTGTGCTGGATTTGAGCAAGGGAGTAGAGAGGAAGGCTTGGAGGTAGAGCGAGATATCTTTCGTTGCTTGAGGTGATGTTAGTATTAGTAGTAATACATGATGGGGAAGAACGTACTGCACATCGCTTTCCCGGCTGCCTTGCGCGCATCAAACACGGAACGGTTGAGAAGTGCCGTTTGACCATGGTTGGGGAGGTCAAGCACCCATATATCTCGGATCATAGCGCAAGTTTGAGCGTGCGATAGCAGGCGCGCGATAGTAGGGTCGTACTGTTCCTTATCTGAAGCACATATTAGGTCAGGGTGCGAGATATGGCCGTCAATGAATGGAAGAACTCACGACCAGCAAGTCCGTGCGTGAACACGAGTGTGAGACCATCTTTGGCGCAGGAGACAGGGTAGTACAGTGTAGAACACTTGAGTTCGACTGGGTCTGAGCCTAGAGTTGTGTGTAATGAGAGGACGCGCCTCTCAGGCGCCGGAAGCTGGGACATTTAGTTCCAGGTGTTCAACCAAAATCAATTTATAATAGGACGTTCGTTGAGAGAGGAACAAACTGATAGAGGAACCAAGGACAGCGCTACTAGTAGTAGTACTAGTAGCGCCCACTTTCTCCCCAACCATGTTAACAAAATTCCGATTACTACGGCGAGTCGCATCTCTCGTGGAAGTCGGACGTTGCCGGGGGCCGCAGCGTGGTAATTTGTGCTTGAGCTTGACTTGTGAACCGATGAACGAACTAGCTAGACAATGAACATTTGAACATCGAGATGCGGCTGATCAAGGTGATATTAGCCTCAAGACTTGTTTAAACCGGCCGTTGTATGGTTTGATATAAGCATAAGGTGAGATTGTTCGTCATTCAAGTTCGCTAGAGGCTGACTACGCCGTGATGTAACTCAGGCACTACGTATATATAGTAAGTACCCTCGTCAGCCCATTGGAAGGCATGCCAACAATCATGAGCTGCGGGTGGAGATGCCTTAGATGTGCAGGTAAATCAAATGCACGCTGAACTTTTCCGACCAAGTACTGGATTGCATGGTACGCCTGTAAGTTCACTAGATCAGAAAACCACGGTCTATTACACAACATATCCCAGAGAACGGTTCAACGAATCGTCGATATTGCTGCTGCTTCTCGTGGTGATCATCATGGGGCCTGTCCGGTCTTCACTTTTTTGGAAGAATGTGGCGCCCGTCTCTTATTTTATTGATGGCTGTGGACGCGCCGGGGCTCGGAGGTTTGGTTTTTTTTTAAATCAAATTTATTGTCAGGACCTACCATGTCAAACAAAGCCCTATTCGAATTCATACGTTAGCCTCCAGGGACTTGAAGGCACAACTACTTCTACGTACGAAGGTCACCCGTTCCTATTCGTACGATGCTCCGGCGTGTCTGACGTGCAGCCACCATCAAGGGAAAACAGAGTCATGATTTGCAATTGCGCATGGCATGATGAATGGTCGAGCGTTAAAGTTTCCCCGACCTCTATCCTGTCTACATAGCGTTGGAACAAGCTGGTCTCTGTAAAGGGTCAGAGAAGGGTCACTTTCACGGGGAGGATTGGGGACTTGCGCCAGTGGAGATGGGACCACATAGCAAAAGATGGGCTTGAAAGGAAATTAGGCTGCGATTGATGACGCTCGCGTGTACGTCAAACCCTCAAACTTCCCTGAACACCCGTGACTGACTCTGATTGATGAAAAGGGGACAGTGTAATCAGTGGCAGCTGATTCATGAGTAACAAAAGCTCAGACATCATAGACTATTGGAAGAACAACCTACCAAGTAGCAATTATCATCCCGGATCAGGCCTTGCGCACCACACGCAGGCTCGTCAGCCTCAGCCCAGCGTGTAACAACACTGCCAGGTATCACCTGTACAAAGGTAATTACCTCTATCCGATGCTCGCTCATTGTTACGGCATTGCAATGTGTATTTGATCTTTTATATTCAATTTGTGTTGAAATGTTTTAACGTTTCATTTCAAGGCTTTAAGTTTCAATTGACTTGGCAAACTGAGGTCTGCCAATACTAGTAGTACCCTGTAGTACCCGAACTACAAGTAAGTAGATGCAATCTGCCTTAACTTGTCTTGTGTAACCTCCCTCCAGTGCAGCGCCACTAAGCTGCCTTCCTCCCAGCTTTCAGCAATGAGTGACGTGTCCACGTGCATTTGCCGTTCAGTTCATAGGTAGGAGCAGAGCGTTAACGTTTGTGCTTCGATTCACTTGGTATTATCGTCCAAACTTTTAGGGTTGACCATCTCTTTCGTGTCAGTCTGTCTCGGTTGCCGAACGCATTCGACACCCACTTAGATAGTTCTGATAGGCAACTAGGTGTTGCTGCTGCTCAGGGCTTATGTTATTATCGAGCCTTCCCTCTTGACAGACCACTGCTCAAGTATCTCGTGAGTACACAACAATATCACTTATATATCCTCCAACTGAAGACTTTTAGGTCGTCACTGTCTTGTTCGTTTTATATCATACTTATCGCATGCATTGTTTAACTATGATCCAGAATTCTGAATACCATCGGGGCGCTATTGACCAGTTTCATGTACTGGTCGTTCTTTTCCAATTGTCATCGAAGTACATCCCCGAGTTGTCAGGCATGGTGAGCTGCCTCACGTGCATAATTATGGCGTCTTCCGGTTTTAACGCAGTTGCAGGAGCATGGCGGTGAGCAAGATACCTTTACTCTCAGATCGAGCATACCCAACTTGAACTCGACCTACGGCAGGCGATGATGCTTCTCTTTGTGAATGTGAGTTCCAAATACGTCCTCGGGATCATTTATCTGAGTTATTTCCAGTATACCTACCATTCATCGTGCAAAGGTACCGTGCTGATTGCTATATGAGTGATGCTTACCTTTTGGCGCCGCAGTTTTTATTGTCACCGAGTATGGATAAGTACGTCATCATGCGTTAGTTGTATGTGCCATCTGTAATTCAGCTGCGTACACAGTCAGCGGCAACAACATCTACGTCACCATACCGATAGTAGGTGTTCCTTCGCATTAACGAGAGATCAATGACCTTACATTGATGAGCAACAGATTTTATTTGCAGCTTCGTCTTATGGTGAGTTTCATCGTGCACTACATCTCGGCTGTTCTCTCAGACTTGTTTATGATAGTGCTCGGTTTGAGTTAGTCGGCTGGACAGTGCTTACTTTGTGCATGTGACTGACGGTTCTCTTTTGCGTTTAGTACTTATTCCACCGCAGTAAGTTTTTTCTCGATAACGCTCGAAGAACCTAGTTCAACGACATATCTAGGCAGGCCGGGGCTTTCTTGAACGACGCGGTACGTTGGAGTATTTCCCTAAATCCTTTCCTGACATATTTTTGGTAGGTACTCAAAATCTCTGTCGCAAGAGCACTTCAGACTGTTTTGTGTGACTCCATGATCAGCCTTTCCGTCTACTTTTACCTACGCTCTGCAAGATCCGGTGTCCACCGGTACGTCGATGTGCTGCAACCTGACCGTTAAGGTATTTACCCATGTGATGTAGCACGGACACCCGTATCCAGAGCATAATTAAGAATTTCACCAGCATGGGCTGTCTTGTGTGGCAAGTTTTGCACCGCTTTAATGCGATAACCACTAAGCACCTTATTTCGTGACCTAACAGTTTGTTGGCTATCAGCATATGCATCTTGGTACGCAGCATGATCTATACAAAACTTCTCAACTAAATGATAATCTCAGTACTGGGCAAACTCGACTGTTGTCATCCGCAGGTGTAGGCACGGTTCTCAGAAGTTGTGAGTGATGTCTTCTCCTGAGTTACTGTCGTTCCAGAGTCTGAGATGACATGCATAAACAGCATATGCAAATTCGTTACTGTCCATGTAGGTGAAAACTACGAGCCGATCATCCACAATAACTCATGGTACGATTACTAGACTCAACGCAGGGAGGCGACCTGAAGATATGTTTCGAACGATGGAAATCGAACTTCCAACGATTTCAGTGCACGCTTCGAGATAAAGCGGCTACCCTGTGCGAGTCGAGTTCTAGATATTTGTGTCCTTGTGAATGTAATAGCTCAACACTGAGATGAGTCATCTTCTTGTGTTCATTGCATGCAATAAAAGTCAGTGGAACACCACATCTATTACCAATAGCTCCGGCATCGGCATATGCAACTACCTCCAAGAGATTGCTCTTTCCGTTTCGTTTGGAGGTCGTCCAATATCCACGGACTCTTCGGATTCGAGGATATACCATTGGAGGTTGCTTAAAGGCCATGCCAAGTCGGTCGTAGTTGTAATTATTCCGCATGTGTGACGTTTATGAAGAGTTCATCAGGACATCGAGACTCATTTGTGATATCGAAGATAATGGATGTGCATTTATTCTAACATCATGGAGATTCCTTGACATCTGATAACTTTCAGGTGATACCTGTCGTCACGACTTTCCAAGAGTCGGCTAGTCAACCTCTGGAGGTTCCCGATGGCAGATTAAATATAAATCACAGGTATAGCCACTTGCGCTACACATTGAGCGATGTATACGCAAAACATGAACCTGCACTTGTACTACATAGCAGAAAACAAGAGCGAATCATAGCGGTGATAGCGAGTGTAACAGCACACGAGCCTGTATATTGATAAATTGAAGAAAATGTATATCACCAAAGGATCAGATCCTCCTCTTCATCCCCAGATGGTGCTCAGAGATGTGACGCGATATATTGACGCGCCTCACGACGGTTCGGCAACCTTGCCAATGACATTCAATTTTCGCATCTGAAGCCCCTGACAAGTGACTCCTGGAATGCATCCTCAATGCATCCACGACCCTTCAAATCCACAGGTCGTATCTTCTCCGACAAGCCAGTCACAAGAGAAATGTAGTGGACGGCGAGTTGCAGGTTCCGTAGGAATTACGGCGAGCCTAAGGCACCATCAACATCGGGTAAGCAACTCAAAAACAGGGGATCACGTACAACCTGGAAGCAGCAGATGCACCAAGTTTTCAGCTTAAGACTAGAAAAGTTCCTGATGACATACACTTTGTTGGACAAGAAGTTGCGAATAAGTTGCATCTCCTGAGTCTTCGTCACTCCCCCCAGTGGAATTCCCATTAGAGGATCGTGTGCTCTGCTTCGCACTGGGAGGTTCACGGAGATCTGAAACCGTCGTTCGCACCCTCGACTTCTGATTGTTAGGCATCATCAGCCCATAGAAGACAAACATACTTACCAATTAATCGAACAACCAGCCTGCCGTTCAAGCGAATACATAATAGACCAGACGGCAATGTGATTCACAGTGCCGCAAAAATGACATTTGTAGTCAAATTCATAGTCAAATTCGGTCGCCTCCTCTTCGAAGATAACCCTCATGACAATCTTTGTGCCTGTTGCAATGCATGACCATCCATGGCTTGTAAGTCGGGTTACTTGTTTACCATCGTCGATGCACAAATCGTACTGTCCTTCTTCTACATATCGTCTCTGAAGACGTGCTTCAATGGAGTCACACTCAAACAGAACTTGGAGCATCTTATTGAGTTGCTAAAGAAAATTTGATCAGTAAGCGTCCACAAGACGGATTTTGAGGCTGGCGCGCGGACCTGAAATGAGGTGCAGAACTTCACTGGTATTGCATGCTCGTGGCCTGTTGCGTCCACCAGTGTCACACAACCAACTAGTGCGACAGTTCTGTTCATCAGCTTTGCATTGTGATCAGCAACCCTCCGATCCTCCTCCCGCTGCCTCCGTATGATTTCCAACTTTTCGTGCATGTCATGTTGACTTTGCATTTGGGATGACCACTAAGCAAAGTAGTGAGTGAAGGCAAACAATCTTAAGAGAATAGAACGCAACCAAATACTCCGCCAGAAAACGGTCGATTTCACTGAAGCATCCAGCGATAGCTTGTGTGACAGATGGAGATGCGAGACAACGTTCATGCAACGCAGTCACTCGAGTTGAAGTGTCTTGCAGCATCCTAAGTGCAGCTTGATGTCAGATACATTTCAGCACACCGAGAAAGCACATACCTAAACAAATGAACCTCTCCGGGATTGTTCAGAAGGATTAAAGGCAGGCGGGGGCGTTGCACAAATTGCAACTCAGTCGATTGAGTCGTGATGTCAGACTATCGAGGTCCGCCTTGTTCTGATTATGTCTCTATGATGTACGTTAAAATCAAGAAACGTCCTCGCGATTGCCTAAGTACTCACATCTATGGCTTGAAGGCCTGACAATAATCCACCGATAGCCGCCTGCATCGGAGCACCAACAAGTGGAATTGCACCTACAATGGCCTGAAACAGATGGTAAAGCTATCTGAGCCATATCAGAAGCTTCGCGGGCAAGTGGTACACCGCCAGAGGATCCGGAAGAAACATTGGTAGAGGCTTCGAGATCTGGTTCTCTGGTCGTAGAAATGGGCTGCATTAGTGATGGATTCGAAGGGGGGCATAGGTAAAGAAAGGGGAAATCGTAGAGATATCTGAAGGGGTGGAGCTATCACCCTCATGGCCGGTGGTTGTCTGACTCGTCGAGCTGTGTTGTGTGCGTCCTTTCTTTGTGGTTCGCCTCAGGCGAAGGGGAATGACCTTGTCCAAATCCTTGACCCACAGAAAGTACATTTCGATCAGATATGCAAGGTCAGAGGATAAGTGATTGTCTGTCTTCGCCTAATGTATGAGACGTAAAGAGAGCAAGGAAGGAAGGTGGTTGAGGAACTTGAGGTACTTGAATACAGCACCTCACAGCCACGAGGTTGATCGTAGTTGTGCACAATACACAGGCTCAACGCTCAAATTTCAAACTCAAGCCTCGTTCAAGCGCCCGCAGCCCAATTGTACAAGAAAGGGAAAGACGACGTGTTTCTTTTGTCGTCAGTCCCTCTTTCGCCCTCCAATCTTGCATCCCACGCGTGGAGCCCAGTGAAGGGTGCCATCCGAGTCAGCTGCAAGGTACATATACATAGGAAGAAACGGGCGAAACGAACCCGAGAAGTATTAATGGGAAACGTGAAGTAGCAACGCAGGGACTCTCGACCCACCCTCCTCGCCAACGTTCATGTCAGCATCCAAATTGAAGTCCTGACTATTAATACTTCCGAGTCGGTCACCGGTGAGTCGCATTCTGCATACTATAAAATCATACGCTCGGAGAACACGACATACTCCTCATGATAAGACCAAAGATACATCAGGAGGAATAGGTGGCGGAACGAAGACAAGTACTGGGATTCGGATGACTTTCAGTCCAAGGCACCGTACCAAATTCCCACCTATCTAATACTTATGTAATCTCACTGTTTCCTCTCCCTCCAACCTTGCATCGATGATCTAGTCGTGACTCGTGCGTACTTGAAGGGTGTCATCAGCTGCAAGGTATTACCGTGTAATAGTTTTTACTCACATAAATTACAGTTGGTCTGGAATTATGATAAAAAGGCGCATAACACCAAGCGGAGAAACGAAGTAGGGAGTAGGAAAGGAGATGGGAACAGCAAATCAAGAAGCAAACTAGAATCAGGGATTCTCGCCAACCACGTGGTAAGCAACGAAGGCACGGTCAGCAACACCCCGGTGAGTCGCAAGTGAGTCGCATCCTCTAGCCATACTACAAAACTATGCGAGTTTTCAAGGTTTTCTTCTCATGCCATCGACCATCCCTACCTCGCCTCACTTCACAATCCACATTTAAACTGTCCCCGATGCGTCCATCGCCAGGGAATTTCAGCCTTACCCGCGTCATATATAGCGCCCTATACCCTGCTCGTACGATGTATGAACTTGAAGTGTTGTTGCCAGTGGATGTTCACAGTATACGGAGCAACCACTTCCTACACCACCTCAACTATCCACCAAAAACTCCTACTCCGTGGTGTCTGCTGACATATCAATTCTTGACAGTCGAAGGCGCACTCAAAGTCGGAGTCAGGCTACGAACGGTCATTTTAAAAGGACGCCATGTGGCGGTATAGCAGGGAAAACAGACTCAAGTTAAGTACGCCCCTGGACAACTCCTCCAATACTCTTCACTCACCGACTTGGATCAACAAACCTAACTTCGAACGAACCAAAACACTCGCACTCCCTCGTGCGTTTGATAAGTCTTAGTAAAGGTAAAGCTCTTACATTGATTTATCAAACGCACAAGGGGGGTACTGGAACATATGCGACGAAGACATTGATCAGGTAAGTATGGGAAGGGCAAAACGAGTCGAAAAATTTCACGCTGACAGATTGATCAGATATTGAAGCTCGTAGCACTTGCGTTCACGTTCAATGTACATCCCACTCGTACGATATCGATGTAGGAAATGGTGTCATAAGTTTCGTATAGTTCTGTACGCTACTTATGTCCACCACTCCCTGCACCGTACTGTACAGTATCAAATCAACATCTTTCACCAACATATACTCAACTTTGAAATCTCAAACTCAGAGATATGGGAAGGATAAGTACTTGATGCACATTAACGACGGTAGCCTGAAAAGACTCGACGTATCCCATCGCAGATAACAACTCTAGCACACAACAAAGAAAATAACATGCGCTTCCTGTTCAATTATTGCATCCCTCGCTCTCCCTCACGCGTTTGAAACAATAGATATGGATAGATCCATTCCACTACTTCAAACGCGCCCGGGACATGGGTATATGCAGAACACATACAGCAGCCATCGAGTGCCAATGCAACCAGCTACGCATCAGTGCCAATCAGGGACTCTACGCATCGTAGATAACTTCAATAGGACGCGCATCGCAGGCAAGAGGGACTCCACCCCTCACAAACAACAATCCCCCAAACCCAATGCGCTCCTTATAAATCAGTACTAACACACCTCGTATCCAACCGCTAACAAATGATACAGCTCCCACCCTCCGCCTTCTCAAGTCTTGCATCTAGTCGTGCGTGGAGGGTACCGTCGGGTGCGAGGTAGGGTGTGTTGCTATAGGGAGGGCGTTGTTAGCGTTGGTTTGTGGGGAGGCGGATGAAAGGGAACGGAGCGGGCGGCGTAGATATGAGGAACGGAGAATGAGGAGGAACGAAGTAGATGAGATGTGGGATGAGTGAACAAGATAATGGGGGAGGAACAAAGCAGAGAACGAAACGATAAGGCAGCAGATAAGGAGGAAATAGAGAAGCCAACCAAAACAAAACAAAAAACACTCACTCCCACCCAAGATCATCGCTCAGTACACCAATCAACGCATTCGTATACTGCGTTCCTTCCTCGGACCACGCAGCTGGTTGTGGAGGTCTGCAGGGTTTTTGTAAGCTGGGCATAGATGTCGTAGGGTAAATGGATGGTGTAGGGGAGAGAAGAACGGTGAAAATGAGAGAATGCATAAGAGAGACAAAAACACATCAGTCAACACAACGCATCTCACAAGAACAAGACACACCTAGACCACCCCGCCCAAGCTCCAACACACTAAACACAGACCCATCCGACGTGCGATGGGCAAGTCGATTTTTAGATTGAAGTCGTATCGCCACAGGTGGTTTTTGCTTGCGTAGGCGAGGTAGGTATAGGTGTTGAGGGAAGAAATGGGTATCTTGAGTGTGCGGGTGAAGACGATTCGGGGGAGTCTGGTATTGAGGATGAAAGAGGACGAAAGACGTCGATGACGAGCCTTCCATCTACAAACGTAGGTGGGCTGTGCTCCATGAGACCGAGTGCGACTTGCCAAGGTCCAGTCCCCGCACTACGAGTTGAGAGAGAGCCAGAGGAGGGGGAAGGGGAGGGGGAAGAGAAGAAAATGAGTGACCATATTCGTCCTACAAAAAGTCTGAGTTCGACGAAGATGAAAATGAAAGAATGCTCACCTCGTGCAATGAACTCTACACCTACCACGCCAGCAACGCGCATTCGTTTTTGCCAGAGACGAATTTTGATAGATGCGCTAAAGGCAGCTTCACCATCGACCTCACGGACGTCGATGTCATCCGCGGATGTGGAGCCTAGAACGAGGGCGTCTGGATCTTGTGCGTCAGGCCAACTACATAGAAGGTAAAACAGCGTGTTCACCTGCTCTGAGTGTGGTTATAAACGGCAACTCTCCCCTGCGAAGCTTCCCAAACAATAGCTGATCGCCACTCGCAAGACAGGCAAGACGGATGTCTGCAACGCAGGCATTGTTGAGCGGACCTGCGTATTGGAGTATATCAGGGAGGATGTGGGTGTGGCGGTTGAGAATGGCCCAGTATATGGGAGTGTGTCCTTCGAAGGTGGGTTGTTGGAGGATGGCGGAGAAGGATGAAGGAGATAGGGCAGATGCGCATGAGGCCAGGATTGGGGGTAGCAGCAGAGTTATCAGTAGTGGATGTAGCAACGAGATCGCGGATGAGGGATTATGACAGTTTGACGTGTTTGTTTGGTACGAGCATTTGGAAGTAGGGAGAGCCACGTTGAGGACGATGAAGAAGCTGTAGGACGGGTAGGCGGTGCTGGTGAAGGTGGCGGTGAAGGACGTGGTTTTTCATCTCTGACGGTTGAAACAGAGGCGATGGTGTCGTAGGAGGGAGGTAAGTCAACTTCGTCGTCGGTTTCATCGAGGAATTTGTCGAGCAAGACCATATTGGTGCTGTGACTTGACGCGTTGAAGATAATCAAAATTATATAGATCTAGAGGCTGCGGGCTACGCAGATGGCTGCGCAAGATAGGCGCTTAACTGCTGCGCCCTCGTGACTGACAGTGGGAACGACTACGACGGAACCAGTACGTACGTAGGGTAATCATCTGTAGAACCTTGCTGGCACAGCATCTACCCACCACTTGCGGCTCTCTGCCCATGAACCAAGTCAGTTCATCAACCTGTTCCTGAGTAGGGGCGCCGATTGTAACTGTCTGGCTGGTCGCTGAAGATGTACAACACGAGAACGGCACCATCGACTATGCATTCCGCAGAAACTATCTGTGTGGGAGGGAGGATTGCATAAGCCGTTGACAGCGAGTGAATGTGGAAGGTCTTTCTGAAGCTGTAGCTGGGGTTTGCTCTGGCGTTGGTCATGGCCTTGTTTTCAGGAAGGTCGGGATGTAGCTTGGCGAGGAAGGAACGAGCTGTTTCATAAAGCCACTTCTCAGATATGTGATAACCGTACAAATGAGCATTGCATTGCGGGGGTGGAAGGGTTATATTAATACGATTTCGTTTTGGTACGTCCAGGATCGCGCTGTTGTAGGTCTTGTTTGGCCTCACCATGGGGGGGAGAAACTATGTACTTGGCTTTAGTTTTGCCGGTTATAACCGGCAAAACTTGGCAAAATAGCTAGGTGCTTAGCTAGACTATATGACATCAATATTGATGTTGCCTCGTCCCAGCTGTCACCGGTTCACCCTCGCCATTAATGTAATTGACCACCTCAATCTCATCTAGAACAGTCTGGTTGTCCAACTCATCAAAATCAAAAGCATTTCAAGTTCCCACGACCACTTCAACTTCGTTAATGCTCTGAACTTCTTCAGTCCTTTTCAACTCTTCGAGAGCTGCAAATTCAGCGGCAATGTCGTCAGGCGAGATACTCTCTAGACTAGCGAGAAGGTCATCTGCATCGCGAGGCTCAGTCGAGAGCGGAGGTGCCCATGCGAAGGATGCTTCAAGATCCTGAGCAGTCTCGACAATCTCTTCACGAGTGCGCATGTGAGCATGTCGACGGCGGGTGGACTTCCCAGCCTCCGCAGCTCTTACGGCGCTGTGACGTTGAAGGTTTGCATGAATTTTGCCGAGTGTTTCAAATGTGTCAACTAAGAGATTACACCGCCGTGCAGATTGTCACGGTGGTTGTGCCGAGATCACAGAATGTGCGCTCTCGATGAGTTATCAGTGTCGCCGCAATGTTTGCATTACAGTAGTAACAATGCGAGCTGTTGTCAACTCGTCCCAGGTGCTCGAAATTGTCGTTGATCAGTGACTCGGATGTGAGGGGGCACAACCAGTTTTGAGATCCTGAATGAGATTACGAATGGTTCGGGGAACACGAAGGCGAAGATGTAGGATGTTAGGTGAGTCTTTGCGGTTGTTCCTTGGTGGTTGAGGATGTTCGGCTGACGATACGTCTATAGATATGATCTCACTAATATCGCTTGCATGTAAAATTTGTAAATATATCAAAACGAAACGCGTACGCGCTGAGAGATCAACAAATATTGTAAGAGCGCTTCATCGTTATGTATGCGATTTTAAACTTGAGGCTCTTGGTGTAGCAGTTCATTATGCAGTGTAGCTTGCACAATCAAATATTACACGGAAAGTCTTTAAGGTGACTTCTTTGAAAACACTGTGTTCGGAGATCAAGCTTTACGCTTGGTGCTGCTCCAGCAGGCCGCTTTCGCTACTACCCCTCAACGCCTCGCCAGGGGTTGTCAAAACGTCCCGGAAGCGCGCCCGCCCGCGAAGACTAAGGCTAGCCCTACTCGACGTGGATTCCATCACTTATTGACTTGGCAAGGAACTCTTTAGACACCGGACTTCGCTATTTCATGTCTCATCATAGCCTGCCTTTTGTCAGTTGAAAGTTGATTCGAAGATCTGCACAGTAACCAAGGATTGACCATGTCCATTGGGTATCGCGATCATGTACATACATGTAACATCAGTCATATCATAATATCCCTTCTCGGCTTCATAACACCCCTCGTCAGGCGCACAACCCGCATGCCCAAATTTTCTCCCAATCATCATCATCAAACCAAATTGTATGGGAGAATCGGACACTTTCAAAACAGCTCTATCCGATCGAGTATACTCCTTTCCAGGAGCAGTATCACCAAACGCACTTATCCTCCAATCACGGCGATCATTGCGGCGGCGCGTCAGCATGGCTGCAGATAATGTCAACAGCTCTACGTGAAAGCTTCTTCCCTTTCTCTTTGTGAGATGCACGAAATCGTACATATCGAACGGAGGTCTGATATACGGGTAGGCCATTGAGAAAGTTTGAAGGTTCTTGAGATGAGGCCATGGAATGCTCTTCATCCATGAAGGTAGGTTATAGCTCCGAGGTAAGCCATGAGACATGGATATAAAAAGAAAGTGGTCGAATGTGGTTGTATGGGACCCGTAGGTGAGATGAGAGATCGAGGCAAGGAAAGCGGATCCTTGGGGAGTGTCCTTGAGGAGCTCCCATTGGCCGCCGGCGGTCGTCTCACCCGACAGCGTCAGGGTTTTGGTGTTCCATGGACGCGGGGAACGTTCGTCGTTGGCATTCGTGTCTGCATGGGACTTCCATGCATGTTCCAGGCATTCTGAAAAAAGCCCCAGACTTGTCCAAGCAAGGGCAAGGGACGGCGTAGCGAGTAGCACCGGTGTCAGGACGCTGATGGCAAGCTTACGTGCCGGTGCATAGTCCGGGTGGAGCAGGTGATCTGGTACGATATTCGCACCAGAGCACCCAATCCATATCTTGTGTATGTGAGGTGTGTAGTCGAAATAGAGGTCGTTTTGTGTTTGTTCCTCCCCGCACTTCGAACGGGATTCGTTTTGTTTTGGATCTCCGTGTACTCTTGCTGCATACATAGAGCATCGACGAACATTCTCAGGTTTTCGGATTTCGGCAACGATATGGTGTGTAGGAGTTCGGGAAGCGCAACGCGCCTGACAGCTTTGGAGACGTGACAGAGTGCGAGTGTGGAGGAGTATGGACTTTAGTCTCATATTTGTCAGTTTGGTCAAAGGTGGGTTGCGCGGCATATTTGAGGATGAGGAAGGCAAGTTCAGCTGGAAGGTTGGTAAATGGAAAGTTGGCAATAGGGTCCATGTCGGGCGAGTAAGATGAGAAGCTGGTTTGAAGGAGCCCTGCCTTTAATACCCTCATAAATTACAGCGTCGTCCACAGCAATAATGTGGACGCATTGTGGGTGAGATCACGCACTGTGGCTATGGCTGCGTTGTTGTTCCTTTAGGTCGCACAAAGTGATTGACCCTGTGGAAATTCCACATTGTTAATCACCAGAAATTATCATTAGAATTAAGAACAGGTGGCACGAACCACATAATCTACCTGCATTCTTACTTTTGACCAGACTCGATGCACGTACATGAACCCACATCGTACATGGTCGCTCGTTGAGTTGAGTTGCTCCTTGGAAAATTCCACTGTGCTTGAGTAATGGGGACCCTCCAACTGAACACAGTACCAAGCAGTGGTAAACGTGCTGAGCATATCAAACATCTGGTGCCGTGTCCACTTAAAAGCACGAGATGTGGACGACAGTCTGGTATTGCAGCCCTGGTGGTCATTAGCTTAAAGATAATCTCACATCATACGTTTTTCGCTGAGCCTATCCACGCATACTAACCACTCCTTCACTGGAGATCTTCTTGTAGTATCACATGAGGTCCCTCACCCGTTCCTCGGACCACGCTACAAATGGGTCAGACATGTCAGACAGCCAACTCACAGGACAAGCTGTTCAGCAAAATTTGGTATTGAATATTGATATCCAGTATCAACGCGCTGAATTGAGAGCGTAGTTGATAGTCTATTATGTAACGAGGAACGAGTGTAGGAATAGAGTTAAGTCTTTGCGCAAGCGTCGGAGGCAGTACGAACCTTCTGACTTCGTACTGCAACGTCGCGCCGTATCGTCTCAGTCGTCCTCAACGACGACGTTCTTCCTCCTTCTCTTTTCTCCGTTCTTCCTACTCTCGCTACTACTCTTAGAAACACTCAGTCAATTTCTCCAAAACACACTCTTAGCAAACACTCTCCGAATTCACCCGGCCTACCATGCAACGCATCTTAGCAGACCCAGCGCTGGAAGCGCAGCCCAATTTCGAGTCAGCAGCATACGCGGGATGGCTCAACGCCCTTGTGGCAGGGGGCACGGCCAGAGAAGATGCACTCGAGCAAATGGCTGAAGGCTGGAGACTCGAGCGCCAGGAACGCATTATCCTTTGGCAGCAACAGAATGAGGAAGATGCTCGCACCCTGCAAGAACAGTTAGAGCGCGAGAGAGCTGAAAAAGAGGCCGAGGAACAGCTAGAGAGGCGTGAAGCTGAGAAGAAAAAGCCCAAGATCAACGATTTTGATGAAGGGGCTCTCGTTGCAGATGTTATCATACCTCGCCCATCCCAGTATGCTATCCAAAGGATCAAGAACATGGAGTATGTAGAATTGTGGTACTTTAGCCCTGACGGTTGCCACGAGGCTTCCACCACCTCTAGGTCCACGTCAGACTCAGATGACGCTTTGGCTTCGCCAAAGTGGATGGTGTAGTTGCCCTCAAGACGATCGCGTCTTTTCAAAGCCTCTCAGAAGGCTCTACAGGATCATGACCTATCTTGGTGGCAGTTTGACCTCGCAAAGACCAGCTTTCTTGTGCACATTGAAAAGAACAACTGGCCACAAAAGCATCAGCAGGCTTAGCATTATTTTTCACGCTCATTACCAACCATGAGCATCGCATGCGGCCACGAGGAGAAAAGGCTCTGCTTCGCTACGCAGGATTTGTGCGCCGTGAATGGCATGATTGCTTAGCGCAAGACCAAGGGTTCAACATTGGTTTATTCAATAATGCCCTATACAACTCGATATCTGACGACGTATGGGAGGCTGAACGAGATGAGGGTCTCAAAATGGTGCGTAGTGCATCACCCACCAACATTCGATCACTGACCAATTTCTTTCATATATTCAATCTCACTTCGGAAACGGACCCTGCTGGCTGTCTAAATGCTTTCACTCTTGGCTATCCCTGCTTTCGGGGTACAATTCCCATCTGCTTCCCACGTGCTAACACATATATGACTTCGTCTTCTGTCTTCCGCTCTCCCTTGCTTGCGCTCGCTATGCTGCCGCTCTATCTACCCTCATGCTGACACAAACTCCTGTGCTCCCGCTTTCCTGTGTCCCTCTCAAACAACTTAACCGCTGCTTCGCTTATGCCCACACTGCTTTCGCACATCCCTGTATACCATGGTTTAACCAAATCTTTGCTTTCGTATAATTGTTCGAACCCTGGCTTACTCGAATCCTTTCATGCTTGCTCTATCTCACTCAGTTGCAAAACTCGCTTGCAGTTCCCAACACTTCCTTCCGTTCTCGGGGGAGAGACATGAGTTCCAGCCGAAATGGGCATGCAGAGACGGTACCTCTTGTGAATGATGGCCGCTATCACCCGTACCGCCCCGCTAACCAAATGGCAAAGAAACCACAGAAGTCGCAGCAGTTTTTTTCCAGCGGGCGCAGGCCAAACCAGCCCATCAGCCTGCGCCCTATGCCTCGGCCGGTTCCGTCACCCCATCCACAAATGCGCATCCGAGTTCCTATGGGACAAACGAACCAAGACTCGATGTCGTCGAAACGCAGAGGGTCACTTGGTCAATCCAGAGGCCTCGAAATCTGCTACGACTGGCAGAGACCCAAGGGATGCACCAACCCCTCTCGAACTCACGTGCACGAATGTTCAGGATGCAGAGCAAAGGATCACGGAGCTCAAGACTGCCCTCAAAGCGAGAGCATCTAACGCTATCACTCCCTATAGGCCTGAGGCCTGGCTGCAGTTTCTCATTTCTTCAAATCTCATACGTAAATATGCACATATTCCGAATGGTTTTCGCTTTGGTTTCATGGGCAGCATCCCAACCATATCTCAAACTTATACCCCACCTAATAACCCCTCACTACATGCACATTTTGACGCCTTTACTGCCATTCTGGACCGTGAATATTCCACTGGTCGTTATATCGGACCTATATCTAAATCAGAGACTGAAGAACTCATTGGTCCTTTTCAGACAGCCCCACTCTCCATGGTTCCTAAGCCGGGAAAGCCAGGAAGATTCCGTCTCGTACAAAACCTCTCATTCCCGCTTCGTCCATCAGCTACAGTATCATCCATTAATTCCTCTATCGACTCTAACTTATATCCATGCACGTGGGGCACAGCATCAACAATCTGTCTACTCATCTGGTCTCTCCCCCCAGGATCTCAGGCAGCTGTTCGTGACGTGGCTGAAGCCTACCGCACAGTACCTCTTCATCCTTCTCAATGGCCAGGCTTGGTCATCAGGACAGGAGAAGACAGCTTTGCAATTGATTCTAGCTTTTGTTTCGGGTTCTCGGCATCAGCGGGAACCTATGGCGAGGTTGCAGATGCTGGTGCAGACATATTCCGATCACAAGGAATTGGTCCTGTATCCAAATGGGTGGATGATCACCTATTCATTCGGATTCTGCGAGAGCACCTTGCCAGCTACAACAACCTGCGCAAATCTCGTGCTGCTATCATTGCACGAAATGGTGGCATGCTTATTGAAGGAGGTCGAAAATGGTATCGTGGTTCAACCATGCCTGACGGCAGAATTGAAGAGTTTGACGAAGACTGTTCATTTCCCATCATTGATCTCTCAACAGCCTCCCCGCGATTGCCAGAAGATGCTCGCTTCACATTTTGCTTTGACGACATCAACCGCCTATCCAAAATTCTTGGAATACCCTGGGAACTGGCAAAGGACATCCTTTTCTCGTCATGTGCCCCTTTTATCGGTTTCCTTTGGGACATCGAGTCGCGTTCTATCTCGATCCCACAGAGCAAGAAGGAGAAGTATGTGGCAGCTATCAGGGAATGGGAGATTCGGTCTTCGCACACACTACGGGAAGTCCAGGAGCTTTATGGGAAACTCTTACATGCTTCTCTGGTCCTCCCAGCAGGAAGAGCTTACCTCGTTTCTCTCGAAACCATGCTATCCATCTTTCACGACCGACCACACATGCCTCGTTCCCCCCCCAAGCACACAGGTGATGACCTCCGGTGGTGGAAAGCCAGCCTCTCTCAATCACTCGTCTCTCGGCCAATCCAGGGCCCGTCGAAGTCATTGACCCCTCGGCTTACTCAGACGCTAGCTCAGGCACTGGCATCGCGATTTGGATCAACGGCAGATGGCGAGCATGGCATCTCCTCCAGGCTGGAAAGCCGAGGACAGAGACATTGGCTGGGCAGAGGCTGTCGGTATGGAATTCCTCATTATTGCACTCCTCGGTTCATGCCCAACGGGCAGCTGCATTAAAATATTCGGGGACAATCGAGGAGTTGTCGAAGGGTGGTGGAAAGGGCGTAGCCGCAACAGAGCCACCAATACTGTCTTCAAAAGGATCCATGAGCTCACTGCATCCGCACAATGCACTTTCCTCACGCGCTATGTACCCAGTAACTACAACCCAGCAGACGCTCCGTCCAGGGGAATCTACCCTCCCTCAGACCTACTGCTTCCCCCAATTAGCATTCCCCAGCCACTCCAACCCTTCATCACAAACTTCGACGATCCCGCTATCCCTTCTGAGTGCCATGCACGCAGCAAGAACGTCAAAGCGCTCCCACATGTCAATGACCGAGCCCGCTCGCGAGAATCAGCTGAGCACCTCAACGACGAGCTCCGTCGCCAAGGAGAAGAGCTCTTTAAAGCGACGCAAGCTTATTGCGGCTTATCCTGCTAATCTCAGCCCTCGGGTTTCCGTCCTAAGACCCCATTGTGCAGCTAAGGACAGGCTCCGTCTATGGCGACCAGCCACTGATGACGAATCATTATCTTCCCTTCCTCACGCCGATGCACAGCGCATTCAAGATGTCATGATCCACGCATGGGCCGGCAGCACCCAGGAGGCATATGGAAGTGGCATCCTTGCCTACCATGTATACTGTGACTCAAATTCCATCAACGAAGCCATGCGTGCACCAGCGTCTTCTGAACTCATTTCAGCTTTATTTCAGACTTAGCCGGATCATATTCAGGGAAAACTATATCGAGTTATGTCCACGGTATTCGTGCATGGCACATCTTACATGGAAAATCATGGTCCTTAGATGACGACAAAATAGATGCCATGCTAAGAGCAGCCAAGAACCTCACGCCCTCGTCATCAAGAAGGAAGAAAAGACCACCTTACACTGTGGCTTTCATAACTAGCATCTTGCAGAAACTAGACCCCAACAACCCTCTCGATGCCACAGTGGGTAGCTGTCTCACAACAGCCTTTTATTCAATGGCCAGAGCTGGAGAATTCACGGTCCGAACCCTTTCATCATTCGATCCCTCCATTCATGTCAAACGATCCGACATTCGCCATGAAACAGACCGCAATGGGCTCGCGACTACAGTTTTTTCATTTGCCCCGCACGAAAACATCGCAAAATGGGGAGGATGTTTTTCTGGGCGAAACAAGAGGGCCCTACTGATCCTGAGGCAGCATTATCCAACCATCTCAACATCAACAACCCCCACTTCGATATCGCACTCTTTTCCTATAAGTTCGGCGAGGCACACCGTCCTTTGACAAAAACGAAGTTCATCACACGGCTCGCTCGCGCTGCAAAGGATGCTGGCCTTGACCCGTTGCAAGGCCACGCTATCAGAATAGGCGCCACCTTGGAATACCTCCTCCGAAACATCCCATTCGAAGGTCGTCAAGACGATGGGAAGATGGGCCAGTGATGCCTTCCAGATCTATCTTCGAGATCACGCTCAGATTCTCGCACCATACCTTCAAGCAACGCCTGCCATTCAAGATGAATTCCTGCGGCACACAATGCCCCGCATTCGGTGACGGGTTCTTCATGTAAGCATCCATCCTCCTCCTAGTTCTATGGGTATCTTCGGTTCGCTCGATGCGTCGTCGAACTCCTAGACATTTGGGAACCGCAGCTCACCTTTTATCTGGCAGGACACGCAACTCGGGACCGGGAGGCGCTGCGCGCCTTCGCCCAAATCGCTCAGAAATAGGATATGTCGAGGATCGCGAACATCGAGTATTCATAGCACGGTAGTCGAGACAATGTTAATGTGATTCTCCAAGCAGAACTGCTCCAAGTGACTCGCAAAGATGAAGCTTTGAAGCCAGGTATTATCTTGTTCGTCAGAAACACTACCACTGATTGCGCGGAGTTTACAGTTACAGCAACCTAAAACCCCCGTTGAATCTCAGCGGTGGCTGATATTTAGACTCTGTCGATCACTAACAGGTTTGAGCTAGCCTCTAGGTAACACAATGCACATCTCTACTATGTCGAGGGGTTCTCGTATCAAGGCGCCCTCCGGAAAATCATTGTATGGTCCAAATAACTTCCAAATAAATGAGGATAGTACTAGTCAGTTTTTTTTTTCGCAGCGAGACCATAAATTAAACTTTGTCAGGACACATTAAACCATGGTAGGACGAGTGCAGCCCATGTTGCCTAATCGCGAGCGAGCGATCTGCAAGTTTCAGCATCATCTCATGCTGTCCAAATCTAACTTTGAGGCAAGACCCAGTCAAGAGCGGACCTTCAAGCTTCAGGGACAAGAGCCGGGAGATGTCGACACCACTTCACTAGTCGAAGGTTGATCTGGTGGTGTATCATCACGGTAGGATTTTTGGTACACAGCGACGTCGGTTCGACCATTTAGTCAATAAGAATGCCAGTCCTGAACAAGCGATTCTTGCTGTAAGTATACACTGGTTTTGAGCGAGAGAGGCGTGGAGGGTACTACGTGTGCATTAGCCACTGTTACTTCAGGGAACGTCCATATCAGCGTACCAATCTATGTGGAAGTGAAGGAGAAGGACAACGCACCTTACAACACACTCCCTCCACGCATCCAAGTCCGAGACGATTTAAACACCGTTCCGCCACTTTTAAAAAGATCAATCAATCAACACGCATTTCGGATCAGAGATAGCAAATCCATAGACAGAAATGACTGTGACAACCACTGCTTCATTTCAGCATATGGAATCGCAATCTCGTAGATTTAGTCTAAGGAAAGTCTTGGATTAGCGTACGAGATAATGATCGCGGTGCGTCAACATGGCATAGATGTGACAGCACCCATAATCGCCATCTCGTACAGCAAGGATAAGACAAACATCATACATGGCAGAGCTTTAGAAGGTTCCGGCTAGCTCCAGTTGCTCATGTACATGTCCCGGGCGTTGCCGTGCAGATTTTTCGTCGTCAGCAGTTGTCAACTTGTCATTGTGTCAACTTCCGCTTGGGTATACAGCAATCCCGTACTCAATTTCACGGTGAACAGCTCTACTTCGAGTTGTTGCCACCTGGCCGCCATGATGGACATGTTGTGGCACGTTATCACACGAGCTTACCATAGTTTACCATATCTATTTTTTGGACTTCTAGTGATGTGTATACCGCTCAGCTTTGCCTGCAAACACCGTCACCCCATCACCACCACAGACCATCTAGCGTTTGCCGTCGCGAACGACCTTTTACCGCAAGATCCACAGACTTGCAAGGATTATGGGTTTGAACGTGCATTCACGGCGGAGAACTGGTCCAAGCTTCTTGGCTTGTATATTGGTATGTACATCTGGAGTCGACTGGGTCGATTGAGTCCCTGAAACTATCATCACACTGCCCCTAATGCGTGTCTCATTTTCAGGACTAGTGCGACACTTAGGAATCCCCCCAAAGACCATCAATGATTGGCGGGTCAGCGGCGTACTTGTAGAAGAGATCAAAGCAGCGTACTACAAGATCCCCGCCGAATCCAGAGGCAGTTACTTCCCTTGGTTCTTGCAGAACCAGCACATTCTTGATCCGTTTGCCGTTATCGTTAGCCAGTCGAATGACGAAGGGGATGCCATGGCCATAGTTCTGCGCGCATGGCGCTTTACCGGAGGCGCAGAAACAGACTCGCCTGCGGACATACGAGCCCGCATAGCTAGCATGCCTCAGGACAGGCAATCATGTCATTTGTTCTATACGATGCTCTTGAGCAAAGTGCATCCTGTACCGTTCGATGACTTCTGGATTCCCTTCGGTCTCTGCTCATGCGCTTGCAAAGAGGAGGAGATGTATTTGGGCGAACATTATCAGGCCCTCATTACCAGATGCACATTCGACGAATTCTGTAATGCCTTCCGCTCTGCACGTATTCCTGATCTCTTCCGCAAGAATGGAATTAACGTGGATCTTCGCTACCTTGCGGACGTCTTGCAAAACTACCGTATGCGCAAGTCTGTCTGGGACCTCAAGCAGTCTGTCATCCAGACTGATGGACAAAATTCGGAGAATAGAATCGCGATTTCTGTTGTGGTTGATTATGGGTTCATGAATTGCAAGAAAGATGCTGAGATACGGGCGCTAAAGAAAATTTATAGGACGTTTTTTGAGCGCCGTGATGCGAATCCGCTAGCGCTGCACGATGCTGCGATACGCGGAAACATCTTTGGGTATCTGGGGAGTTTAATGAAGCTGGACAAGAAAAAGAAGCGCCTTATGAAGAATCCGTATCCGCTCTATGCACTGCAGTGAGATCACAGGCAAATGACTTGGTTTCATGTTATTCTCCTTATCTTCGAGCTCACGCAGTGTTTTTCTTGACCTCTTTTCAGACTCCATCATTAGTACTATCGCATTTCCTTCATGACAGATGTATAAGTATACCTCATAGGTTCGTATTTACCTCGCTTTTCACGTTCATAGGTGAAATGGTTGTTTCCATGAAATGTACAATATTTCTGCAATGGCGTCCGCACCGTTAGCATCCATACTACCACTGTCCGGTGTCTCTTGGTCGGTCAAGTTGCACAATATCACTTTGGCCACTTCGTTTTGGCAATCTCGGAGATCTAAAGGAAGTCTTGGATTAGTGTACAAGATAATGATTGCGGTGCGTCAACATGGCATGTGGCGGCACTAATAATAATCGCTATGACGTACAGCAAGGATATATATATAGAGCACTACATATGGGTCGTGAGCATGTTCGTCATTAAGCTTTAAAAGTTGTCAACTATTTGAGCTTGAGATTGGACAAGCCATTATATTGCATGTATACGACTGATATGTGGCTGGGAAGAATCTGACACTAGACCTATCCTTCTGCTTGTATCGGCCGTAACCGCAGTTTTCAGCGCAACTCCCATATTTTGCCGCAACGCGTCCATCGTACAGGACTTCAGTGACAGATCAATATTGAAACCTGCATTCTGCCTCTACGGTACGTACAAAGACCACTCCCTACACTGAACGTACTCTATCCATATCGACTCGAATCAGATACTTACCAGCTTTTTCCGGGTGCTGTCGAGTACAACTGCACTCGGGAAGGAACGTTTATAAACACAGGCAAAACCAGAAATGGACTCTACCCGTCGCAGATAATATTCAAGGCACTGCTCCCCACGAATGAGGTTTTTGACGCTGCAGAGCACAGGGTCGTGTCTCAGTGGACTACATATCAACTTGGGGGCAAGACATCTAGTGTGCAACAGTATCTTATTTTCCCGTCGAGGACTCGAGATGGGTCACAGCATATTAATTCTTCCGAATGTAGGCTCCTCAAGACGAATGAGACGGACTTGGAGAGGTGCTTATCAAGATCCTGGATGTAATCATACACGGTTCGGTCAGCACTAAGGCGAAGATGTAGGATATTGGGTGAGTCTTTGCGGTCATTCCTTGGCTATATAGAGGACGTTCGGCTGATGATACGTCCATAGATATACTAGTGTCACCGATGTAGCTTCATATAAAAAATTATAGATTTGTTGAAAGGAAACGTGTATGTGAGTGTTTCATCGTCATATGTGCAACTTGCAAACTCGAGACTCTTGGTATTATTGTCGGTGTGATGTATCATTGTCAATGATACCAAGAGGCCTCTAAGATGACTTCTTCAAAGCGCAAATTTAGGAGACGAAGCTTCGTGCTGTCACCTTCAGAATCAAGCCAGAGCTCATATTTGACCCTGTATAGTTTTACTACGGGTGTTTCGGTAGGTCGCTCCCTGTTGGTTGATACAACTCAAGGTCTTACAACTGATTATCCAAACATTCCAGACGATCAAAAGCCTCGAGTAAACGTCCCACACTCGAATCAGGCTATGTCCGACGTAGGTTCCTCGACCCCAAAGGGCAATAAATTTGATTTTTTAAAGCTTTCAGAAGCGCACCACTAGCCTGCGAAGAAACCACGCTAGGCCGCCCTACTCGAGTTGCGTTCTTAGCGCACATCATAAACGCATCCGTTGCAAAATCCCCGCTACTTTGTGGAGTGAGTCGTGCATGGTCCATAGTTTCAGCAGGAAATTTTACATCTTTAAATACAATCTGTTGGGTTTCAGCGTAAGATTTATACAACCCCCTTCAATTGTTTACTTTGTCCGCCAATCTATCATTCATTCAGTTGAAAAGGCTTGCGGTCGTTCATCAGGTACCCGCTTTTGATGGTTTCCATGCACTCTGTCGATTCGGGGATCTGGAACCGAAATCACGCTGCGGCCTATGGCTCATGAATCATACAATCTCCATCACATGCATTGGGTATCAGAAGTCTATAGTAAGTGTACAGCAAGGAGAACCGGTTGCGAGCAAGTACATATCCAAGATAAGTCATATCAAAGCATCTACCATCATCTTCACAACACCAGCTGCCCCTCAAATCCGTCAGTTATCCCACAGGCCCAAGGTTTATCCCACGTATAATAAAACCTCCAAAAGTGTTCGCGACAGTTCGTAACCTCGAAGGAAACACCATCCGAATGAATCGTCTTCTGTCCAGGATGGGTCACAGGAAACGGTGGTACCATCCACGGGAAGGACCTGGGATCCTGCTTGTACAGGGGAGCAGATACCGTGAGCCGCTCCACATGCAAGTCTACTCCCCTTGTGTGATCGATATATGAGCGTATCTTGTAGGGCTCAGCCAGATGCGGGTAGATTATTGAAAAAGTTCCAAGGCTCTTCATACAAGTCCACGGAATGTCGCGCAACCACAGACCCAGCAGGAATGATGGGGGTTTTAAGCCCCTGCTGATGCCACGAAAAGTGTCCGAGTCAAAAGGCAGATCGATCAGGTAGGTGAGATGGGGGATTGATGCGAGGAAACCGGATCCTTTCTGAACGGTCTGGAATATCGTACTGGAGGTGGTATGACCCATTATCGTTAGACTTTGGGTTTTTCCAGGAAAAAAGGAGGGTCCGTTGTCGACATTGGGATTTTCGCAGGAGGTCGATGCATCTTCCACGCTATGAATAACAAGCTTTAAATAGCAGCAGTCGATCGCAAGTGCCGGTCCGGCCAGTAACACCGGAACCAGCACGCTGATTTCCGGCGCGAGCTCAGAATCTTGTAATTGAGATTCTGGAGAATTACCAATCCACATCCTCTGTACGACGGAGGTATAGTCAAAGAAAAGATCGCTTTTTTCAACAGCGTATGCTTTTTGAATATGCAGAGCATTTGCGAACATTCCTACGCTGTGAAATCGGCGGAGCAAGATGGTGTGCAGGAGTTTGGGCAGTGTGATGCGTCTCACAAGTCGAGAGACGAGACATAGGGAGAGGGCAGTTGCATAGGGATTTTTATCGTCGTATTTCTCTTTTTGGGAAAACGTCGGCTCTGCCGCGTCTTCGAGGATCATGAGGAGAATCTCAAGAGGAAGGTTGCTAGATCGAGAGCGGATAGCAGGCTCCATGATGGGGGAGTAAGATGCTAAGCTGGTTAGAAGGAGCCCTGCCTTTAATACGCGCCTCACGAGTTGTGGCATCACACCCACAGCAATATTTAGATGCACATTGTATGTGGGACCACAAGTTGTGAGCCACTGGTGGCCCAGAGTAGACTTATTGTTCCTTCTAGGTCGCACAATGTACTCTTGTCCTGTGGAAATTAATATTTGTTAGTCGCCACAGATTATCATAGCAATGATGCGGATGCGGCACGAACCACAGAGCCCACCTTCCGACCAGACTCGATGGCACGCACACGGACTCATTCGGGTTTCGTCATGACACAACTCTTATAATGCATGGTTCACTGAGTTGAGTTGTTTGCGGAAAATTTTCACTGCACTCGAGTAGTAGCAGGTGACAAGGATACTTGGTAAAGTATAAAATATGCGACTCGGAGGTACATTTTTCACAAGTAGATGCAACAGCCAACCTCGATTGGTGAGCATCCCTGCGCAGGTGAGTCAGTGTATGAGCTGCGCCTCTATCTTGAGGTTGTTCAAAGTATGGGTGCTTACTAGTTAAGGTTGTGTCGAAGTACAGAAGGATTTCAAATTGATGACTGGGTCAAAAGTCCCGGCTCGACTCACTCACCTAGAAGACGATGCCACAAGATTTAATTGTGACTTGAGGAAATGACACCGTGACTACAGTAGAGAACAACGTGAGATAAAGGTACATGCAAAGCAAGACAACCACACCACGAGAGCATCACGGTAATTAATGCAACAACTTGATGTTGGACTAGCGTACAAATCCACGCGTAAAAACCACTCGGAGTGTAAGAACGTACGAACTCGACCTTTATGGCATGGAATCGTAATATTGTAGATCCAAGGTCATCACAGTTAGGAAAGTCTTGAATTAGCATAGAACATAGTGATTCCAACGTGAAAACACATGTAGCACACGTGGTAGCGACTGCAATCGATCGCTATCTCGTACAGCAAGGATAGGGATAGCACTAACTTGCATAGTCACTCGAGCACAGGCTTTAGCATGAAGTTCCAGCTAGTTCCGGGTGCTCCCTCACGGCACAAAAGAACGAAGGGTGGTATATAGGGAAGTGACGAGACTTGGAGCATAAATTGAACATTCGAACCCGAGCAAGTAGGGGTAATGAGCATGAAGGGGGATTAGTCTAGTAATATCGGACGGATAAGTGGTGCAGATAGGTCTCCATAGTCTGTTCTGAAAGGAAATTATAGTCCAACACATGCATGTATTATCACATACGACGTACCAATGAAAACCGCTCAGATCCCTAATCTTCGGGGAAAAACATGCATCTACAGTATTTCTATCGTCCTGATGTCCATCAGGCCTCGAACAGAAGCCGCATCTTTGACCTGTGCAATGATATCACGATCCGATGCAACCCTCTTGTATTCTCCACCGCGCTGCCGCGCTAGCAAAAATGCCCCAAAAGGCTGCCCAAGACGAACAAGCAACCGCAATGCTCGCGATTCTAAATCATCCACCTCCTGTTTTACAAGAGAGCGGCTAGGTGACTCGTCTGACGGAGAAGAAGGTGGCGTCCAATAATCCCCCTCGCTCTCCGTATCGTCTGGCAGATCTGCAAAGTCTGGTAGTTCGAGGAGAGACCGATCCCAGGGACGGACAAGTACGAAGGTTTGCTGAGGGGGCTTTATGGGTGAGAACTGAACAATCGGTTCTTTGGTGGTGACCAGTAGGTCATGAAGTCCGTCTGCCTTGACTTCATATCGAGTCTCCTGGGATGGACCGTAGCTCAGACTGACTTCTGTGACACGAAATGTCATGCAAGGCAGATGCAGTCTGCAGTTCGCGAAACGAGCAGCGCTCGTGTTGTCAAGCCAGTCATAAAGTTTCGAAGCCAATTCCACAGCCACAGTATTTTTTCGCAGCGAAGAGATAGCTGTCTGAATCTGACCTTCGGACAAAGATGGAAGGGTGCGTGGAGGAGTGGTGTAAGAGGTAATATAGGCTGGAAGACAGCTATTGAACTCGGACGGTTGTCCGATCCAGTCGAGGACAGTGATGTTGCCTGACCGAGCCACAATCTCCTGCAGGAGCCGCCCGAGCGCGTTCTGCTTCTTCTCGCCGTAGATTACAGGTAGGTGGACACCGAAGATACCAAACAATGAATACGCGATGTCTTCTTGCAGTGTAGTGACGCGTGAGGATGCCCATTGAAGTCTCCGGCGGGCGTCGCTCATTCCTGGATGGAAGGAGATCAGGGCCTGTGCATCTATGCCCGTCGCACCCACCAACTCCTTCATGATTACAAGGGACTCTTTGTGGTTGGGGGTGCGATCGTCGAGATATAGTGACCAATCCTTTCGATAAAAGATAACAACTTTCGGAGCGACAAATTCTTGAAAGGTCCATCCTCGCTCGTTCCAAACACTTCTCGCCAGTGCACCGGGCTGGGATGAAGGAAGGACATCGCATAGGTAGACGATGGTAAGCGCTGAGTGGCGGTACCAGACGAACATGGAGTTGACCGATTCTTGAAGCTCGGTATTGCTATTCTTGTCGATGCAGCATGTGTCCATCCATGCCCAGCGATACCCAGCATCACGAGCGACTTTGCAGAACGACTGCAGTTTTGCGATGCCACCAGCTCCATTCAACTCGTACACGACTTTGTCCTTGATGTCGTGCAGCAACGCCTCTGTCTCTTCCCACCTGTGTGATAGCAGGACACAGCGGAAGTACATTGCTACCACTTCCTTGATGCGCTCCATTTGGAGGTCTGAATCGAATGATAAAAGCTCCTTGTACTCTGCACTCGTTTTGAAGGCGTTTAGTTGTGCCGTTCGATCGCACAAAAAACCCGTGGAGGTATTAAGCAGACGTAGCGGGGCATATTCGAGTTCAATCCAAACAGCTTCTCGAATAACTTTTTCTCTTATCATTGCATCTGGGTGTGGGGGCGTTGAAGTCGTGGCTATGCCAGTAGCATCAACCTAGAGTATATTGGTTGAGCACAATGAGATCTTTGAATGAGAGTGTGACATACACTGAGTGCCGACTTGTTGGCCTGGCAGAATGCGTTCAGTTGTGAGAATGTAATACAATGAAACATGTCTGTCAACTAACCTTTGAATCTGACAGAAGGTTGTCGAGGCCGGCTTCTCTAACAATCACAGCAACATCCCATGAGTACACGTTTTTGTCCTGGCAGCCAGTGAATAGTAGCTTTCCATCGGTGGAAAACGACAAGCAGTACACTCCCTCTGTGTGCCAGAGGAGGGATCTGATGGGTTGGCCGTTCTCGAGGTTCCACAATTGCGCTGTGTTGTCACCCGATGCGCTTGCGAGGATACGGTCATTTGGAGATATTGCAATGGCAAAAACATATTGAGCATGTCCTGTCAGTACCGCATTTTGCTCCCACGTGGCTGTGTCCCATGTCCTAATTGAGCAATCGAATGACCCGGAGATGAGCGTTTTTCCGTCCTTGGTCCAAGCCAAGCAACGCACAGAGTCCGTGTGTCCTTTGAGAGTGGCGACATGCCCGCCAGTATTTGCATTCCAGATTTGAATTGGGTATGGTCCATTGAAGGGCATACCACGTCCACCAGTTGCGAACATGGTCACGTCTGGTGAATAGACGACTGCCCACACTGCTGTGTGCGCAGTCATGATGATCGGTGCTCGAAGCATACTAGCTTTTCCACTTTCCACGGCCCATTGTCTTGCAGTCTGATCATCAGATCCGCTTAACACTCTCCGACCATCTGGACTCCAGCAGACAGATACCACCTCCTTTCTGTGCCCCGTCCATTTAGCTATAACCTTGCCGGTGTCAATGTCCCACAGCATCACTGCGTGATCATTACTGCCGCCGCCGCTAACCACCTTCTTCCCATCTGGAGACAATGCTATACTGTGCACGTTACTTTCTTCATCTCTCCAGTCTTCTCCTATTTGTTCCCCGTTCTCCAAGTTCCACTCTCGGAGTGAGCTGTCATATGAACAAGTGATGATCCGCTGTTTGTTGGGCAGGTGTATGACGCCAGAGATCCAATCAGTGTGTCCTCTGAATTCCTGGCGGGGTGTTATCTCTGATGTATCCTGCGTCCCAGCAATGGATGAAGACATAGTCAAGTACTGAGTGCAGCGCTGTCTCAGCTTTCATCCGCCAAATTTCAAAATCAGCACGTACGAGGGGGTCTATCAGCAGTAATGGGCGGGCGACAGGGAATAATGGTTGTTTTGGTCAAGTCAGAGTTCAATTATTTGCTTCCTGGTACGTGTTCACTTCACAGCTTATATACAATATAGGCTGTGTAGCTGAAGCGCCCGAAAATCATCTTATTCGGGTCGCGGGACGTGACACCTTCTACTAAGGGAGAGGGCTGCTCAATTCTTGTTCGCAGGCCCAGCCCGGACCTGAACACAGGCCGAACTTCAAGCACATCTCGCAGGGCAAGCCCAACTCATGAGGCTCGTGGGTGTGCCAGACAACAATGACGATGACCTCAATGAGCTTGGCAGCTTGGCAATGATAGTGACCTTGACGATGATCATTATCTGTCTGATTCTGATGCATTGCTCATAGCAACTCTCCGAGAATATCGACCCCTTGCAATATCTATTATTGGTGATGGTTCACGAATACAATCAGATTCCTCGTTGCAACGACCTCTTTTCATGCCGCTTGCAAAGTTTAATGGTTAGTCAACATCTAATTATATTTCTGAGCTCACGTCCGTGCTCTCAGGTTATTTGTTACAACTGCGACTAGGTTTGCGACTGAAGTCACGCTGGAGAATCGCTTCTCCTGTTGTTAAATTAGAGGAGCCTGCTCGCCGAGATCGGACAAGCCATTTGCAGTGATATTGGACATCGAGATGCGGCTGATATGCCATAGGCTGTTGTCTGTCACTAGACCCATCCTTCTGGTTATCACCGCAACCGGATCTTCGCAGTTTTCAGCGTAATTCGCATCTTTTGCCGCAACGCACCCATCGTATACGACTTCAGTGACTAAGATTATTAACATTGAAGCTTATATCCTGCCTCGTACATATAAAGACCACTCCCTACACTGTACGTATTCTATGCATATAGACTCGAATCAAAAACTTTCTAGCTTTTTCTGGTATTGTCGAGTTCGACTGCAACTCAACGGCACTCTGGAAGGGGCATCGACAGAGAACATAGGTCAAACCAGGCTAAAGGGACTGGTCCATGGTTTCAGCGTAAAAATTATGCAATTGTTTGCTTTGTCTGCTGATGGTCTATCACTCATTCGTTTGAAAAGGAATGCGGTCGTTCATCGGGCACCTGCTTTGATTGGTTTCCTTTCACTCTGTCGATTCGATGATCTGGAACCAAGATCACGGTGCAGCTTATGGCTCATGGAGCATACAGTCTCCATCATGTGTATTTGGTGTGAGAGGTCTATGGTAAGTGTAATTAAGAAGGAAAGGCGATTGCGAGCAACATATCCAAGATAAGTCATCAAAGCTCATCACGAAACGAGAATTGTAAGGATGCGCACGGTCCTGCTTACCAGTGGCAAGCAAGGTGCACCCAGGTGTTCTGTTGCAAAACTTCGAGTGCACCTGCTCGTGTAGCTGCGTCACCAGAAAATTTCGGAATAGTGGGACGGTTGGATATCACAGCAACGAGCTCCAGGACAAGCCTGAGCTCGCTGTCGACAGCCAAGAGCACATTGCCTCCAGCACCTCCTCGAATCGACAGTTGATGGACGCGTAAATTCCTGCGGGTATGCACTCAGAAGAAGGTTAAAAAGATATTTGCGACGAGCCCAAGGGCTGTAGATTGAGCGTGAGGATCACAAAACGATATAAAGATGACTATGGAATGACTCACCTCAGCCTTCAAGTCTGATATACCGGCCTTCTACGCTACCAGACATAATGGTATGGGCAGGTGAAGCAACACGTAGAGATATGGGGACTGTCAATGAAGTCCAGTGAGTGGGAGTGGAGAAGTTGATGTTTCAGATTATGCTGTGTGTATTTCCGTGTTGGCTATGGTGGTTCGGCATGATAGACACTGATGTGATTAAACCAAGCGCTGAAGCCCAAAGATGACCGACCAGCGTTAGCAAGAGAGCCTTACTAAAGGAACAGGCGATGTTGTAGTCAGTCCTCAATGACAGTGGCAAGCCAATTGCAGGGTTGGAGGAGACATACGAGTCCCAGAGTGTCCTGTGAACCTTGCTATTCTTATCATAGGTTGTACTTGGCTTTGATCAACGAGTCGTACTATTCATTTAGCACACTAAGTCAAGATGTAGAATCCAGTGTATTTCACTGCAAACAATACAAACCGCTGGAAGTGATGCAGGCGGAAAAATCGAGTTGTTCTATACGAGTCTGATTGAACTCATGCCATGGAAAGTAGGATGATCACGAGAAATTTAGCTGTTGTGCCGTCATTGAGTGCAACTCAAGAGCATGTCTGTCACATCATGTTTAGTCAGGTTACAGTGGGCTACGAGTAAAAAGTGAAAGAAACATACCTGGGGTTGCCAAGGCCTTCGATGCGTGTGTCTACACATGATTCGGATGTACCGGTCTTGACCGCTGTGGGTGGACTGTGGCTAAAAATATGGTGGAGGTATGCCTGAGTTTCTTCATGCGGGTTGGCCCATAGCTGATTGCGCACGAAATTGAGGCGAAGGAAGAGTATCAGTATCAGCGAAGGTGTGCACTGCGTCGAAAGCATACTAGGTCGAACGATCCACCTGTACTAGGTGCCAGTGATAGCTGGTCTGTCATACGAGTAAATTATCCTGCAGAAGATAACGCCCGATGAATGGACAGTAATCACAATCACTGAGGCATGCGCAAACTCCAAAGTTGGCAAGTTGGTATAGATGATCGTTGGGTTCACATGATTTCATAACCTGCAGCAAGGACTCAACAGTGTCAACACACAAAAGGCCAGAGCAAGGGAGGACGTCTGGGAAATGGAAAGTCCAGGGTCAAGTCTGTGCTGGACTCTGTGAGTAAGGATCCGAGAGGGGTCAGGATACAAGGACCGAAAGAACCGTGTTGTAACCACTGGCAGGACTGACTGACTCGGACTTGTCCGTGTTTTACCAGGATTACCCAATTGAGAAACCATGTGAGTTGTCCCTTTTGCAAACGCACACCTCTAGGCTCTCAGTGTGGTATGCTAGGATTGACCTTATCGCCGTCTGTGAGCCACCGGGCGTCCGTGCAAGTGAGTCGTTTCGGATTCCAGTGTGAGCTTTGAATTTGAAGGATGCGACGCACTCTCTCGTGCCTGGATGGATATTGCTCCATGTTGTGATGGCAAGAAGTTCTCCAGACGGCATACCAGCGTGCGCAGCGGACATGATCACACTTTTTCAGGCAAACAAACAAGGTAATTAAATATTTTGTACACATATGGAAATTCTATCTACAGCCACCTTGCATTCAGAATGAAGTATAACAGTCATCGACCTTCTACCAATGTGAGTCACAGTTAGCAACACATCCATGGTTGATTATATTCATCTTCACGAGTTGTAGCCACCATGTCCGATTCAGCAGGCATTTCAGACCTTCTGCCTACCAACTTCGTCGGGACTACTATGGCTGGCGTGCAGAACGAGGACGGGAGATTTCGAGTCTACTTTCAGAACAAAGACTATCATATCTACGAAATGTCGTTGAACGACCCAAAGAGCACGACCTATGACCTCCGGCAACTCACTACTTCTACGATGCCCGCTGCCCGTATCAACACGCCCATCGCAGCCGTGGCGTGGCATGACTTGCAACAGGTACGAGTTTTCGTCAAGCTAGCCCTTCCATACCCCGTAATCTCATTCTCATTTCATCATGACAGATCCGCGTGTATTACATCACTGTCGATAATCGGGTGCAGGAGATGGTCTTCACCCGAGGCTATGATTGGCAGAAAGGCGCGACCTTAGGCACCGCAGTTGAGGACAGCACCTGCCTGTATGCGCAATACCGATTCACCACTGAACCCTTGGTCAGGGTTGGGTTCCAGTCATCCGCTGCTCCTCAGACTATCACCGAAGCTTTATACAACGTGAAAGATAAATGGAAGAACCGTGTACTCTAAATTGGGAACCAATGTTAGCATGGGCTTGTCAAGCTTTCAAGGATGCGGATACGGGATCAGCTTCGGTACCTGTCACAAATGTTGTCTATGTAACCATATGCTGAGCCAAGAGCTTGTCATCTACCCCTTTGCCCTCTCCATCTCTGTTAAATCTTATGATGGAAATGATAATAATGTAATCAGACGGGGCAGTCTATGTCACTTTCTCTTATGTTTTTTTTTTCACAAACACTTTCAAAACATATCCTGAGCGCATGTTAGTGCGCAATTTCCCCGCCATGCCGTCAGCAACATTCTCAAAGTGGAAAGGTTAGCGCAAACCTTGCCAAGTGTCTCGAATATGCCGACAGATATATTGCAGCGCTTGGTATATGACTGAGGCCGGCCTCCAGACTTAGTAGCCATTGTAGAGATATCATACATAGGGAAGCGATGAGGCTTGGAGCACACATTGAACCCGAGCACCCATGCACATTGCAGGTAGATGTAATGAGCATGAAGGGGCATTAGTCTAGTATCGGACGGAGAAGTGATGCACATAGATCTCAATGGTAGGAAACTATAGTCCAACACATGCATGTAGTATCTAGTATCACATATACGAAGCACCAATGAAAACCGCTCAGATCACTAATCTTCGGGAAAAACATGCATCTACAGTATTTCTATCGTCCTGACGTCCATCGGGTATTGAACAGAAGCCACATCTTTGACCTGCGCAATAATATCACGATCCGACGCAACCCTCTTGTATTCTCCACCGCGCTGCCGCGCTAGCAAAAATGCGCCAAAAGGTTGCCCAAGGCGAACAAGTAACCGCAAAGCTCGCGATTCTAAATCATCCACCTCCTGTTTTACACGATTCCAGCTAGGTGAGTCGTCTGACGGAGAAGGTGGTGGCGTCCAATAATCCCCCTCGCTCTCGGTATCGTCTAACAGATCTGCAAAGTCTGGTGGCTCGAGGAGAGACCGATCCCAGGGATGGACAAGCATAAACGTTTGATGAAGGGGCCTTGTCCGCGAGAACTCAATCGGCTCTTTGGTGGTGATCAGCTGGTCATGAAGCCCGTTCTGCCTTGACTTCATATCGTGTCTCCTGGGATGCATCGTGGCTCAGATTGACTTCTGTAACACAGAACGCTATGCAAGGCAACTGCAGTCTGCAGTTCGCGAAACGAGCAGCGCTCGTGTTATCAAGTCGGTCGTAAAGATTGGAAGCCAATTCCACAGCCAGAGGATTTTTTCGCAGCGAAGATATAGCTGTCTGAATCTGGTCTTCGGACAAAGATGGAAGGGTGCGTGGAGTGGCGTAAGAGGTAATAAAGGCTGGAAGACAGCTATTGAACTCGGAAGGTTGTCCAATCCAGTCGAGGACGGTGATGTCGCCCGATCGAGCCACGATCTCCTGCAGGAGCCGCCCGAGCGCGTTCTGCTTCTTCTCGCCGTAGATTACAGGCAAGTGGACACCGAAGATACCAAACAATGAGTACGCGATGTCTTCTTGCAATGTAGTGACGCGCGATGATGCCCATTGGAGTCTCTGTCGGGCATCACACATCCCTGGACGGAAGGAGATCAGGGCCCGTGCATCTATGCCCGTCGCACCCTCCAACTCATTCATGATTTCAGGGGACTCTTTGTGGTTGGGAGTGTGATCGTCGAGATATAACGACCAATCCTTTTGATAAAAGATAACAACTTTCGGAGCGACAAATTCTTGAAAGGTCCATCCTCGCTTGTTCCAAACACTCCTCGCCAGTGCACCGGGCTGGGATGAAGGAAGGACATCGCATAGGTAGACGATGGTAAGCGCTGAGTGGCGGTACCAGACGAACATGGAGTTGACCGATTCTTGAAGCTCGGTATTGCTCTTCTTGTCGATGCAGCATGTGTCCATCCATGCCCAGTAATACCCAGCATCACGAGCGATTTTGCAGAATGACTGCAGTTTCACGATGCCACCAAGTTCATTCAACTCGTACACAACTTTGTCCTGGATGTCGTGCAGCAGCGCCTCCGTCTCTTCCCACCTGTGTGATAGCAGGACGCAGCGGAAGTACGTTGCCACTATATCTTTGATGCGCTCCGTTCGGAGATTCGAATCCTTCGTTGGAAATGAGATCAGCTCAATGTACTCCGGACTCGTTTTGAAGGCATTTATCTGTGTCGTTCTATCGCACACAAGACCCGTAGAGGTGTTGATCAGACGAAGGGGAGCATATTCGAGTTCCATCCAAACCGCTCTTTGAATATCGTCTTCTACTTCAGATGGATAGACATACTGCTGACGCAGATCTGCACAACGAGATAGGTATTTCGGGACGATGCAGGAGTGTTCCAAGGCTTACCTCGTATATGCGCTTCGGGAGCATTGTCCATCTTGGACAACATGATTGTGAAGGTCTCGATGGCTTCGTTGTAACGTCGCGCCTCACGCAGAGCTGTGTATGTCAACTGGTATCCAATGTATGACGAAGGATTGAGTTCAGTGACCTACGCATCGCCGAGGTCAATATGGGCTGCGAAAACGTAGATGCCATCGCACCTTTTGCGCGTCGAGGAGCGCATCCTCCCATAGCATTTTACCTAACTCTGCCTTGCTGCGATTTGCGAAGACGACATCGGATGCAGAATCCAGATCGATCACCGCTGAGTATAGGTCAATAGCCCTGTTATAGTCATTTGCAGTGAGGGCAGCATCTCCGTTGACAATGCAGAGTGCGCTGCATTCTTGCTTGAAATCTAAGAGAAATGCAGGTGAGGATTGTAGCCTGCATGACATTACGAATTCTAGACTTGCCATTGGACCAGTCAAGACAGTCAGCCTTGGTATTTTCGTCACTCGAAATCATCATGTACCGGTATGATTTCACGGCATCTTGAAGTTTGCCTGCTCGAAGGAGTGCATCACACCGTTTCTGGTGTGCCTCTTGCCACAAGGACTGCAGGTTCCAGCCAAAAAGCTGTAAAAGACACTCAGTTATAAAAAGCATTATGTACGTATCATCTTAACGCACCACGACCAAGTCCTCGTATATTTCATGAATGGATTTCGATGAGAAAGCACCGGAGTTGATAGCGGCAGTGAAGTGGTCGGCAGCTTCATCATGATGTGCGCCATCCGAGGCTTTGATTCCGAGTTGAACACGTAGATATGCCTAATGTGCGAATTTGCAACGATTAGTGTTGATGACGAAGCGTGGATAATACTTACTTGCACAACGCGACACGCGAGAGTATCGGCATTAGGACAACCGATAGCAAGTTCTTTGAGGAGCAGGTTTGCCTCGTCATGTTGATCTGCACTGAAGAGCGCGATGGCCTGAAATACATGATGAAGTGGAGAATATGCGAGGCAACTGCAACATACCTTGATCAAGAGCAGGAAATGAATAGTTTCTGAATCTTGGTTAGTGTACATCGATGCAACATCAAATGCTGCCCTCGCATCCCGGACATGGCCTTTTCCGCAGAGGGCGATGCCCTTGGAGATATAGCCTACCAATGAGGGCTGGATGCTGATGGACTATGTCAAAAATCAAGTTAGCCTTTTGTAAGGGGGGCATGACCAGTGCATACAACTCACCTTGATTGCATCCTGAAGAGCGTGGTCCCAGTCGTGTTTTCGGGCCATAACGAAAGAGCGATGGGCGTAGGAAGTATGGTTGTTCGCATCGGTGCTGATATCTTGTGTGAGTAATTCTTCAGCGGTAGATAAGTCTCCATCTCTGCATGCAATGCGGGCTGTTGTGACGGCTAGGATCTGCACGAGATATGCTCGATTTGTGGTATATGAGTCAAGGACAGAAACATGCCTTTGGATGAATACCATATGCCCACTCCGAGATTATCCCATCGGAGCCTCCGCTTAGGATGTGGTTGTCGTCCACAGAAAAAGTGACGGATATCGTTGAAAATGAGTGCTCGAAGATGGCAATGATTCGTCGATCTGAGAGCTGCCAGAGACGGACGTGGTTGTCACTAGAAGCGGAGGCGACGAGTGTGCCAGCAGGATTAACTGCAATGGCATTGATAGCTAGAATGGCCCATCCAAGGATCACCGACCTGCTGCCAGGTCAATGCATCCCATTCACGTATGGTAGGATCGCGCTTATCGCCGCCTGTGAGAAGGCGTGTGCCATCGGGCGTCCACGCGAGTGAGTAGTTGCGCGATGTGTGAGCCTTGAAGGATGTGACGCGTTTCCTCGTGCCTGGATTATAAATTTCGATATTGCTGGATGTTGCGATGGCAAGAAGTTCTCCAAAGGTTGAATACCGTACGCAGAAAACCAAACCACAGTCAATTGGATCTCCTTGCAGCTCCCAAGTTTTGGTGTCCCATAGTTTCGTCTTTCCATCCCTTGAACCAGTGGCCAGCACTGTCCCATCGGGAGAAAAATCCAGTGAGGTGATATAAGAGTAGACCTTGGTGAGTCGAGTGAGCGATTCTCCAGTTTCTCCGTTCCAGACGATGACTTCTCCGCCAGTATCACTGCTTGCTATCAATTGCCCATCTCGTGATACCGACAAGCCCCACACCAAATTGCTATGGCCCTCCATCTTCTTCAATATAGCACCTGTCTTCAAGTCCCACAGATGAAGTGTCTTATCCCATGAGCCCGTAATCATCCGTCGTTCATCGGGGAAAACTGTCATTGCCATTACACGTTCTTCATGACCTTTGAACTCTCGCAGGAGTGTAGTCATTGGAATGAGCTTCGTCATGTTACTGGAGGGACACGGTCGAGGACCGAGGTGGACTTTGGAGGTGGGCGTCTTTCTCTAAGCTGCAGAGGTGCGTGTGTTGTGCGTTTTATACTGCTTCAGTCAACTGCCTCGTTTCCACAGACGCCCAGGACACGAGGCCTCCACACCTCCATCAATGCTGCAAAGACTCTATTGTCATACCAGCCATCCTCAACACTGTACCCCCCCAGCGCCGTTGCAGTGCATACATGCATCCGACTCTTGTCTTCAAATCTTCCAGAATGTATCACATCGCATCCAATCGAGCAGTTGGTACTTCCCAGCCCTATATTCCGCATGACCGCATGAATATCGTTGTTTTTCATATCGAGCAGCTACTCCAGCACATCACTATGTCACTCCTTCGAACGCATGCATATAGCTTACTGTAACATTCGAGTCGCCCTTTCATCCCACTGTGCACTGGATGCAGCCGAAATTCTCTCTTCTGGCATCTCAAACTTGTCGCCAATTCTGTCAGTCGGTGCTATGTTACAGTACGCTCGACGCATTGGAGAGAATACATAATGGGAGCTGCATACATGCGTACACATTTCAGGGGGTGGCTACTGATATGTACAGAGAGATGAAACATGTTGTCGAGTCGGACATACAGAAGCTATCAGACCACTCTATTGGCGCCGACATCCCATAGAACACACCTCCCATTAACAATTCTTACTGAATACTGAGGCTGGTGCCACAACGGCACCCAGACTCTCGCGGTAAACTTCCTCCCATGTGCACCCCACGCACCATATTTCGCGCCACCTGTCAATGGACAACATTAACATCATGGTATCACATCAAAAAAACCTCAAAATTCACCAGCACTCGCAACAGCCATAAGCGGCCCCGAAACCATGGGTATGCCAGCAACCATGTCACCAGCAAACAATGCACCTGCTGAAACTACCGAAGCAGTACCAGCAGCACAAGCACCTCCGATGGTTGCAAACATCTCCATGGATTCGTCGTGGCTGAACTCGCGACTCTCCGTTACAGAGCGCGCTTCAAAGTGAAGCGGGAGGCTGGCTAGGTGCGTTGTCCAACGTTCTCCAGGTTTGAGATGATTTTTCCAGTTGGTAGGGACACCTAAGAAGAAAGCAATGTGGATATCTTCTTTCAGGTCGTTGATCACTGTTACGTCAGGCATCTTGGGTAGAGATTGTAGAACGTATGCTCAGTATTGGGAACGACAGTACTGAGGGTCGAACATGAGATTAGGGCGAAGGACTTGTACTACAATACAGACGGAGCTTCAAACGATCGTCAATGCAATGTTCATGAAACTTCTAGAGCTCTAGTGAAATAAAAAATCCATGCGTTAACCTCGAGGCTATTGATATAGGCTTCTGAAAGCCCCCTTTGTTGTTTAGCCAGAAATTTACCCGTTCGATGTTCAAAGATCATCATTTGCCTAAATTTTGCCTATTTTGCGCCTCGCAGAGAGTAAGCGCTCTGAAATTTGAACACGCTGTCCGACCTTCAAGGATAGAGCCAGGGAGACGTCGACACGACACGACCAGTTACGAGCATTTTAAGAGTAGAGGGCATCCGACATGGGTAAAAGAGCAATTCATGCTACTGTGCGGGTTTGAGGATAGGAGGGCGAGTGTACAATGGCTGCCATAGATTCATATCATTAGCGTTATCATGTTAGCATAGTAATCTACATGAAAGAGAAGGAGGAACAACGCACTGGATACTCCTTCCAGCTGCCTTCCATGCGTCAAATACAGGGCAGTTGAAACTTGAGAATCGCTACTTCACCACAGACTGACAGTTAGGGAAGTCGATCAACGCGTTTTGGATTAGTTATATTCCATGTGTGAAAACGTATGGCGCTGAGAATTGCTATCTCGAATATGTAAGGACAGCGCCAGCACCAACTTGCAGTCTCCTGGGCAGACCTGGTTGAGTGAAGATGACATCCGGCAAGTTCCGGTTATTACAGTGCAAATCGCGGCAGTTACAGTGATCAACCGCTCCTTTGGACGGTGAAATGAAAAAACGAGTGTAAAAAAATGAAATCTTTAATATACAAAAATTGATCTGGTACATCTGACAGAGCAGGGTTTGATCTACTATATACCAAGTTTTTAAAACATCTGGGGCCCTGCTTAGTTGGCAGCACCTCACTTGGTTGAACGAGTCATTTTCTCGCCTTCCTGATTCGTTTGTACAGTTGGTGTGACAACCATGTTACAGCGTGTGACAAATGTCACATTTCACCGCTCGTCGTACTCGTCGTCATCCTCATACTCGCTGTCATCGCAAATCGACCCTTCGTGAATGTCAATGAACTCTCCTTGATCTTGCCCATCCTCCTCATCAATATTTCCACCATTTCTCCTTGGATTCTTTGGCTTAGGACAAGGCTTCTCGAGTGGTCCTCGGACAGGCTTCTTCCACTGTGGTTTTCGTTTCTCTTGCTTTGCTAGCCGTTGTTCTACCTCCCACTCTTTAACAGCTACCTTCCACTGCTCTGTTTTGGCTTTGTTTCGGTTTTTTCTTGCCTCATCCTCTTGCATCCACAACTCCATCTCTCGAGTTCATACCATCCGTGCTGCTTTCCTTGTTTCCTTCTCGGCCGCTTTTGCCTGTTGACGCTCCTGGTATACCAGGACTTGCTCGAAGACCTCGTCACTGGTAAGTAGCCTTGGCATACCATCTCCATTCAACTTGACATTGTCACCCTCTCGGCAGCCTTTCTTCTCTTGTGTCTCGAGATGACGGCGAACTCGATCACAGTAGCGTCCCTGGAGAATTACAGTTGCTTGAAGGGCGCTTACATGCTCTTTGAGTGTTGTGACCTGCTTGGTGAGTTTTTTGACTGTCTCCTCGAGTTTTTCTCCCGTGTTGACTTTGAAGATATGTTACAGTGAAATCTCGCACGTTTAATGGGTGAGACTATTGCTAGTGGCATGGTAGGCAACCTTGAACTTGATTTGATGGGAGATGATGATATAAGGAATCAGTGCAGATGTTTCCTCGAGTCGTGCAAAGACATTTGGAATGGTTCTATCACCAGTCTGAAAAGGACTATCGTTCTCGTAAGTATTCTCGTCTGCTGTTTGATAAATTATTGATCTGATCTTTGAAATGCAAACAGTGAGGATTACCTGGAGTTGTCTCGTCGTTAATACTACCATCTTCTTCAGCGATTGTACCAAGTTGAATATCACAATTACGAGTTTCCGCCCTTGGTTGCAGGTCTCTGAGCAGCTGTATTATGGCTCGAACAGGAGATTCAGGAGTGATTGGAAGATGGCCCTGGTTAGATGATTCGCGAGCAGGAGCTAACATCTCATCTGTGACGACTTTAGGATTGAAAGGCCATACACCGGTTTTTCGGAATGCAGATTTAATGGTTTCTGATGTGAGTGCATGAATGTGGGCAGCACCATAGATTGCAAGGAAGTTGCTTTTCGTCACTTTCTCTCCTTTCTCGCGCTCCCATTTGTCTCGTTCTTCTGACCAACACTGCTTAAGGACACCAAATACTGCCACATCTAGGCCCTGGTAGATGTGGGTACTGTGTGCAGGATAGCAGAGGACGTGAATTCGGTGCTGCCGAGCATACTCCAGGAATGCGCGAGTGTAGTGAGAATTGTGCCCATCAACGAGAAGTAGGCGAGTACGACCATTAGCTTTGTCACATGTCTGCTCATCGAATTGTTTGATCCAGAGTGCACCAATCTCGCCGTCAGTCCAACCCTTCTTTGAATAACCAATACTATAAAGAACAGTGTTATATGAGTGATTAAGAGCACAACATAATGCATGCCAACTCACGATGCTTTGAGTGGATTATTTTCGTTCCACTTGGACTGATATGCCTTTCCCTTGAAAATCACCGCAGGTGCAATTGTACTTCCATCTGCGCAAATTGTGACTAACACAGTAATGTTTTCACGATTGCCGTTTCGCTGCTGATACTGAACCTGCGTTCCAGCACTACCAAGTGCTCGTTCTTGGGTGCTTCCTCCTCCTGGTTGAATTCCAGTCTCATCGACACCCCAAATACACTCTGGTGCCATTGGTTTGTTGTCGTCACCACTCTCCAGGAGATCCTTCAACATTTCGAACCATGCCTTGTTAGTTGTCGGGTTCACGGCACGGCCACGAGCAGTATCAAGTGAATGTGCTCGGTAAGCTCGTAGGTGATCAGAGTGCTTCTCAACGAAGCGCTGAGTCCAGTTTTTTCCCACTCCAGACTGCGGGAAGGCATCTCCAAGTCGGGCTCGACAGATTTCATCAACATGCTCCTTGAGACGCTTGTGGCTAAGTGGAAAGCCACTGTCGAGCCATTTCCACAACATATTCGATAACTTTGTCTGTTTCTGTGGGTGTGAGCCAGCTTTTCGTGGAGCTATTGAATTCGCTAAGCCGAACCCCTCCCTTGGCGAGATTTGCCAGAGTATTATGATTTAAACTGACAACTTGGCCCGTTTCCTTGAGGTATGCCTTCTGAACATCCCTGCACACCTTTCAAAGGCCCTGCTTCTTCTCTGAGCTTGGTTTTGCGAGTTCAGCTTGGTACATAGCCACAGCACGAGCCATGACTTTTTCTTTCTCCTCACACAAGACCTGTGCCTTCTTCGTCAATGATTTTGGCCTCCCAACCATATTAAGAGAATATATGCGTGTTTTGAAGATATATGTTGAATACTGGCAGCAAAAGGGAGATGTTGAGCGAGACTGAGTCAAAAAGGCACCTCGTGTCCAAGCTTAGTCTGTATAATGAAGTTACTCGTGGATCACAACGTGTTTCACCAATGAAACTTTGACTAAAATCATCTCCACTGCTTCTAATCCATCTGTAATGTTCATACATAAAGTAGAACGGGTGAAACTTAGTGCAGTGGTGAGGTTTTGATGCTCGAGAAATTCAAATATATTGCCCTAGAGGTATAATTTGCAGCTTCGGATGGATTTATAAATTTGAGCACTGTAATTTTGGTACCATCACATAGCAGGATGTATTCTGAACATGATGATATATGATTTGCAGGGAGTTGACAAAGAATGCAATGAGAAAATCAAATTGTACAGTGGAGTAGTAGTGTACAAAGGACCGTGGGATCACTGTACCGCAAAGCAAACAAAGTGCTGCATGTGGCATGCCTCATGATCACTGATGTCTGCTACTGTAACGTGTTTTGTTGGTACTGATCTGGTTTACAATTCTCTAGAGCCTGAGATTGTGCGTGTAAATCACTTAATGATTTGCGATTTTTTTTACTGATTTATCTGCTTTCAATTATAGTATATACACCCTCCAAAATCCACTGGTACTAGTGCCAGTGCCAGACACTGGTCGTACACATAGTGGAGTAGCTGGGGTATGTACCTACCCCGATACAGTACTTGCCACGTATTAGTTGATTGGAAAGAACATGTTCTGCCAACGGGCCAGTCAGCGATCGCCTCATTGGAATAGTTTGAGATCACATATAATGAATCTACCATCTTGCATCCGGTTGTTTTCCCTCACAACCATGATACCACGTCAGGATAATGAGGAGACTCCCCTTCTGCAACAGCCAGAGCAGCCGATGGCATCTAAGACACCTCTGCCCTGGGATCAGTTCTGGATCATATTGGTTTTGCATTTTTTTGTTGGAATATGATGTAATCCACACATTGGATGCAGTGAGGGAAACTGTAACGGCTGGATAGTCTAGTGGTTAAGACGTCCCCCTGGAGTTGGGAAGGCCTAGGTTCAAATCCTGGTCCTGCCATGATTTTGGTGTTCAATATTTTCACACCCCGCTTATTTTTAAGACCCTTGCCCCATTCACCCCCCAAGTGAGTTCATGCTGTCTTCTGCTTGGAATCGAAGATCGGCCAACTGAAATTTTGTCAAGCTAATCAGAGACATTGGCGTGACGAATGGAGTCGAACAACAGGTTGGATACTATGTCAGCTTCCTGGTGAGCATGTTTTCATCCTTCGGTGTCCTCTGTCCCTTTCTGATGTCATCTCGAGCACTTATCGTACCATGTCCCTCAAACACTGGCTGTTCTCTACTAGAGCCAACTGTCTGATCACATTGGGCGGAAGCCTGTAATACTCATCGCTTCATTCGCGATAGCGACTACCATGTTGTCGTTTGGGCTGTCAAGAACCTTTCTCGGTCTGCTGGTCAGGTTTGCATCTCAGATACATAGTCATCTCGTCTGTCAATTACTAGTCAATTACTGATGTCCTGATCAGTCATGTTATCTGCAGGGCATTCAATGGGGAAAATGGTGTCATCAAAAGTATGATGATGGACATGACTGACGCAACCAATTTGCCAAAGGCATACAGATACATCCCACTCCCATTAATGTTAGCCAGCATCGTTGGGTAGGTGCATTCAGTATTTCCGCTTGTTCTTGAAGTAAGATTTATAATATCTTAGGTCACTCACTGGTGGATCGCTCTCTTGACCAGCAGACAGATTCCCTGAAATATTTGGACAATCAGAACTCCTGAAAACCTACCCATACCTTTTGCCATGCACTGTTCCAGCTCTAGCATCAGGAAATGTACACTTTACTTAATTCAGCTTGACACTTGAAAATTTGCACTAAGTCAGCTAAGATGACTTCAAATTACCCTCGTTTTTACTTAACACTACTTACTAGTCTGACTGAGAAAAAATGCAAGGCTATCAAGTAGTTAAGTGACAAAGTTTGCAAATAATGTATTCAAGACGCTATTTCAAAAGAATGATGATCTGCGAATTTGTTAACATAGAACCCGCAGTAAGTATCTAGAGTCTCGTGGAATGTAGCTTTCTGTGGGACAAATTCCTCACCAAAGATGGGCAGCAAGTGAGCTGCACGAACGATCAGTGTCAACGTGAATGATTGAGAGCTCCAGAGTGTTGAGCTCTAAGTCGAGAAAGGATGGCTTGACCATCCACATTCCATTTCCAGGATCAGGCTCGTCAGAGACAAGCTTAAACCAGTGTACCAGAGCACACGGAAAAGTCTCCAAATCACGGCCATAACAGAAGGAAAAAAAAAACATAGCACATGGACAACTTCCATACCATGTATTCCATCCTCACTTCCAGTGTTCACAAATACGGTGTCGTAGCATCCTGGACCTCCGCGCCATAAAGGGACAGAACAAATATGTTCGCGTTGCATTCCCCCAATACCACTGGGATCGCTCAGTGCAAAGAAAGTAGATACTGCAGATCCAAAAACCTTGACACGGCCTTCAAATCTGGGGCAAGCACTAAGCGGGATGGTATCAGATGTATGTTCATCATCTGCGAGGAGTTGGTCATAGAGACAAAGGCGGACCAGTCGGGGCAAGTTTGGTACATTGAGTTCTTCTGCCAGCGCATGAATGGTGCATGCTCGTTTGCGTTCTTTTGTTGGGTCAGATAATAATATATATGAAAGAAAAGATAACGCATGAGGTACGCGTGCCAGTTTCACATCACATTGCACTTGGGCTCCCTCCACTGCACCATCATCTTCCTCGTCACTTTCATCTTCCTCGCCCCTCTCATCTGCCTCACCACTGTCGTCCACTTTGCCACTGTCGTCCACTTTGCCACTGTCGTCTGTTTCGCCATCATCGTCCACTTCACCACCGTCGTTTGCCTCACCACTGTCCTCCACATCTCTGTTGTCGTGTGATGGGTCTTGTTGGCTTATATCTACTCAATTTTTTATTCAGTAGCAATATTATATATGATAAGAGATATACGTACCAGGATGTGGACCTAACATTCCATGTGCCATGAAGTCTGTACGTGCAGCAGCAATTTTATCAAGGTGCTGGTTTGTTAGTAACATCTGTCCAAGTGCATTAAATTTACTTGATCATCGCCATGGTTCTTTAACGGCCTTGATGTGTTTTGACTCTGTTATGGATGAACACACACCATTTGGTGCGCCGAACATGCGGATAAGCGTAATATAATGCATAAGAGAATGCCGACGTGGTAGTGAGAATCCGTCAAAACGAACACCGGTCTCTTGAAAAATCTTGTGATAACAGTGAAAGCGGTCAAGGGCCTCCTTAATTTCCTCAAGCGTATTCTCCATGATGATATCCTGTCATACGAGGTAGCAAAATTCAAGGAAGGCACAAAAGCACCAGACAACATCATCGGGGACATGTTCTTCGATTGCAGGCAAGTAGACTTTCATTAAGGCCTTTGAATTGTTGCTGGTCCATTGAGTGAATCCACGGCCTTGAGGAAACCGGCGAAGGCCTGCAAATGATGGTGCTGCAGCAATTCTAGAGAAACAAGTCTGTGGGTTAGCAAGAGTCGCTGAAGAAATATTGTAAGGGTACCTTCTATCTATGTCATCCATTACCACCTTAGCACGGGTTTTTCCATGTATGCGTTCTAAATACTTCTCGACCCAGATGACAAGGTGGTCTTTGAACGTACCCTTGATAAGTTGATGCAGGATATCAGGGGACAGAAGTTCGTGAATGTCGGCGTGTGGATAATTGTTCGTGAATGGCTACTGTTGTTAGAAAGCTTCGAGCAGTTGGATCAAAACGAAACTTACCACGACATCAGCATCAACACCCCACTGATACCACAGCGTACTGAAGTCGACATTATCACAAAGGATGTCTGTGACTATTTGAGCACGAAGTTGGGCATCTTCGCCATCTAGATCTGCTGGCAAAGCAAAACATCTTAGGGATACGTTAGATTTAGACAAGTTCATGCAAAAAGAACACTTACTTAGTGCACCAATTTGATATGATACAAGAAAGTACGACCTGTTCCAGATAATCCGTGATGTATGGTCCTAAGCCATAAATGACGCGTCGAAAGTGACCGTCCCCAAAGCGCACGACCTCAGGAACAGTCATGAAGGTCTTGAAAGACCGCAATATTCACGAGAGAGATGAATGAAATAATTGTTTCTTAAATTTTCTAAATTGCACATCCTCGGAATATTGTTTTACGGCTGTAGAAACGTTGTACAGGAGGCACTGCAGAAAGTGAAAACACTACATACTCTTTGGTATGGCTAAAAAGCCAACAACAGTGACAGCATTGCGATGAGCGCAGCGAACATTATTCTGTACATTGCCGATTGATGCATAGAGTGGATAATAATCATTTTGTCTGGTTGTGACCGAGACCGTTGTCTTATCGCTTCCAAGAAGGACAGGTACAAAAGTCGAACTATGTGTTGCTGGATCTTTGGCGATTTCATCCTAAGATTATTTAGATCAGCGTCATGTCAAATATTGAATAGTAAAGAACTTACAGCTTGATTCCATGCCCAGTCTCCCGACATGACATTGCGCCACTGCCATTTTGCGTCACCTCCCTCTCCCTTCCATTCACAATAAGGCACATACTCCATCTCATCCTTGAAGTCTGGATTGGTGAGCATGTTGTGGACCACAGCATGGGGATCTTGGAACCACGCAGTGTAAGCAGTATCCATCCATGGGGCGCGAGCCTCCGAGTCAGAATCGCTGGGAACTGAGCCTTCTCCATTAAACTTCATTGTGAAGCTCTCCCATGCGACTTCTCCAAGGGGTATCACATCAATGGTTGAATACAAGTCTTTGTGGTCAGCGAATGGTGGGGTGTCTCCATGATGCGCAAGATTCGTCCCCACAGGTACATAAGCTTGTCAATATCACCGCCAGACATTTGATTTTTCGTATATAAAAACTCCGTGGTCTCGAACTCTGTGCAATCGCAAAACGGTGTCCAGTCACCATGCTCTCTTGATGTGAATGGAGGTGGCAGAGCATCTGGGTGGATGAACTGTCCATGTTCATCGCAGATTTGCCCTGTATTGATAGAAAAATAAGAAACACATCAGTGATAAAATAGTCAGATACGCACCATTGAGCTCTAAGTGATAATTTCGGTAGGTCTCCTCGGGATTTAGGGCTGGAGTTGGAATGTTCATGTTTTCGGCCTCGAAGTCGAATTCTCTCGCCCCGATGTTCTATTACCCAGCCTCACAGTCGAATTCTCTCGCCTCAAGGCCTAATTCTCCCGCCTCGAGGCCCAACTCTCCTGCCTCAAGGCCAAATTCTCCTGCCTCAAGGCCTTCTCCTGGTCTCGAGGTTTGGTTCTTCAGAATTTTCTTGGGCTGCCTGCTGATCTGGGATGTTGAAAGAAGAGTTGTGCATGGCATGGCGATGTTGCGTGAGTCCAGATTGGTTTCTGAAGGAACGTGTACAGCCAGTGTGAGGACAAGGAATTAGATTAGCCTGAAATATCTTGCGTGAATGAGTGTTCTTTCGGGACTGGTGATGAGGGTGTGCAGACATTGTGGGAGAGACTTGATCATAAAATTACTGCAGAGAAATTGAGTTTTGTAATGATAGTGCATGTCACGAAAACACAATGTACTAGTACACGTAAAACACCCTTCAACAACTCTGAGTCCTACTAGTAGCGAGTTGACCTCATTGTCACCTTTTGGGTGTCTTCATTTCCATCTTTCTTGAGTCTTGCTGGTCATGGTTCACACACGTCCAACTAATGCGTTGAAGAGGCCTGCTCAGGTAGTTTTGGACACGAAACAGAAGAGGTGGACTGCAGCTCAGGTTAAAGAAGATCGGGCACGCGCTGAGAAGGAGCAAGAGGAACAAGACCAGAAGGCAAAGCAAGCCATTGTGCAAGTGGCTGCCGCTCAGCAGAAAGCTGCCATTCAGCAGGAGAACACGGTATCTTCAAAGAAGCCATGACCCCACCCAACTGGCAAAGGCGCTGCAGCGACATCTTCTCATGCTCATGTTGTTGCAGTCGATGACGATGAAGATGAAGACTCTCAAGTCCTGGGACAGAGGAAATGCATCCAGAAGACTGATCACTGCAATGCTGTCAATGCAGTCTGAACTGCAATGCAGCCATCTCACCCACGTGCACCAGACACTGCCAGGAATGGAACAAGCTGATGTGGGTGTTTTTCAACTGCCCATCATGCTTTTACTTACTGAAACAATGTTATTTTACTGGAATCTGCTCCATGAATTTACCAGCGATCTAAGAAAAATATCTTCAGTTTCAGGTTGGGCTCAATGAGTCAATACAAAGATTGAGTCTACCCCATTCAAGGCGCCATTGCACTTAGAAAGTGCCTCTTCTGTTTCTCGTCCCACTGGATCTGCACTATCTCAAGTCACTCATGCAACGACTAATGCAACGACTACTGCTACAGCTCCCCCTGCGACACCTGAAAGCTCTGTGTTCAATGACGATGTTGAAATTGAAGATCACACACCAGACTCGGCTGAGGGGCCCGAGCGCTTAGCAGTGTATACTCTCACAAAGATGAGTAAACCAAAGTGCATCCAGAAATTGATGGTAGCTAAGTTTTTACCTAGTTTTAAATTTGTTCAATACTAACTTACTTTTAGGATGTGATTAAAGTCAAGGATGTTTCCAAACCTCCAACTCCACCAATTCCTTTGCAAATGAGGCTCCTTCAACATGGTTTGGGTAGCACCCATCCCCATATCACTCAGTCTGAACCAAAGGATGCCACGGTGGACCCTGAGGGCCAGGAGGACTCTATCATGATTGCAGACGATGCTGACAATTTTGATCTTGAAGACTATGATGCCAGCGCTGCCATGAGGAACACAGGTGGGAATAAATGAGTCACAGCATCAGTAGGTCACGCTGATTATGTAAGACTTCACTACTAACAAGATTTGCATTCCAGACCAACGTGGAAGTTGTGGATAACACTCCTCCGCCCAAGCATATCAAACGAGAGGCAGAAGGTGACGTGATGGCTGGAGAGGCCTTGGGGGCAAAATACAAGAACAGCGACCTTCCTCCTGGCTGCTTGGACCGAAATTTATGGTGCGGGGTGTTTATCCCCACAGTGGCGCATGCAGCTGGTGGCGAGAATGTCCACCCTTGGTTGATTGAGGACAATGTACTCATTCCAATTCTCACTAAGGCATGGAACATCATTTATGCAGACAATCCATCCCTCATGAAATACCAAATCGTACCTGGTGGTGCCATCCATCATGTGGTACGTCAACGGTGTCTTCAATTTTATACCAACACTTACTTCACAAATGGTAGGTTAAACAATGCCTCAGTGAATGGCACAGAGGGTTTGGATCTGCCGCTGTCATGATCATTACAAGTCTCATGGCTTCTGACACTATGTACAAAACTGACCAAGAGCATACCAAGTTTGCCAAGTTCTGGCTCGAAGACAACCACTTCCTTTTCTCAGATGTTAGCTCTGATGACCCAGAGGTTCGTGTTGTTTCTGTATTGCTTCATGCTAATGCAATTTTATAATTCAGGCATGGTCAGGGATGTGGCAGTCTACATTTATGTTGCAGACTTTTGCTGCACATCTCAAGGCTGGATGGAAATTCCAGTGCTCAACAGCGAAGAGGAAATCATGCGGGCATCACTTGCTTTGTCAGCAGGGGTGGTAACTATCCTACCTTTATGTTTCACTTTCCCTTACTCATCTTAATTTTTCAACAGGTAAAATGCGCTCTGTACCTCCTTTCTGTAGGATCGATGAGTTTTACCATCACAGCGGCTACTGGGAAGGGAAAGAAGAAAGCTGCTAATACTACACGCAAGGGTAAGGCATCCGCTTCTAATGGAGACATCTGGGAGGCTGTGATTGGGGAGAATGAGAGCTTCTCTGAGCCGCTCTGGGGTTACGATACGCACATGTTCATGCAAGCGATCAAGAATGTTCCCTCCACAGCCATGGAGGGCATCATTCAGCAAGCCCAGGAATACATGAAAGCTACCCCTCGTGGAGGACGGTCCAAGGGCGCTGACGAGCCTGTGGAGGAAGAGATTGATGAGGAATATGTCAATTTCCTTGCTTTCTGCTAAAGGTAAGTTTATTTCACTGCATGTATTAACTGTTGGCATTCACTCATCCTGATTTCCAGATTGCTGTTCCCTGGATCCTCGCCGGTACATCACTTCTTTGTTGCATTCTCTCAAGCTTAGTATGATGTTCTGGTATCGCTGCTTGCTTCTGTACCATCTCTTCCACATCTCGTTGATCATGACTACCATCTGAGCCACATGCTGCTTGATTTTTTCCACCACAATTTTCTGTTGCTTCATCTTTCATCTTGCTTTGACCTGCGCTTTACACATTTCCGACTTCGTCTTGATTGCATCTTGTTACACACTTACCATTTTGGACAATCTCGACATTTGTTTTTCAAAGCGCGTTAAGACAACTCTAAGCTCAAACATAAGAAAATGGATCTAATTTTTTTAAGTGCAGTGTTCTTACTCATTCTGGACTTGAATTGGACTTTGTTCACGATTTCAGCGACTCTGACCTTATTAAGGGAACATTAAGTAATATGTAGTTTTCCTGATGTATGTGCTTCTTTTGTTTGTGTAGTCATGTATTGCCATCTCAAAGAGGTGAGAATGATTTTGAAAATCATATCTAGAACACACTGACTGCAGTAACAAGAGCGTTTCGACCAGGGCACTGCTTTGGGAGATGATCAAACAATGGTTCTTGCAACATCCATATGCAAAGTGTTCTGTACTATCAAGTAATGCCTTGGATCGTTCTGGGGAGGAAAACTCTGAAGAGGACTCATCAAAGTCGCTTTCACTCAGCGCTGCACTCACTCCAAAGGTCCTTACCATAGCAGCAAATTCTGGTGCTGTAACCTTTTTTATTATCGCAATTGACAAGCTCTAGCCACTTTTCTATGTGACACCAATTGAATTCGGTGGTGTTTCCCTCGACCCTCCTGCATTGGCGTTATACTTGCAACAGCAGGTTTCGCCGATGGCATATTCCAGCTCCTTTTATATGCTCGCTTGCATGATCGCTTTGGTGCACGCGCCATGTATATGGTTGGTCTCGGCTCTGGTATACCTGTTATATTTTTATTCCCCATGATCAATGCTCTGGCTCGAGCCTATGGAATGAACTTCGCTATGTGGTTGGCCATTGGCATTCAACGTGCGCTAATAATTATCTTGGATATGTGCATCCATATGCCAATCCAGCATTTCATGTGTTCTGTTTGGCTGAGATGCATCCTTAGCAAGCATAGGATTGTTTATTAGAGCAGCTGCTCCTAATTGCGCCTCCATTGGAGTAACCAATGGCATTGTCCAGTTCATTAACGGGGTAGTGAGGATTATTGCACCAGTATGTGCAATGGTCTTTTCTTATTCGATGCAGGAAGGTCGTGATGCGTGGCTGGCATACTACTTTTTCATGGCGCTCGCATTTCTCACTATTGGTATTTCTATGGTCCTGCCTCGTGATCCTAGTCTATGAGAAGAACACAAATAGTATGTCCATCAGTGACATTCATTGTATTGGCTATGTCCGCCTCGTTTGAAGTTTGAACGATGTGTTTTCGGTGGTAGAGACAGTAACATTCTTTCCTGGAGTGTGGGTTAGCTTACTGTTAGACCCAGTTTCATTGTAGGATGAAAACCTATGAGACATGCCTTTCCCTAGATCCTTAAGAGCTACAACAGCACCCTCACAAGCCACCTTGTTGCGACATAGCAATCAGCCGACATGGTTCGTGCACTTCCTAGCTGTTAAGACCGTACTCAAGTAGTATCGGATCCGAAGGGCTTCGGCCTCAGCTCGTGCGCTGTGCCCCTTTCCCGAGTCTTGCCCCTTATTTCAGAGAGCTAAAGTATCGCGTCTAGTGAGACGGATAAGTATCGTAACGGATAAGTCTTGTATCACAACGGATAAGTATTGCAACGGATCCGTTAAGACTTCCGGATGTCGAATGTATAGAGTAACGGCTAATCCGGATCGGATCCGGACTAGAAACTAATGGGTGAGGACTGTCCGAAGACAGAGGCGGATATGTAGACTATAGGAATCTATCCTAAGTCTCGGAATAGACAAGAGTAGCGTACTCAAGTCCGGACGGATAATGGAGGGACTTAGAGTCCAGACGGAATGAGTGCAATCTAAGATGATATTCGAACTGATCTACTACAGCGCATATACAAAGGTTTATATACTACGGATAGCCAACGGAATGATCAATAAACAAAGGTGCGAGGCTATGTACGAAAGTATAAGCAAAGTCTAAGTGGAGCGTATTGGTAAGTCGGATGGATCATGAATCATGAACCGGGAATGAAGTACAAGTAAAAGCGGATTCGTAAGTGTAGCGGATCAGCAAGCATAGCGGATCAGTAAGCAAAGCGGAAGTAAAGGATAACCGGTATACCGGTGTACAGGAATACCGAAAGGAGATGAACAATAGTTAGAGTTATATGAACAGGAAATGAAATAAGAATCAAAGCAGATCTGTGGACCGGACGACGGATATGTTCATCGGATCTGGATCGGATCTGAGATCCAGATCATCAGATCTGTAACCGGATATATGGTATATGACACTAGCGGAGTTACGAGAGCATCTGAGTGGCGGAGTAGTTAGTTGATATAATAGATAAACGGAATCAGCCGAATATATTCTGCGCGCCACGAACTCCTATTATCGTTGCTGTTCCTACTAAGCCCAGAACCTAAATCTTAAGAGGTTACGAGCCCTGTGATATGTTATAAAGTTAACGTCAAAGCAATACATTGACACAAACAAGCAAGATGTCGAATCCCAATCCTAATCCTCCGACTTCTACAACTGTTGGGGCTTCCACAACAGTACCTGTCCCTGCAACAGTACCTGTTCCTGCAGCTACTCAGAAACCTAAAGAAATAAACTTGGGAGCATTGTCGTCATATAAAATTGAACCGCTGAGGGCGAGGAATGATAGCTGCGTGCTAGGGGGAAGAGTGGGAAGTGGGCTCTCAAGTGCTCCTCTGGATACGAGTGGAAAGTCGTCCCAAGGGGATTGCTACTGAGAAAGATTCCTCTAGTGAATGGTGAGGGGGATCTATAACCAGCGATTTGGTCTCGAAGTCTGAATGGGACACTGAGGCAAATAATGCACCCAAAAGCGAAGTGCGCTAGCTAAAGGCGCCTAAACGCGCTAACAAGGCGGAAAGTGCGGAAAAGCGCGCTTCAAATGTCAAAGCGCACTTCGTGCGATCACAATGGAGTGCTTCGAGTAGAGATGACAATCAAGATGGGGAATAAGGACTTTGATAGATGTAGAAATAGACACTTAAAGGTGTCAAAGCGCCAATAGGAAGGAAAACCGGTGTATTCAGATAGAAACTCGAGCTATACACTTCGATGGTAGTGGAGCACAACTAAGTGACCGGAAAACAAACATGGTGACGTGTAGGTATGCTAAGCGAGTTCCCACGGCTCGGAGCCGAATAGGAAGTACTAAGGTAAATGGTGAGGTAAGTCAGGGTCCATAACGAGATATGACGATAAGTACTAGTGCCTGCGTGACGGAGTATGAGTTCTGAAGAAGGGAAAACGCACCAATGGACCTTGGAGGACTGGGACGGGACATGCAGAGGACAGGCGACGGATCCTAGGGAAATGCAACGAAGTGCGCCGTAACGCGCTCGAACGCACTTGAACGCGCTGGTACGCGCCAAAGTGCGCGTTGCACGGAAGTCGTATTAGAAGCGCATTGTAAGGATATCAAGTGCGTCGTGAAAAGCCGTGAATTTGGCCCATATGAGCCTGGAGAAATGTGAATCTCTACACCGCTGAAAGAAAAAAACTGGAGTGGATGGAAAGCCCATATGATGGGCCTTCTCAAGCTTCACGGCGTGGCTGAACATGTCGACGGCATGACGAAAAAGCCTGATGCAGGCAAGGTGGATGAGTTAGCGACCTGGAACAAACTCGACCAAGTTGCACAGACCTTGATAATGAACAGCATCACTGACGAGCAGATGGTGCATGTTACAGAGGCTGCAACGGCCGAACAAATGTGGACAAACCTGATGAGTATTCATCAAGTTCAAGGACAACAAAGCATCGTCGTCGCAAAGCAAAATTTATTCGCTATGCGGGCAACTGAAGGCGTCAATATTGTTGAACATATCAATGAGATGAAACGGCAACAAAATGACCTACATCTTATGGGCGAGATGATTACGGACAAGGAATACAAGTCCTTGCTCGTGATGTCCTTACTGGACTCTTGGGATGCCTTCACATCCTCGTACCTTGGTACACATGCGGATACGCAAGGGACAAAAGGCATAACCTCCCAGGAGATTACCTCATTGATTATAGATGAATATAATCGCAGGGAGACACACGGTACGCAGGAGAAAGGATATTATGCTAAGAGTACTGAACGTGGGAAAAAGCGTAAGATTGAGAAGGAAAGACCCAAACAGAACTTACTAGAATGCTTGATTTGCGGTAGGCATAATCATGCCACCGCGAAATGTTATTGGAAAGGCAAGCTGATGAGGCGATCTCAACCTGGCTGGGCTGATATGAAATATCTAAAAATGCTCAACCAGTATAAGTGAGTCTTGGCTCTGCCTAGCTGCTATACTCGCAGAATGCAAGAACGTTCGACCCTAAAGGGGACTGCTACTGAACACAGAACCAGATGAAAGAAAGACCCTTGTAGTGCGATGGATGCGCGAAAGCGCAAGAAGAAAAGCGAAGTGAGCGTGAAGCGCGAGAGAGCGCACTAAGGTAAGCGCGAGCGTGGGAACGTGAGCGCTAAGGCGCGCGTTGTGCGGAAAATACCGGATAAGGAAACGGATAAGGAAGCGGATGTGCAAAGCGAGTGCAAACGCGGAGCGAGTGTTATAACGAGCGCGGATAAAGGTCTAGTATAGGTGGATAACGATAACCATTGGAAACACAAAGTGCGCCCAAGTGGTGACTACTACTCTAAGGTAAAACCCAATAGCAAGGGAAGTACAGCAAAGGGGAGTAATAATGATGGTGTAGTAAGTCAGCAACTTTATACTATGGAAATCGCATCGGAAGCGGAAGGGATAGGAGCAATAAGCGCTATGAATACGTAATGACATGTAATAATGCTGCAATGCTTGTTACAAACCACGAGGCAAGGCATATGACATACCAATGAGGTGGATGGACATAGAGGGACATTCCTGGATGATAGGCAATGCAGGGCAATGCAGGGCGCTTAAGTGCAATAAAGCGCGCAAGGTGCGCATGTGGGAATGCTGCGCGTTGTGCGGGAAAGTACCGCGCCTATGGCGCGTTTCGCAGGAAAGCTGCGCGTTATGTGTAAAACGACTAGGGACATGATAGAAGTCGAATATAGCTGATGGTGCAAGTCGTGCATTGCAGGCCAATTGTCATGAGTTGTGAAAAGGTGCAAAATGTGCCTATATGTGCCTGCAGAAACGCGAGTCTCTACACCGAAGTGTACGTCCTGTGATAAATTCAGACATGAGACTTCGGCGTGCTGGGGAAAGAAGACTTCAGGAACGTCATCCAGACCTCAAAAGCCAAAACGTGCTTACCAAGTGCGCGGCGAGGGTGACAAGACTGATATGGAAGTCGAAGACGAACCTAACATTGCGTTTATGGTTCAGTCTGATTGTGCCCCAAAGAGGGACCAAGAGTCAATGATCTGGTACGAATGGTTCACAGATTCAGGAACAACATCACATATAACCAGAGTTCAAACTGCACTCACAGATTATGCCCCAACGAAAAGTGAGGTGGTCGGGATAGGGAATGAACCCCTTGAAGTAAAAGGGCGAGGCACAGTTGAACTTGAAAGCTATATGGGCAATCAGAAGATCAAATTTTACTTAAAAAATGTACTATACATACCGAACGCATCAAACAATTTGTTATCCGTATGCCAGTTGGATAAAGACGGCGGATGTGCTAAGTTCGGCGGTGGGAAAGTGTCCTTGTATGCTAGACAAGGTCATCACATCGCAGAAGGAAATATTGATCATGGCCTATATAAATTAAATGTGAGAGCAAAATTAAAACCTATAGCAAGAGCACATACCGTACAATGAAGACCAGCAGCCGATTGGCTGACATGGCATAAACGATACGGACATGTAGCTATTACTGGCCTTAAGAAGCTATATAATGAAAAGTTAGTAGAAGGCTTTAATGTCGATGGAAGCGAACCTTCATTTGAATGTGAAGCGTGCATACGCGCGAAACAAACTAGGGAATCTTTCCCAAAATCAGTAGATGAACGAGCAGAGAAACCATGCGAACTTACGCATAGTGATGTATGGGGTCCAGCTAGGACCCAATCCATAGGAGGAGCTCATTATTATGTATCCTTCGTGGACGATTGTTCCAGAAGGTGTACCGTTGAATTTCTAAAGCACAAAAATGAGGTGTCGACAAAGGTAAAGGAATATATTGCCTACCTTGAACAACATAGAAATGAAACACCCAAAGCGATTAGGGTAGACAATGGTACTGAATATATCAATCATGAGCTGATAACATGGTGCAAAGAGAAGGGAATAGACTTACAAACCACGGCACCATATTCACCACAACAGAATGGTGTATCTGAGAGACAGAACCGAATGCTAACAGAATTAGCAAGAGCGATGATAACTGATAGAAACCTACCAGAGTTCTTATGGGCTGAAGTGGTTGCACACACCGCATATGTGAGAAATTGGGCACCGACCCGAGCATTAGATCATATAACCCCTGAAGAAGTATGGAGTGGTAAAAAACCTGACGTGTCATACTTACAAGAATTCGGCGTACCTGTTTATGTTCTCCAGGAGAACGCCAATCAGTCAAAAATGCAGCCTAGGTCCTTGAAACAAGTCTTTGTTGGTTATGTGGATGGACCGAAGGCAATAAGATACTATGACGCCCGAACACGTCAGATACGAGTGAGCAGAAATTATAAATTTATAAGCTCACCAGGAAACTCTCCACAAAGCGCTAGTGATGTGCAGTGCGAGGGGGAGAATGATATGGGAGAATTAGATGCGCAGACATCATGGGGAGCTGACGCGCAATCACCTATACAAGAACACTCCAAGGATGAACGGCAATCAGATATACGAGAACACTTACCAGAAAACAACTCAGATAAGGATACATCCGCAAGTAATAAGCGGAAAGAACCGCCTGAGACACAAGAGATGCCCAGAAGAACTAAAAGACAGACGGTTAGAAAAGACTACCGCAAGATGAATGAACCAGACTTCGAGGATGACGAGAATAATAAAGCTAAGTCATATGAAGTCAAAAACGGTGAACTGCCATTGCCAGAACTCACAGAGGAAGATATAGTCTTGATAGCGATGGTAGAAGGAGGACACATTGAACCCAATGAGCCAAAGAACCTAAGAGAAGCACAGGCGTCAATTGATTGGCCAAAATGGGAGGAAGCGATACGAGCCAAACTTACCCAGCTAAACGAAATGGGTACTTGGGAATTGGTAGAACCACCCGAGAATAGGACGCTCGTCGGAAACAAATGGGTCCTGGTTAAGCAAACAAATAAAGAAGGCGAAGTTATTAAATATAAAGCAAGGTTAGTAGCAAAAGGATACTCACAAATTCCTGGTATGGACTACACAGATACTTTCACACTGGTAGTACGTCTTGAGTCAATTCGATCGACAATGTCTGTTGCAGCTGCCCTAGATTGGGAAGTTGAGCAGATGGACGTAATAGGAGCGTATTTGAACTGGCACCTTAACAGAGGAGGTGTACATGGTCCAACCGGAAGGGTATGAAGACGGTACAGGAAGAGTGTGCCGACTTCGAAAGACCTTGTATGGATTGAAACAATCTGGACGTGAGTGGAACATTGAATTAAATAGTCATCTAACAAAGATAGGATTTAAACGTACTGAGTCGGATCCATGCGTCTATATAAGACAAACCGAGACAGGCACACAGATCATAACAGTATGGGTAGATGATCTACTCCTGTTTGCTAATAATCCCGATCTTATGAGTCAGTTAAAGACCAGTTAAAAGAGATATTGGACGTTACCGATCTAGGAGAACCTAAGAAAATAGTAGGAATTGAGATAACAAGAAACTGTGCTGAGAAAACAATTAAGTTGTCTCAAGCACGGTACATAGACTCAATCCTGCAAAAATACGGTCTCCAGAACTGCAATGCAGTAGGTATGCCCATGGATCTGAAAGTCATATTAGAAAAGGAAGATACCGACGCAAAAGGCGAGCGTAGTAATAGTTACGCCTCATTAGTTGGATCTTTAATGTATCTTGCAGTGGCGACACGTCCCGACATCGCGTATGCGATTCAGAGATTGAGCTCTTTTACCGCAAATCCTGGACTAACACATTGGTCAGTGGCAAAACAAGTATTAAGATATCTAGCAGGGACTAAAGACCTCGGAATTAAGTATCGAGGAACCGATTCCACAAACGCCAAAGTCAAATTTGAGGGATGGACAGACGCAGACTATGCTAATGACATCCGCGATAGAGTCTCAGTATCAGGATATGTATTCAAGCTAAGTGAAGGAGCCATTACCTGGAGTTCCAAGAAACAAAATGCCGTCTCACTATCCTCAACAGAGGCAGAATATACAGCAATGGCATATGGGGCGAAGGAAGCGGTATGGCTTCGATACTTGTTTGAAGATTTGAATTTGGCCCAAGAAGGACCAACAATCCTATACGGAGACAATATGGCAGCAGTTAGCGATAGCTCGAGACCCTCAATATCATGCAAGATCAAAACACTTTGATGTAAAAAATCATTACATCAGGAATAAGATTCGCGAGAAAATAATACAAGAGACATACTGTCCTACAGACAGGATGATAGCAGATGTACTCACAAAACCGCTAGCTAAACCATCACATCAGAGACTCTCCAACATGATGGGCATGTCTCCAGATTGAGGGGGAGTGTTGTGACATAGCAATCAGCCGACATGGTTCGTGCACTTCCTAGCGGAGTTACGAGAGCATCTGAGTGGCGGAGTAGTTAGTTGATATAATAGATAAACGGAATCAGCCGAGTATATTCTGCGCACCACGAACTCCTATTATTGTCGCTGTTCCTACTAAGCCCGGAACCTAAATCTTAAGACACCTCACTGATTCATCCATTCTTGTTGGAGTGTAGCCCCCGCTGGTCCACAAGAATCCTCACAAAAGTTGAAGAAGTCCTGCTCAGGGAATGAACTTCAACAACCTGAGCCAGACGGCCTCTTCTTAAGGAACTCGGGTGGCACGCAGACAGACCCGCCGGGGCTCTGCACTGAATGCTACAATGAGACTGAGGCACCGATTTTGAAGAATGAGGGGGCTAACTTGACTCACCTGAGTGTTTCGCTTTGGCAGTCTCAAAACAGTTCCCATGTCGTGTAGTCACAATGACTGCATCTCCTACCCCTAGCGCAGTGAGTTTTAGCCTCCAAATAGTCAGTCCACAAGGATGCGACAACAAATTTCTGTGGAACAGCAGAGTATTTAGCTCCATTGACAGAACTGTGACCGAGTCGTTCAGGGGCCAAAATTCTGTTGTTTATGTTTATGCGACAAACCCAGTACCCACATGTCCATTGCATACTTGGACGATCCATGTTACATCGAGCGTGACCCCTAGTCCAGCCTCGCCATAATTCATTCATCTGTAGAACCTTGCTGGCAAAGTGTCTACCCATCACTGAGGCTCCCTGCCCATGAACCTAGTAAGTTCATCAACCTGTTTCTGAGTAGGGCGCTGGTGATAACTGTCTGGCAGGTCGTTGAAGATGTACAATACATAAACGAAATCATTGACTATGCATTCTGCTGGAACAATCTTTTCGAGAGGTAGGGTTGTATAACCCGTTGACAGCGAGTGAATGTGGAAGGTCTTTCTGAAGCTGTAGCTGGGGTTTGTTCTGGCCTTGGTCATAGCCTTGATTTCGGGAAGGTTGGGATATCATAGCTTGGCGAGGAAGAAACGAGCTTTCTCATAAAGCCATTTCTCAGATATGTGGTAACCGTACATCTGAGCATTGCATTGCGGGGGCGGAAGGGATATATTGATACGGTTTAGTTTGGACCGTTTGGTACGTCCACAATCACTCTGTTCGTCTTGCTTGGCTGTACCAAGCCAAACAAGAGCAATGGAGAGGGATATCAGCAAACAACATCTGGTCACATCTGTATACTAGACATCACTCCATGAAGGCTTTGGAATGATTGTAGAGGCATTTGTTGGAGGGTTGACGCGGTGATCACCAGCCTGAGCTTCAAATTCCATTGTCAAACTCCTGTCTGACAAAACTAACTCCGACCTCAACTACATCGTCAGTACCAGTAACAGACATTCAAACTCCGACTTTTAAAGTACATAACTCCAGGAGTCCATCACAATCAACTTTCCATAGTACCGACTTTCAAATTTCATGCATCATGCATCATGGACGAGGCCTAAAGACCTAATACTAAGATTGATGAACAAGGTGTCTGCCGGCGCCGCGCGCGCGCAGCCTCCCTCAAGTGAATAACAACTGTTATCACCACCACCTCTCGCTTCTCTCTTTGTACCTACTAGCTATGCTTTGACAATGTCTCCACCGCTCCTTTCACATTTCCGTCACCCTTAGATGCCACTCGCTTGTACTTTTCACCCGCACGCAAAACCAACAACACAAACAAAAACAAAAACAAAAAAACCGAAACTGCAATTGCCACTCACTTCCGTATATATGCACTAGATCATCAAAATTACCATATGTTTTCTATCGAAGTTTACAGGACTCCGACGTTCTCTGCCTCGCACGAAAAGTTCATCGTCTCTCTTACTCAACGTCATTTCACAACTCTCTTCATCATTTGCATTCCCCATCGAACTCTGACTCAGCCCTACAGAATACTCACGCCTTTGCATCTAGGTATTTCGTCGCCGTAGTCAGATCTTGTAAGACGGCCCGGAAGACAGCTATCCCTCGAGTCCCTTTTAAGTCAGGACTTAGGACTCATCGTATCGTTTCGCTCGGAAGTGACTGCTTGAATTTCTGATCGCTCTGTGCGTACTATTTGCCCTGGGTATCCTTGATTTTGTACTGATACTCAACAGTGAGCTGAGATATTTGCAATTACGTCTTGTTTACCCTGCGGTGCTGCATTACTTTGATGCCCCCTGCGTTCTGTGCTGTCCTCATCTAACTTTATATATTTCACTATAATACATGGCAGACAATATGGAGCGGTGAGGAACGGTCTTTTCCATGTCTTTAGACAACCAACCTTATCAATGACCTTCAGATTTGAACAGCAGGCCGTGCTGCCTGACCTCGATGAGGCCATTGATCTCCATCGAGCTGCACTCGCGCTCTGTCCCCTTGGCCATCCTGATCGATCTATATCTCTCAACAACCTCGCAGACAGTCTTAATGTCAGATTCGAGCAACGGGGGGCGCTGCCTGACCTAGATGAGACCATTGAGCTCCATCGAGCTGTACTTGCGCTCTGTCCTCAAGGCCATCCTGATCGATCAATGTCTCTCTACAACCTTGCCATCAGCCTTCGAATCAGATTCGAGCGACAGGGGGCGCTGCCTAACCTAGATGAGGCCATTGAGCTCCATCGAGCTGCACTCGCGCTCCTTTCCTCAAGCCATTTTCTTCGATCATCGTCTCTCGACAACCTTGCTTACAGCCTCAATGCCAGATTCAAGCAAAGGGGGGCGCTGTCTGACCTGGATGAGGCCATTGACCTCTATCGAGCTGCACTTGCGCTCTGTCCCCTTGGCCATCCTGATCGATCCATGTCTCTCAACCGTCTTGGCAACAGCCTTAATACTCGATTCGAGCAACGGGGGGCGCTACCTGATCTCAATGAGGCCATTGAGCTCAATCGAGCTGCACTTGCGCTCTGTCCCCTTGGCCATTCTGGTCGATCCATGTCTCTCAACAACCTTGCTAACAGCCTTCTAGCCAGATTCGAGCAACAGGGAGCGCTATCTGACCTAGACGCAGCCATTGAGCTCCATGGAGCTGCACTCGCGCTCTGTCCCCTTGGCCATCCTGATCGATCCATATCTCTCAACAACCTTGCCAACAGCCTTAATGTCAGATTCAAGCAACAGGGGGCGCTGCCTGACCTCGATGAGGCCATTTGGCTCCATCGAGTTGCACTCGCACTCTGTCCCCTTGGCCATTCCGATCGATCCATGTCTCTCAACAACCTTGCCAACAGTCTTGATGCCAGATTCGAGCAACAGGGGGCGCTACCTGACCTCAATGAGGCCATCGAGCTCCATCGAGCTGCACTCGCACTCTGTACGCTCGGCAATCCTGATCGATCCATCTCCCTCAGCAACCTTGCTATCGGCCTTGATACCAGATTTGAGCAACAGGGGGCGCTGCCTGACCTCAATGAAGCCATTGAGCTCCATCGAGCTGCATTTGCGATCCGTCCACTTGGCCATCCTCTTCGATATCAGTCTCTCAACAATCTTGCCAACAGCCTTCGAGTCAGATCCAAGCAACAGGGTGAGCTGTCTGACCTGGATGAGGCAGTTGAGCTCTATCGAGCTGCATTCGCGCTCCTTTCCCCAAGCCATTTTCTTCGATCATCGTCTCTCAACAACCTTGCTAAGAGCCTTCTAGTCAGATTCGAACAACAGAGTATGACATCTGACTTGGAAGAGGCCTTTGGGCTTTATCTGCAACTCCCTGAAATATCTCATGCAGTCTGGTGTAAGGATCTTTACGCTGCAAAGTCATGGGCTGCCTCTGCCGAGCAGCTGAACCATCACTCTGCATTGGTTGCCTATCAAACCGCATTGGAGCTCCTTGATCGGCACGTCACTGTTTTGTCCTCTTTTTCCCGCCACTTCGATGTGATCAGGGAGGCCACTTCCTCCATTGCAATGGATGCTTTCTCATGTAATGTTCGCCATGGTGCTCTGACCACTGCTGTGGAACTGGTGGAACGAGGTCGTGCAGTATTCTGGACCCAGTTGGCCCGCTTCCGTACACCACTAGATGAACTTTCTGCATCAGGCGGCACTGGTGAAGCCTTGGCAGAAGAATTTAAACAACTCAGCTTTCGGATTCGTAAAGCGTTAGACGCACTAGATGTATCTCTTGAAGACCGGTCCTCGCAAATCCGGCAACTCATAATTCAATGGGATGGTGTTATCTCCCGCATCCGCAGGTTACCCGACTTTTCCCGGTTTCTGCTGCCTCCGCTGTTCTCTGACCTGCAGAAGGCAGGAGAAGACGGCCCAGTCATTATCGTCAACGCAAGCCGGTACAGCTGCGACGCCTTGATTATCCTGATTTCCCAAGATCCTGCACACGTGTCACTCGATATCACGCAAGCTGAGGTCTCTGAGTTGACCTCTACATTTCAGTCCCTCACATCGCATGCTGGCACTTCTGATCATAAAACCGAATCATACAAGATTGTCGGTGTTTTACGCACACTCTGGAGGCGTGTAGTTGCCTCCATACTTGAAGTGCTCAGGAAGTTCGTCCCCCGTGGCTCACGCATTTGGTGGTGTCCTACTGCTGAGTTCACCCTGCTTCCTCTCCATGCCGCTGGGCCTTACGAGCCGAATAGTCATAATTTCTCTCACTTTTACGTCTCCTCTTACACCCCAACTTTGGCCACCCTCATTCGCGCAAGACGGCAGGGTTCTCGAGATGCTTCTTCTCAGCATTTTGTTGCCATCGGTCAAGCGAGCCCGGACAGAGCAAAGGAACTTCGGTGTGTCGCTGCTGAGTTAGATATCGTCGCTCAGCGTGTCGCACCCGTTTTGTCCTTTACATCGCTTGCAGGCAGTGATGCAACAGTCCAGGGAGCATTCGACACATTAAGCCAAAAACAGTGGCTTCACCTGGCCTGTCATGGTATGCCGAATCAAGAAGAACCGTTTGAGTCTTCCTTCGCCATGTACGACGGGTCTTTAATGATCAAGGATATCATACGAACTCGCTTGCAGGATCCGGAGTTCGCATTCTTGTCGGCTTGCCACACTACTGTGGGTGATAAGTGGAGTCCGGATGAGGCGATTCATCTCGCTGCAGCCATGCAATTCTCCGGATTTCGTAGCGTAATAGGTTCCATGTGGTCTGTAGACGACGATGTTGCAGGCCAGATCGTCTCTCATTTTTACGACAACTTGGTTGACGATTCAGGGAGATTGGACTGCAAGCGTGCTGCAAGGGCATTGCACAAGGCTGTGAAGAAGTTGCGCAAGCAGATTCCGTTTGAACAGCAGATCGTATTCGTTCACATAGGTGTTTAGTTTGTTTGAGACTCACTAATCATTAATCATTTCCCGCTTTGTCATGTAGCCGCGACGACTGCGCCTGGTACCCCCCTCTCACAGTGAGTTTTAGCCTGGAGACAGTGAGTCTGCAAGGATGCGACAACAAATTTCTGTGGAACAACAGAGTATTTGACTCCATTGATACTATGACCTCCGAGAACTGTTCTTGATTTTGGCGACAGTGCGGTCAGTGCGATCTTCGAAGTATTAATATTGAAACGCGGGACAATCGTATGCGCACATCCCGTGCCTAGTATGAGCGGCGAATGCCCGGGCCCTTTCATTCATCTATTTCGTTCATACAGGCTTTTTTGCCCTCCAAGTGCTGATACTACGTATACTGATGAACACATCCAAGCTGCAGTTGTATCAAAATACAATCCTATACAAGATTAACCAGACCACAATACGGTAATACCACACTAAGAAAGCCTATCGCCCTGCATCAAACTAACAAATAATACACTCCTTCCCTCCTTCCTCAGTTTTCACCAACCTCGCCTCTAGCCGTGCTCGTAAACTACCATCAGGCGCGATATGCGGGGATGTGCTGCGAACGGACATTAGCGTCTATCACTTCAATTCCCCGATCGTCGTTGCATATTATGAGATGGCATGTGGAAAAACTCACTCAAACATCAACCCGCCTCCATCTTGTTCGCCGAGTGGCACTACGATCGCAGAGACATACAACGTGCCATGTTCGGACCAGGTATCGGGTTTGGCGGTAGGATGACGTAGGGCGTGTGGATCTGCTGCTAGAGACGTCACTGGTCAGGTTGCTCTATGTATGATGAATATACAGCCAGAATTTATGAAGATTCATTCAACAAAAGCTTCTCGCTTCATTGCAGAAAAATAGAACAGTATTGAAAGATCCTCACCTCCATTCCTCGTACGACAAGCAAGCATAGACTCGCCCGCACTAAAACGGAGCACCACCGGAGCACGCCCACTGGCACGCGATCCCAACGAGGTATTCTTCAGCTTCACGAGCTGCTTCTTGGGCATGAGTGCTGCAGTCTTACTATCCAATACAGATGTTAACGTATGCGAGGAACGGGACGGGGACAATTGCTTGAGCGAGGGAGATGAACAAGTCTGCATTAATCCGCGGTGGGGGTGCGAGGGAGGTGGAAGTAACATCTGTTTCTGTACATGTTTCTGTGTAGGTGTGTATGCACCTGAGAACGTTGCAGGGCCAGGAGAGCTTGGGGAGCTGGGCGAAGGAGGAGAAGGGAGGCGCGCGTGCGCTTGTCCATCATAGTTGAAGTCCCACTTCTTCGCTTCGCAGGCCCCCAAGCCCCGCTCCGTTCTCAAAGTCAGAGCCTTTTTCTCTGCCTGAAAAACTGGCCCTGTAGATGTGCCCTTTTGGCGAGTAGGAAATTTTCCTTGTTTGGTGAACGTGAAGAAGGCCCTGGAGAAGGAAGGGGAGGAGGCCGATCGATGACTACTGCTGCATCCACGTAGGTTGGTAGGCTGTGCTCGAGGAGGGAGAGTGAGACGTGCAATGGCCCTACAGCTCTTTTGGCTTTGGTGGACTTGGTGTTGGGTTGGGGACGATCGGTGGTGAAGAAGGTTAGTGCGAATATACGGCCTGAGAAGCAAAGAACGTTAGTTGGATTTCCCCATTGGTAAAGGAACTGAGGAAGAATCAAAGCAGGAATGAGGGTTAAAGAAGGAGCATAAGATATTCACCAGAGGCAATAAATTCCACGCTCACGCTCCCAACCGCACGTATACGTTTCTGCCACATCGCGATATCCAGTGTTGCAGCGAAAGCACCATTGGGGCCCTCTTCGATACGCACGTCATCTGGTGGGCGCTGACCAAGAAGGAGACTATCAGCAGCTAATGAGTCAAAAGCATGAGCTCCAATTCAGTTTCTCAACTCAAAACTCACCACTCCGTAACCCACTTGCGCATAACCCCGCACTGAGTCTGAGGTTTTGGAACAATGCCTGATTACTTGCCACCAAACATGCCTTCCTCATCTCACTTTGCGTTGCAGGCGTTAAAGGGGAGGAGTGTCTGAGCAAAGCATCAAGGAGCGAGGGGCGATAGTGGACGATAGCCCAATAGATGGCAGTGTGACCTGCTACAGCTGGCTCTTGAAGAAGCGTAGACAAAGACAGGTTCTTGGCAGAGCAGGATTGAGCGCAGGAGGCTAGGATTTCGTGTGGATCTGGGAGGGTCAGTTGCGGAGATTTGGGATTCAGGTTGAGGGAGTTGGTTGACGGGGGAACGACGAGATCGTGGATAAGCATAAGCACAGACTGACGGACGTGTTTCGTAGCTTTGGAGGATGTAAATGGGAGGAGAGAAAGCCATGAGCTTGGGCAGGATTTTACTTTACACGCCTTGGCATGCTTGCGCTTCTGGCAGGAGGAGGACGCAGACTCTGCGGGAACGGTTTTGCGGGAATCAAGCTGTGGGCGCTCTGGGAGTAATTTGTCCACGTCCACTGCGGCCAGTATTCGGGATCACTGCATCGTTTTGAGGTTGTGTAACTTGTGTTGTAAAGTCAATGTTGCTCCTGCTCCTAGGGCAACGTACGTGCCCACAGCCGACCCCGAGAAGGAGGCTCAAATTCATGCGCATCCGTTACAACAGTACTAGTCCTGCCAGTGGAAGCTGCCTCATTGTCGTGAGCGAAGGCGATGGAGATGGCGGGTATCGATGGAGCACCCCTGCGGATCGACAATGTGTCATAAGCAGGAGGAGGTACATCAATCTCAGGCTCTGCCTCTGCAGAAAGTTTGTCCGTCAGGATCATGAATACCAACAGTACATCAACTGGCGGTAAGGGGAACACGCAATACGTATACAAAGAACCACAATCATTTGGATTTATAAAGCATGCTAATTAAATTATAAGCCTGGCCTGTCATGCATTGTTATTCGGCTGCGGGCACTGGGTTTAACACCGCAGTCAGTAATCACTTCGAATAGCACACACGATGCACTCAACACTGCCATTACTACCACAGGATGTATCGCCAAAGTCAACGTCCCAGCTGATCAATGATACCCACTTGATAAACAAGTTCGCAAGACAAATCGTTACGTACAGGACGATGCATATGTGATACTGCGCCAAACTCCAGAAGGGATTATTGCGTGCACAACGGACAAACGACCGTAGTGTACTCGTCGTGAAAGTGGCTTGCACACACCAGCACACCAGCACTGCCTAGCTCCTCTCTTCCCACCGCTCATAGTCATTCAGTAGCAAGACTTGCGTGATACTTGTTTTCGACGGTTTCACATACAGCATCAAGATTCGTCAGTGCTTCAAGGAGCGCATTCAAGGACGAGAGCCCATCTGAAAAAAGTCGGATCAGCTCCTCAGGAGAAAAAATGTGAACAAACGAATATTACATACCATACATCTGTATTCGCAGCTGAATGAGGTTTTCGGAAGGATGGGGCACGCTGTAAGCGTCAGCAGATCAGTAAATCGAAATACATCTGTCATACATGAAGCAAGGGATGCCATGCTAGCGCATCTCAGTGTCTCTTCGCGATGACAGGTCCGGAGGGCATCGACCAGCTAGACCAAGCAACACCAGGAGAATAAAGCAAATCGCAGACCGCAGACAACAAGCCGATACCATTCACTGACCTATATCCGCAAAACTCCACCTTCGGGCTTCCAATACCATCATCAACTCAACATTCGTCAACCAAAGAACACAACATACTTTTTCATGATCATCCACCGCAGAGCATTTCCAATCGTATGTGACTCATCGAAAATTTGGAATGTAGCCGCAGATAGGTCTGGCGCGGCACCCGCCATCTGGGAGAGTTTCAGGTTATCGTGGGAGGGTCTGAGTTATAGCTCGTGCACGCACAATCTTGATTTTTGGGCTCGTCTCTGCCATGGTTGGTGAAGAGTGATGGGGTCGATGATAATGAGTATGAGGTCCCAGGTATCACTGGTATTTTGTAGGATTGATAGCTTGCCTTCCTCGTTGCCCGCTTAGCTCAGTGGTAGAGCGCGTCACTCGTAATGATGAGGTCGGTTGTTCAATCCAGCCAGCGGGCACGATGGATTTTTATTTTGCTGTTAACCTGTCCCCAAATCTATAACCATTCAGTTACATAAACAGAGTTAGTCGTCGTCATTGTCGCCGTAGAAAAAACCAAGGAGATATGGTATAGTTGTACAGAATGCAAAATACAAGAGTTGAAAGCATGCTAATGCTGAACACAATTCCACTTTTTAAATTAACCTACGGCTCCTCGAACACGTACAATCCGTCTAGCTCGCCACCATTGACCAGGCCCGTTCGCAGACGGCTAAAATCACCATCCCCAGCGTCAACAAAGCCCTTCCTGCTATACCCATCTGCGCGATCCACCACAGGAGGTGAGACGCTGAGTGTGCGAGGCGCTGAGTGGGAGCCCGGCGAGGACTCCTCAACGCGCAGTCGCTTTTGTAGGGAATCACCCCGGGACGGAGAGTCATTGCCCACGTCCAGCTCTTCTGACGAGCGTTTTCGTTGGCGAGGCGAAGGGATTGGCGCTACAGACTCTCCACGCCGCGCTCGGTCGTCAACAGGACGATCCGAGTCTGTCCGGGGACGCTTCGGCGGAGTCGAGGTACGAGGGACCTCGATAGGATCACCAGCAGCAGCGTTCTCTGCCTCGAGGTCTCCAGAAGAGCGTTTCCGGGGTGTGACAGTGTGCGTCTGGGAACGTGTGTTCGTGAGCTCATACTGCTCCTCCTCACTCTCTTCTTCCTCGTCCTCATACAATTCTTCCTCTCCTTCTAGCTCCTCTTCCTCTTCTTCCTTCACCACTTTGTTTCTTGGAACACGTACCTCTTCTAGAATTATTTCACTTAGATTCTCATATTCCGGCGGTTGCTGTGGTGGAGGCTGTGGTACCCGGGCTTGGGGTTCATTTTTGGGCGCAGGCCGCACCTGAGGAGTGACAGGGTTACCAGCGGCAACATTTGCCTTGATCATAGCACGCTCGCAGACAGAGCATCGGCAGTGATACAACGGTGCACATGCCTCGCGCCATACCTAATGTGGTTGGTTCGGACGAGGTAGCATTGCGGCACAGAATGAAACTCACCTGTTTGAACGCTTCGAGACTGTACTGTGCCATATGGGCCAGTGTAACCGGTACATAAGGGATAGGATGTAAAAGCTTGGGTGATTCTAGCACCGGTGATACAGGAATGGGGATAACGACTTGTAGTGGTTTCGGCCTTGCTGTTGGTGTTATCGTTGCAGGCTCATGCTCTTTCTCCTCAGGATGTGATGGTGGAGGCGACGGCGTGGTGTGCAGCGTTGTCGTAGAAAGAACAGGGCTCGTCGTGTGCGATCCATCGCTTCTCGTTGACGTACTGGTGCTACTCAAAGAATCGTCCTCGCGCTTGCCGCCGATGTCCAAGCCGCCGGCCGCCCAATCAACGCCATCAAACCATACTCCAGGCGTGCGCAACTCAGCAAGCACATCTTCAAGGTTCATCTTCGATGCGCGCACAGCAGGGTCTACCCAAGCGCCTCCTATCCCATTCGCAGACTCAATAACGAGCCGTCGGACAATATTGTTCATCCCAGGCAATAGGATCTGGCGCAGCTGTTTTGAAAAGGCACGGAAAGCCTGCTCACAAAGTCCGAACGAAGGTGGGGCTTGAGAACGAATAGTCGAGAGGCGTGGATGCGAGTCGTCGGTGGGTGAAGGAAGTGATGACGGGGATGACGGCCTGGAGAGTGTCCACGGACAAGGATGTGTAGCAGGAACTCTGATGCGGCGGCGAGACTGTCCACCCTCAAGAGGCTCGTCGTCGTCAGTTTCCGACTCGTAGTCAGGTTCCTCGCCAGGATCTCTGACACCTCCACCAGTTGGTCGAGCGTAACCATACCACTGATCGGCAGGACTACACCAGTGTCCGTCAAGAATTCGTGTCCGTGCCCAGTCAGCAATGGCCAGGTCGCGCACACCACCAGCATCTTCAGTCATAGAAAGCAAGTCGGGATCATCTTCATCCTCCGAGCCCTCGTAATCTGAGGAGTACGCTGAGCGCGGAGACGGTGAGCGCGAACGACGTGAAGGAGACAGGCTGTTGACGGGGCTATACGAGTCCCCCCCTTCTGTAGTGCGTGTATGATCTTGCGGCGGCGCTGCTACACTCTCCGGTTCACGATGATGGTAAGAATTTTGCGAGAAGTCAGTCCCCATGCCTTCGCTGGCCCAACGGGTAGCAGCGACAGCTTGCTCCATAAGCTCCGGCATTTTCGTGTATGACCGTAGCCACAGCTTTTCGCGGGCAACGTTCAGGACCTCTGTAATTGAGCCTTCGCCCAGTTCGATGAACGCATCGACTGTTTGACGCGTCTCCCAATCTGCTGATGCATATTTCCAGGGTGGAACACGTGCTAATGCGAGTTGTCGCGGGCTTGCGGGTGAGGAGCGTGACGAGGACGAGGATTGAACGAAACGTGGACCACCAATCGCCTCGCGGTCACGAGCACTTGATTTGATGCGGTTCCAAAGCCCCTCTGAACGACATGACCTACACGTTGCATCAACGCCAGGCCAGGTTTCATCATCTTCGTTTTCAGAACACAATACCATCAAGGCAGGATTGAGGGTAGTTGCATATGGGTTATAGCCGCCCAAGGCCAGATTAAAATTTCCATGGCTGTATAGTTGATTATAACCGCTGAGACGCATGTTACTCTGGATATCAAACTGGGGATCACACTCGGCGGCGGGAGCCTCACGTAGGCATACACCGCAAAAAGCGGTTTTGCGATGCTCGCGACACACGGATATCACGCCCAACCTTGGGACTACATGTGTTCGCTTTGCGGCTCCGAGGCCAACGGACGAACAAGGTGAATTGATGCGGCAGATGATGCAGGAATGGTAAGTCATAGTGCGAAAATGGGTGTGAGGGGGTAAACGGTAAGGCTGTGGAGCGATAGTTGCAGCCCCGGCAGCCCCATCTGCGGGGGCCTGAGGGCGTACGATTGCATATTGGTGAAGTATGTCATGAGGATCCAGGAGTGCGCATGCATGATTCCAAAATAGATGGGATTTGACTAGCACAGTGAATTAGCGCGTCACAGTGATAAGATAAAGGAGGTGAACACACGAGCAGTACACCAAGAAGGGGTGACATTCATCAACTTCTCGAGTTCTATGGCCTGACATAAAGCTGCATAGACCATTCTTGAGGGCCAAACCTCCCTAACTTCCCAAGTGAATGGACAGTATAGGTGCGTAGCGACATCCTTGAGGTACAAAGACGCAATATGTCTGTTATGCAGGCGTGTTTAATTAGAAATAGCTGCAATGCCATGCAGTGGCGCAGAGGTACCTGATGAGCTCTGGAGGGAGCTGTTGCCATGATCTGTTTGTATGTTTACCCTTGTAGATATGATCACCGGTTGAGTAGCTCGCAGTCGTAGCAGGCGCCGTTGATAAGGCCATGGTTGATGTTGTGGACGACGTTGAAAGGGGTACTGACGCCGTCGACGGCGAGGGGGCCATTATCTGAGTATCCTGTGCGAAGTGGACCTAGGCCTTGATTAGCGTATGGTAGACAGCCGGACCACAGATTCGATTTCGGGTCACCGTCACTCTCATACTGAAAAGTCACACACTTCCTTGGCTGGTACATTTCTCACGCACAGACCACCGCGTTGTGTAAGCGCACACTTGTTACATGAGAAGCATTCAAACATTCATAATTATCTAGATACGATCTAGATACACTATCGACATGCGAAATTCTATACAAAGAGCTTGCGTAATTCTAAACTGGCGGCATGAAGTCTGTCCAATTTCTTCTGCAACTCTGTGCGCTTCGAGGCCACAGTACTATGCTCCTGCACCATCAGTTGACACCGCGCGTATGCATCAGGCCCTGTCAAGCTCAACCCATCAACAAGCGCCTGTTGCATGCCCTTATGCAAACCGAGGACTACTTCATAGTCAATGGCCAATGGAATCATGTCAGCGAAGCGCTTGTAGGCAACTACAAAGGGACTCCTTCAGTTTAAATCTACGTTTTCGTGCAAAAACATACCCTGGAAGTACGCCCTTACTCCCGCCATGATCAGAAGGGCAGGCTCCATGGGATCCACGGGCAGAAGTTTTGGAAGATCACCGGCCTGCACGGAAAGACCGGCCTCGGTCAGCCCAGCGAGAGCCTTGTGGACGGCTTGCTGGAACGCTTGCCCGTGGATTGGGTTTGGGTGAATGGTGGCGGGCGCCCGATAATTCTGCAGTTTTGTGGTTAGCTCTCCGTGATCTCTGCAACCTTTGTAATATCCTAGGAATTTGGTCTTGTAGTCAGAGTAATAGTGCACGTTCAAAGTCGTTGGTGCCTTCTCGAGTTCCAAGAGCCAAGTGATTTTTTCCTTTGCTTGCTTTGCGGCGCTGTCGAGGTGCTCATTCACTATCATCCTGGGGTAACGATGGTGTCAGCGTAGAGGTGTCAAATAGTGCGGGATGCACATACAGTACGCTGTGAAGTGCGCCGCCCCTTCCCATTTTCCCAAAATGCTCGTGGACTAGATCGCTCAGTTCTTTCTTCAGAATGTCGTATGATTTGTCGAAAAGTATGAGCGAGGGCGTCTCCCATTTCTCGGTAAACTCCCTTATATATGTCTGTTGCACAATGAAAGGGTAGTTGTCGGGAAGTTCGCGAGTACGAGCCCTGGGATCTAGTCAGTTTTTGTTACAGCACAAGAATGAACCCCGAGGACCTCTGGGCGTGATTGAGAACATCTTCAATGTAAATTTCCTCCAATTGTGGCGTGGGCGACCTCGGAGTAAGCACGGGCCCTCCCGGGCCCACTTGAGGCTCCCGTGGTTCGTCCTCCTCGTTCGCCAGGAAATCAATCACCGGCAGTTCACGAGTGTCGCCCTTTCCCCATGGAATAAAATTTGGGGCTGTTGCTCTTACAGCACGTTTGAATGCCTGCTGGTGTGGTCGAATGGTCTGCAATATACCGTCTTGATCAGGCGTCCCCTCGAGTCGTCGAGATAACTGGCTCGAAAATTGACCGACTACACTCCAAACCTCACCCACAGGGTCGTTAGACGGCGCCTTGGGAAGTTTTATCATTTCGTCTCGAGTCTTGTGCAAAATATTGTATAATTCCTTATGGATCTCCGGAAGCCTATTACGTGTATATCAGCATCAAAAAGCGCCAAGATAAGAATTCCGACCTTTTCGTGATAAGCTCGGACAGAATCGTGCTCAGCCGCTCCGTCAGGTTGCTCGTTCGCATGAACTTCTGGTACTGCGGCTCTACGGTCGACCAGGGCTGTGTCAAAGCAAAGAAGTCATTTTCCTGCTTCCTTGCTTCGGCCCAGGAGATCCCGTTTTTGAGCGTCTGAGACCCAGGCTGCTTGACGCAGTACCAATTGTTCACGAGCGGCTCCTGCTCGTTTCGGATGAACCTTAGCCAAGTGCTCTCCTCACCAGCAGGAATGCGGTCCGGCTTTGTGAGCACGCCTGCGACATAGAAGTTAATTATCGCTTCCGAAGGTTTCATGAATGCAGAGACCCACCGACAGTGCGCTTGCCCTCGGGGTCATATTGCTTCGTCAAGTGATGCGCTCCTTGATTCTCGAAGTCGGCTAGGAAAATAGGAGATGTAAAGATAAGTAATTGAGACGCGAAATCCACTTACTTTCACAAGTAACCGTCAGGAGGATCACACAACTGGGTTTCTTAATGTAAGACGTAACCAAACCCTTGACGAGATCAATATCCCCGGTCTTTCCTGCACTCCCGACGCTCGCGATGAGTCCAGGAAGGTCCACGAATGAAAGATCCGCCACATCCTTGCCACTTATCTCCAAAGAGACGCAATTCTTCGAGAAAGATAACTCAGCTTGCTCAGCAGTCTGATCTTCTAGCTCGTGCAAAAACTTCTGGGCGTTGGTGCTGGGATTGAGGATTGCCCTTTGAGCACGCCTAATTCGATCTTCCACGTCCGCCTTATCGGTGATAGGCGATCCAAATGGAATCGTGGCCACATCACAGGGTTGGCCCGATGCGTCGGTGGTGATATGGAGTTTGACAACACACTTCCAGGCATCTTCCGAGTGTGAAAGTTTACATTCCGTTGGACACCTTCAATAGGATTAGACACGGCGTTTCCAAAAATAAAACGGGCATGCGCTAACCTCGTGCAGGTTCCAGCTGAGCGAGGGAGTGTAATCCCCGATATAGATTCTATAAGAGACGATTTGCCCGCACTCTGCGAGCCAATGACTGCAATCATAGGCAGGTCCATGTCCGTCTGTACACTAGAATTTACATTGACTCAATGAGCCCAAGAACATGACAGAAAGGGAGGAAAAAACTAACCCTGTCGTATGTAGGCGATTGATGAGGTCGAGCATCCTCCGGCGGTGCTGTGATAAAGTGGAGTCGGAGAGCCCGACGCCATTGTCTGCAGACGCTGTAGGGTCGACGCTGGAAGATGAGTTTTTCATTTCAAAAAGCAATGGTTAACAATTCGAATCCTAGAAGGATATATATCTATGTACACAAGTACTAATAGATCGATGGCCTCTTATATAATTTTTCGGCGCCAGTAAGACTACGGACTACCGTGACTAACATGAAGAAACAAAAGAAGGAAAGTTCTAGCGGCTGCCATCGGAAAGAACCATTGGGACTCCTGTCACAAAGCTGTGGTCCTGTGCCACCTGGGGACCTACAAGTTGCGATGCAGAGAACTTCTTATAATAAGAAAGAGCAGCACTGGCCTGAATCGGAAGACTGCCGTATAGATATGGCATGGGGTTAGAAACGAGGACAGGGGATTGCACAATGAATGATTGCAACAAGCTCGAGGACAAAGGACTGCAAAGAAGACAATGAAGATATCCTTTCACGAAGTTGTAACGAGGCTGCTTATCGACATATCAACAGTTACCGCTCGCCCTTTACAGAAAGAACACAGGAACTGTAATCTCTGATATCCTCAGAGCTCAACTTGTATTGTATCATTAGTCCCACATCAGTCACTGTACTAAGCAGTGTTTGGCATTTTTCTTTGATTGATACCATGGTACCATAATACTATCTCGGCACCTCGACCAGTATAGCTATCGATTGAGCCGCAGCTGCCCCATCCAAGTTGCTGGGGTAAGTCGTATCATTCGTACCTGCGGCTGAAGTCAGCCGTCTCCTTTGCATGATAGTACTAGTGCTCTGAATTCTGTTAGGCCTGGAAGACGAACATCTGATCGACCTTCCAATGCTGTTTAGGATTCGGGAAGGGAGTGGTGTATGCATGACCGAGTGCCACCCGATTAGTTCATGCCAACCCTTGATGACCCTTTGATGGGGTAGTTAACGAGAACGTTGGGGATAGTTGGCCACGAGACGGTGTCTTTACCCCAGAGTCACACCTGACTTCATATCATGATGCCGGTTCTTGCGTTCCGACTGGAAATTCGCTACGAACACATAAAGAAAGGCATCGAATCCGGTGCAGTGGCGCACAGTACAATTCTGGCAGATGATAATTGGATGATAAGACGGCGAGGTGAGTTAATTTCATACCCAATTCTTACTTCATATGACTGACAGCATCTCGTACGCTTTCAACTTGATCTGTAGATTTTGTCAGCTGCAAAACGGTGCTGTTACTAGGATGCTATAGCCTTTTGCGCGAGGACTCGAACCGGAGCACGATTGTAACAATCAGAGGTAACAATCCTTGCATCTAGCATCCCTGTCGTTAACATGATCGTATCATCTATTATTCACGCACGATATTCCCTCGGCACTCCATTACTTTCTCGGACCCACTCCCGCAATGATCGCAGCAGCCGCACAGACGAAACACGTAGCCGAAGAAGGCACGATCGCGGACGTGTTCACAACACTAGGTTCTGGTACTGAAGGGCATCATCTCGAGACGCGGTCAGTGCTACCTTTCTTCGCTTCCGAGGTCCTGACGTCGACATTGTAGAGAACAGCAGATATTTCATTGATATCTGACTTGGTGTGGGCAGCGACAGGTGCCTTGTTCTGTGTTAGTGGGTCCTTTGTGGCGGTGAGTACATAAGTTGAACCATGAAGAGAACTGGCCAGCGCCGCTCGTCGCTGCCAGCACAATATCTCAGTGAGATACTTTATGATGAGGCTGAGCATCCCGGGCCACTGCTTCCTTTTTCATTATACTGTCGAGTTTCTAGACAGAAGACTGGAAAAAAAGCTGAGAGGAAACAGACCAAAAACGACGACTAATTGATTATACACCCACGATGTAGAACTTCTTTGATGAGTTGTTGCCAGAGATATAAACTTCGAGGAGCACGGCCTGGAGCTGCCTGGCTAGTGGGAATTGATATCGAGAAATCATTTGGACCAAGAATCATAGTTCGAAGTCATGGCGTCTGCATGTCATTCAACGCACTATTGTGTTGGCACATCAAGCGCTAGATGTAAGGCAAATGTTATCAATGAGCTATATTATTACATGCGGTTAATTAATATCACCACAATCAACGCTTACGAAAAAACATGCATAGTTTATATTACCATAGCGCGACGACTCGAAAGCACGCCAAGTACTCACACCCTCACCAAAATACCCATATAGACGACCTGCAAAACAGCCTCCAGGAACAAAAACGAGATGCGGCGTTTTCTAGATGCGGGATTGACGGTGCCCACGTTGGCGGGTGAGTCGGGAAGAACTACTGAGCGGAGAGACCGAAGCTACACGAATGTGAGTAAGGTATTTGGTATATAGAAGGGACATACTATGAATAACGCGTTTGCAGCGAACGCGTAGAGGAATACGAGGGCATATATTGTCGGGTTTAGATTGAGGAGACCCGCGAAGAGTGTGAGGATGACGCTGGCTCGAGTTAGCAATGAAGTGAAAGGGTGTAAAGAGCGGACTCACCCAACAAACTTGTATCCACCATAAGCAATCAAATCTACCACTTGACCCGTGCCTTGGACATTGAGAAGGTAACAACCACATTGAACGAAGAGAAAGTCGAGTAGGACGACAAGGAGAGCACGTGTTGCACTTGAACCGAGGATTTGGGGGTGGAATCGTTCTTGAAGACCAGTTTGAAAGGCCGCTACGAGGATGTAGGTGACGAGTGCCATGACTGCGCAAGGAATAAGAAGGGGTGAATGGAAAGGGAAAAAGACGCACGGGGTATGTACAAATCGGGACTATTGATATCATCGCGAGGAGGCTGCCACTCTGTGTGACCAGCCTCTGTGCGACGGACTTTTCGTGTCCAGGGTTTATGTCGCCAGGGGAATATGACGAGCTGGAGTTTGTGCATGACATAGGAATTTGAAACGTTGAAGTGGTGTTTGAGCATGGTGACTTGTATCATGCCAGCGAACTGTTCATGGTGAGCAAGTAGATTAAAAATAAATCGGGAACACGTACATTCTTTTGGACATAGTCCTGGCCTGCAGCAACAGCTGTTTGACCCAAGTGCATCCCGAACTGAGCGGTAGTGTCGTTCATGCCCCATGCTGCAAAGTCTGGAATGTGTTGGGGTTGAGGATTCGGGATTGGTTGAAATGGAGGAGGATGGTATTGAGTTCGTGCACCATATTGTTGGTTTTGTGGTGAACTAGCAAAGCGTTGATAACCCTGAGGTGAAGCTGGCGTTGAAGGCGGTTCTGGTATGAAAGCTGGATGAGTCGGAACTGGGTGTTGAAGAGGTGGGGGTGATCGTGAATAGTAGGACATCCTCGAAGGAGCGGGTGAAGCATTGAGGGCGCTGCTGGGAGTGAGCGTCACGCGTGATACAAACAAAAGCAAATAAATTTTAGTTGCCTCTACTGCCACTACTGGCAGCATCATTGCAAAATTGTGTTGATTCTTGTTATTTTGATATACATACTCTTCACCGGTTCGCTGATGGGCCACTATCATTATTGACACGGCAAGCGTGAATCCCCTTTTCATTTGCAACTGGTGTACCCATCGGACCCTACGTGACCTTGTAAACTTATACAGCATATGAAAATGCAGTACAAGAAGTCCCAGTAAAGGCAGTGCGGTCGAGTTTTTCAAAAGCTGGTAGTGCAATCTCATATGTAAATTGCCCGCAGCGCAATCAACGTACCCTAAAGGACTAGTACTCATCGCTTCTCTGATACGGCCTACATTGCTGATGCACATGTGCATGCTGTTGTAAGTCTGCTACATGTTGTAGGGACAAGGCTGCGAGTTTGAACGCCGTGTGAGAGAGGGTGACAATTCTCTGTAGAACTACTACATAAAATTGTACTTTTATATGTAGCGGAAGACGTAAGAAGGGAAGTCGCACCATCAAGGGATAAAGGTACGGTTCCATAGCCAAGGGAATACAATTCCTTACATCCCTTATATATATAGTCCATCATGTGGGCATCAGGAGTCACAGGTACTGCAGTTTTCGTGACCTCTAGCGCTAAGCACACATCTCCCTCTCAAGTGTTAAATCGAATCAATTCCTCAGCCATATGTCAAGCTTCGTCCCTGGTCATTTCAGTGAATACCCTCCACCCTTGGGAGAGGGGCCGAGCCACCCAGAACAAACCCAGGACCCGGGAGAGACACACATCACTGAAGTACAAAAAGTCGTCATCACTGGTATGTGATATCAATCTCTGTTCAGCATGTATTGTCGATTTCCAAGCCATTCGCGCAACCGATCTTACTCTTGGTCTCCGACGGATCCCCGCTGGTTTCCACGTAGTAGTAAAGACCGACAGTGCTGAATGCCAGACGAGCAATAAACCTGTACACGTTGATCAGACTGTTATCGAATGGAACGAGCACATACTTCTGTACGTTGTCCTTAATCTTGTCTTTCTTGCAGGTATTGAGAATGACTCTAGGCCGTGTGAGTCATCTTCTAAAATTCGTGTCAGCGTGTATGCCTCGTTTGAGTTGGGTCCCATGCTCTGTCATGGAGAAATCCTCCGCACATTCGAGATCTCTGTCGGAGAATTATTGGATCGCAGCGAAAAATTGCATCGTCAGTATTATCTACTGCAAATAACGCCTAATGGATGTTAATGAATATCCCAGCCATCATCCTTCAGCCAGAACAAGAGGAAGTCGTATCTTTGTGCACTTTACTGTTCATAACAGTAGAGCGACGTTCTGATGAAAATGATGCCGCAGCTCTTTGCCCCCTTACTACCATGAGTGATAAATGCAATCTGATATCTTGATGCTGAGGGCTTGTAATGTATAGCCTATGTCTGACGATATGCATGCATTGTTACTAAGGATGGATGCCGGACATGATCTTCTCGCACGCTACCGCAGAATGCAGCACCGTTGGGATTTCGATCAATCCATAAGTCACTTTGAACATGCCTTGGATATCTGCCCCATGGATCATCCCTGCCGCCCTGCAGCACTGTTCAATCTAGCTACCGCAAAGTTTGTCAGTTGCCAGGCTAATGAAACATACCCCAACTTCGACATCCCTATCTCTATTTTTCAAGATGCTCTTGAATTGCGTCCCACTGGTCATCCAGACCGACCTGCCACCCAACTCCATCTTGCCATTGCTTTGCTGTCTCGTTTCATGAAACAGGGATTTCTGACGGATGCTGATGCGGCTGAAGAGTTACTGAGCAAGGTTCTCAATGTCTGCCACGCCAACAGCCTCATTCACAGAGCAGCTTTGCTTGCAATTGAAACATCGGCTGGAAGCACTACTGCAAATGATCTCGGGCAGGAGCAGCCCACTGCATCTATACGTCCGTTACCGCTGAATCAACTTGTTGATATGACAGTACAGTGTATGCGTAGAGATGATCCACATGCCTTGGATGAAGTGATATGGCTTCATTACGATGCACTCAGATATTGCAACATGCATGCTTGCCGAGTATTGTTATGTAATCTGGGTGGATTATTAGACACTCGCTTCAAGCGTTGAGGCAATGTCGAAGATTTGGATCAGGTTATCGCACTTTGCAGGGAAGTGTTGCCTTTCCACCCAGTTGGTCGCACATTTCGCTGGGGGGCATTAAATAATCTTACAAATGCACTTTTCACCCGCTTTGAATACCGAGGCAATGATGAAGACTTGGATGAGGCAATCACACTTCGCAGGGAAGCGTTAGCTTTGCACCCTATCGGTCCCACAGATTGGTCCAGGTCATTAAATGACCTTGCAGGTCGACTCTCCACCCGCTTTGACCGCCGAGGCAATGACGAAGACTTGGATGAGGCAATCACACTTCACAGAGAAGCACTAGCTTTGCACCCTGTTGGTCACACAGATCGGTACTGGTTATTAAATGACCTTGCAGGTCGACTCTCTACCCGCTTTGAACACTGAGGCAACAATGAAGACTTGGATGAGGCAATCGCACTTCACAGGGAAGCGCTAGCTTTGTGCCCCATCGGTCACACAGATCAGTCCAGGTTATTAAATAATCTTGCAAAGCAACTCTCCACCCGCTTTGAACACCAAGGCAATGCCGAAGACTTGGATGAGGCTATTGTACTTCAGAGCGACGCACTAGCTTTACGTCTTGTTGGTCACCCAGATCGGTCTCAATCATTAAATGATCTTGCGAATTGCTTGCACACACACTTTAAATGGTGAGGCAATGATGGAGACTTGGATGAGGCTATCGCACTTCACAGGGAAGCGCTAGCTTTGCACACTGTTGGTGACACAGATCGGTCATTGTCATTAAATAACCTTGCAGTTCAACTCTCCACCCGCTTTGGACACCGAGGCAATGGTGAAGACTTAGATGAGGCAATCGCACATCACAGGGAAGCGCTAGCTTTACGTCCTGTCAGTCACACAGATCGGTACTGGTCATTAAATAACCTTGCAGGTCGACTCTCTACCCGCTTTGAACACCGAGGCAATGATGAAGACTTGAATGAGGCAATCGCACATCACAGGGAAGCGCTAGCTTTATGCCCTGTCGGTCACACAGATCGGTCCAGGTCATTAACTGACCTTGCAGGTCGACTCTCTACCTGCTTTGAACACCGAGGCAAGGACGAAGACCTGGATGAGGCTATGGCGCTTCTGAGCGAGGCACTGGCCTTGTGCCCTATCGGTCGCACATATTGGTATGGGCTCTTGAATAATTTTGTGACTTTACTCTCCACCTGCTTTAAACACTGAGGCAATGACGAAGACTTGGATGAAGCTATTGCACTTCACAGGGAAGCACTAGCTTTGCGGCCTGTTGGTCACATAGATCGGTACCTGCCATCAAATAACTTTGCAAGTCAACTCTACATCCGCTTTGAAACCCGAGGTAATGATGAAGATTTGGATGAGGCTATCGCGCTTCACAGGGAAGTGCTGGCTTTACTCCCTGTCGGTCACACACATTGGTGCTCGTCATTAGATAACCTTGCGAGTGGACTCAACACCCGCTTTGAACACTGAGGCTATCGCGCTTTGCAGGAAAGCGCTAGCTTTGCACCCTGTCAGTCACACAGATCATTTCAAGTTATTACATGATCTTGCGCAGGGACTGTCCTCCAGCTTTCAACACCGACGTAGTAATGATGAAGAAATGGAAGAGGCTATCGCGCTTCACAGGGAAGCATTAGCTTTGTGCCCTCTCGGTCACACAAATCGGTCCTTGTCATTATATGGACTTGCTGTTCAACTCGGCATCCGCTTTGATCACCAAGGCAATGATGAAGACTTAGATGAGGCTATCGCGCTTCATAGAGAAGCGCTGGCTTTGTACCCTGTCGGTCATGCAGATCGGCCCTGGTCATTAAATGGTCTTGCGGATAGACTCTCCACCCGCTTTGATCACCGAGGCCGTGTCAAAGACCTCAACAAGTCACGGGATGTTCTCCACTGCTTATTGACTCTGTTGACGCAACATGATCCTCATCAATTACGAGTCCATCAGTCTCTAGCTGAGGTCTGTTTGTTATTCCATCGATCAAGACTTGACGGCAATGGTCCGGATGAAGATATTGACAGTCTGAATGCTGCCATGGATCATTTCCAGGCAGCAGCAAATATTGTCTCTGGATGTTTGCTACCTCGCCTGTGAGCAGCTCTACTCTGGGCTCACCATGCTAGTCTACACTCACACGGTACTGAACTGGAGGCTTGTACGACTACTATGCGACTTCTGGACACTCACATGCCTGCAACAGCTTCAGTATCGTCTCGTCATAATGTCATGAGCCACTTCCCAAGCATGTTTGCCGTGGATGCTGCATCATGTGCTCTTCGTAGTGGTGACGTGCATCGTGCTGTTGAGTTGTTGGAACAAGGCAGGACTGTTATCTGGACCCAGATGACACGACTCCGCACGCCTCTTGACGACCTCCAGACTCGCGGCGATCATGCAGTGACCTTGATGAAGAGATTCAAGGATCTCAGCTCCCTCCTTGATAAACCTCCTGCGAGCCGTCCAGAAGGGACACCGAGAGTTGATATAGAAGCAGAAGAAATCCGGTACAGACATCTAGTGGAGGACTGGAATGGAGCTGTAGAAGAGATCCGGAAGATTGAGGGCTTCTCTCGCTTCCTACTTCCCCCTTTGTTCTCCGATCTTCAAGATGCAGCTCGTGATGGGCCTATCATCATGCTCATTGCAACCAAGTGGTCTTGCAATGCCATTATTATCCTGCACAAGCAGCCTCCAACTAGCATTCAACTCCCTACCAATTTTGAGAAACTCAAGAGATTGATGCTCGCACTCCAAGAAGCAGTTGAAAAAGACGCCAGTCCTAAAGGGAGCCAACCAGCGCTGGTAAAAACTTTGAGGGAGTTGTGGAACAATGTCGTCCGCCCGGTTGTCGAGAATCTGGGTGAATTTGCACAACGAGGTTCCCGAATATGGTGGTGCCCAACGTCTCTCTTCAATTTCTTGCCGTTGCATGCTGCTGGTGAATACAGGGCAAATGGGGAGTCCCTTTCACAGCAATATACCTCTTCATACACCCCATCGCTTACCGCGCTGATGAGGGCTCGCAAAAGTCATGACAGGTCGCTGTCGGTGTTCTTCACTGCCATTGGCCAGAATCGCCCAGCAGGTGCTTTATCCACTTTGGATAGTGTGGAGCCTGAGCTGGAATTGGTGCGGAGTCTTTTGCTGCATCCCCCAACTGTTTCCTTCACCAAGATAACGAGCATTGATGCCACAAAATCAAGAGCACAGTGCGCGTTGCGAGATAATACTTGGGTCCATTTCGCATGTCACGGGACACAGAAATTTGACGAACCCTTCAATTCGGCCTTTCATATGCGCGACCACCCGCTGTCACTCCTCAATATCACCCAAATGGATCTCTCTCGGCATCAATTTGCATTTCTCTTGGCCTGTGAAACAGCAGTTGGTGTCCCTAGAAGTCCTGACGAAGTGATACATCTAGCGGCTGGCCTGCAATTCGCTGGGGTTAAGAGTGTCGTTGGGACATTATGGAAGGTCAACGATAATACTGTGCAACGCTTAGTCAAGGAATTCTACACAAACTTGTGTGGGGATGGCAAAATGAATTCCAAACGAGCTGCCCGAGCGCTGCACCGAGCGGCCCAGTCGTTGGCTCGCGACAAGGACATGCCCTTAGACCAGCACATAGTGTTCATGCATATTGGCGTATGATCAATTTTGTGCATACTCCCAGCTTGTTGATCAACATGTTAATTTGACGACTTCGCGTGTAGCATCCAGCTGTGGTTACTTGCAGCCTGTTGCCAAGACAATAAATTTCCATGTTTCAGACTTTGGAACTGTATACCTCTCCAATATGTGCACCCAACGTAGACTTCTTTGTATTTCCCACAGCGGAAGTCGGTTTGAAGTTCTGATATCTTCAAAACAGTGTTGGAAATGTTATTATTAATGTTGGAAATCAACCCGTCAATATGGTACATAGTTGCTTTTTCGTTTGACTTACGCTCAGTTTTGTAATGTTCGCCACTTGGCTATGTCGAATTCTCAGTAACTCCTCGCGCACATGTGGAAATATTAAGTTCGCTGGAAAGCTGAAAACAGAAGACGATAAAGACGACTCGAAAGCGCTACTGTGAACAAGCACTAGACTGACTAGAGTAGTACATACTAACTAGTGCCCCTCTGTAGCACATAATTCAGTCGGACAACCGTAATTATTCAAGCTCGGTGCTGGGTATAGAAATTGACAAGGAATCAAAGAATCAAACGGTACACTCGATGTTGCGGCAGTAAAATTATCGTTACATAGAGCTAGAAGTTCTGATGTTAGCAACTGCAAGGACGGGTGGTAAAGACTAAGAACTCACGCATCTCGGCAACAACAAGAAAGGGCATGAATTGGAATTATGATGAGAGGTGGGTTCGAGCAAGTCAGTAGGGTTGGGGAGGGCATGTTCCAGGCTGGACGAGAAGGAAATGAAGTGATCGTTGCGAGTGTCGGTTGGCGTGATACAGCTTTCTTGGGTGGGAGATGCAGTGCTTCGATGCAGCGAAAATGTGGAGAAATCTGGCTCTCTGGACATGGGAGATGACTGCACTTGCACCGCATCCCACAGCCGCACAGTCATATCCCAAGAACCAGACGCGATGCGAGTACCATCCGGTGAGAACGAGACTGACCAAACCTCACTAGTGTGCCCCTCCAAGGGCTCACCTAATGGATGTCCTGTCGCTGCATCCCACAGGCGCACAGTGTTATCCCTTGAACCAGACGCGATGCGAGTACCATCCGGTGAGAACGAGACTGACTCAACCCAACCAGCGTACCCCTTTAAGGGCTCACCCATCATGATGGCTGTCCCGTCGCCGCATCCCACAGCCGCATAGTCTTATCCCAAGAACCAGATGCGACGCGAGTACCATCCGGTGAGAACGAGACTGAGGAAACATCACTAGTGTGCCCCTCCAAGGGTTCACCCAATGGCTGTCTAGTCACTGCATGCCACAGCCGCACAGTCTTGCATTTTTCGAACGCATATACCTGCCCCTTCAACCGTCTCACATTGAAAAAAATCACGCAGAAGAGCAACACCACTCACACTAACAGCCTTTGGCGAAGAAAGACACCAGAGACCCTCCAATGACTCACGTGGAACTGGCGGGTGCCCATATGCGCTTTTCGAACGCATATACCTACATGATTGTAGTAGCAAGAAGATAAGATGAAGGTGACTAGTAAGTCGTACAACTCAGATACAATGATGATATCATGTAACACCGTCGTGTAAGCACGATGCAAAGCAATACAAGGAACGACGCCAAACAATGTGACAACAAGTTGTTTACCCGATCTGGCCATATCAACTACGGTACAATCTCAGAACCCATCGTACCACGCCATAGTGGGTATAACCTACGGAGACAGCTGTAACTTATCACTATGACATTATTGACACAGCAAGAAAGACCCGGACTCGCCTATTATGTGCATTTGGTGGTCCCATCAGAGGCCACGGAACAGCACTCAATACAGCTGCAATCTTCAACTTCCGTGACAAAGTTGTCTGTCGAACAGAGATACAAATACGCATGGCCCCCGTTATAGCTCGCGGATCGACCGCACTCATGCTTTCCTGCAAACACTCGTAAGTACGCAGTCTAAGATCAAAATACTGGTATGATGAAAGTATTCACCAGGCTGGTTGCATGAACCGCCGGTAGGATCTTGTGCTATAACAATGCCCGCCAGTACTGCCGCAGACATAATAATAGTGGCGGGTGAGATGAACTTCATTGTTGCACTTCAGGATAGGGCTCGACGACTTGGGTGTTCTTTGTTATTGAACTGAAAGTTATTGCTTTACTTTTATGCACAGGCAGTAAAGGGGGTCAGGCTCGAAACTAGTGTAGAGGGCAGAACTACTTGCAAAGGGTCAGTTCTTCTGGTTGCAACCGGCAGAACTAGCAAAACTTGTTTTTCCGGGGCGGCAGAACCCTAGGCTATGTAGAATGTGCATGGCATTCCCAACGGCGACATCAATGTTGCCTCATCCCATCCGTCATCCTCGCTATTGCAATTAACCACCTTAACCTCATCTAGAATAGCACGCGGAATTATTCCTTGTTCGACGATCCAACTGGCCAAAATCAAAAGCATTTCCCTCGAGCACTTCAACTTTGTCAAAGCCCTCATCTCTTCTTTGGTCCTCTTCGACTCCTTGAAAGCCGCGAATTCAGCAGCAACGTCGTCAGGCGAGATACTCTCTTGACCAGCAAGAAGGCCATCTGCATCACGAGGCTCGGTCGAGAGTGAGGTGCCCACGCGAATTATGCTTCAAGATTCTGTGCAGTCTCGACAGCCGCAATGTCGAAATTGTCATTTCCAAGGGGGTGTCCTCTAGCATGCACAGTCTTACTCGGGCAAACCGGTTTTCTTGTTCTATTGAATTCGGAACTGTGCTATCAGATCTACTTAAATTATATCTCCGCAAGACTCGCGTCCGGATACGATACCCTGGAATGCTGCCAGGTTCTGCCGCTACCCTCTCTTCGCGCGAGTTCTGCCGTGGGCCAGCCACAACCAATTTTTCCAGACCGGTTCAACCGTACTCACTTGGCATAACTGCCGAGTTCTGCCAATAACACTACGGGCTAAAACACGCATCTGCTACGTGCCCGACGGAGCAGCATAATGCTCCATAGCAACTCGATATTTCTAGACGTGGCTCCATGAGAACTCGCTGGCGTCAAGTTTGCGTCGAAATTTCATAGCTTACGTATGGTGGACGATAGGTTACGGTTCGATTTTGCCGATTTGCCGCGACATATTTGAAAGTCCGCGCGATGTTTATTCTAGTATTACAAGCATACCTAGGTATACATGCAAATTTGTGTCACACTCTCAGAGCCAGTTCGGTAACCCAAGGTAAGGTGAGTTTGCCACCTTGAAACGATTATATAATGTCGGCATGGTGGTCCCGGTTTGAAGCCCGATGACGGAGCTTGAACTTCCCTTTGACATGTCTGCATGCATACCTCGGTATACGACTAAAGATCTACGAGATCGGAACGACATCTGGGCTAGTGTCGTGTCTATAGTGTTATCTGCTCAAGTCCACATTCTTTCTATGGCTCAGCAATCATCTCATGCAGACAGGGCGGTCTGGACTGACACAGAGACTGATCAGCTTGTCCAATACCTGTACGACAATCGGGAGAAGGTCGCTGACACCGGTAACTTCAAAGATGTAACATACAATGGTGCTGCAGAGGCTATTGCTGCGCACCTGCAGCAGGGTCCACAGAAGACTGGAACGATGTGCAAGACGAAATGGGGAGCAGTAAGTCATATACCAATATATCGCTTAGATATAGACTGATTAGATATTGTATAGTTAAAACAGATCTATAACGCTATTCAGAAGTATTGCCAGACGTCTGGTGTCCACTGGGATAATGTCAGAGGAGCCAATATCACGAGCGAGGGTGCAACCACGGTATGGAACGAATATATTACAAAGAAGGTATGTCCAGTTCACAGTGTCATCTACATTTTGTACTGGTAGCTTACTGTTTTATATCTAGGGAAATTCGCACATGCGCCCTTTTCGTGTATCGGGATGGAGATACTTTGAGCAAATGGATGATATCATACCAAAAAACAGTGGCGCGCGAGGGCATACCGGGTACCAACCGCATACAGCTCCCCCTCCCTTAAGCTCAAGCTCCAGCGCTAGCATACCAGCAGCTGAAAATCATACCATGGGCGCCACCATTGCTACTTCTAGTGTCAGTGCCGCTCCTGCTGGTCCCAGCGCCACCCCTGCAGTAGTTGCCCCTACTTCTATTCCTACTTCTCAATGTCCCGCCTCTATTGACAGCAATAACACCCTTTCCACATCCTTAGTATCTCGGCCTAGCTCCAAACGCTCTCACTCTGACATGGTTCAAGAGTCGACTACCTCACTTCCTTCTACCTCGGTTTCTATGCGAGACGAAGACCCTCAGATGCCGCTGCCTCCCTCTAAGCCAGGCTCTCTCAAAAGAGCAAAGACAACATCAGGCCGTGCACAGACTCGGAGCGGTGCCACTGGGGGTAGTGGTACAGCGGATGTCAAGATGTCGAAGACCACCACTGCTGTAGCTGTGATGGGGTTCCAGAGCCCCGTTAACCGCCTAACAGATGTGATTTCTGAGCGCATGGTCTATCCCGAGGATCGGGTGATGGACCAGCGCTCAAGGGCCATGCAGATGTTGCAGGTTGATGATGCTGACTTGCCATTCATGGAGCGGCTTATGATGCAACAAGTTTTTGCTATGGACCCTGCAGCTACTGACATATATACACAAACCACTGACAAGGAGATGCGCCATGCTTTCATTATCTCAACGGCCCAGCGGTTGGGAATCCAACCTATGATACTGCCTCCTGGGTCCAATTCTTAGCGGTACAATTGTCTTACTAGTTGCATGAATAAATGAATGAATTGTATGTGCTACTACATCTCGTTGTCGCTGTCATCAAAGGAATCGTCTGACGAACCCCGCTGCTGCAAAATGCCTTGATAATCCTCCCACATGCAGCGCGCGATATGTTCACGCGCTTCCTTCATGCTTCCATCCTCTTCAAACTCCTCCTCGTCTTGAGGGATCCCTTGGTGCTCAGGGTTATCATAATCGAAGTGTTCATCGTCATCCGCGTACTCTCCTTCATCAGGTTTGTGGGCGCATATAAAGTTGTGAATCGCGCATAACGCGGCAGGTATACGTGCCTGGATGGTCATAGGATACTCAGGTGACAGTAAGAGAATGCGAAAACGGCGTTTTTAACACGCCAAAGATGCGCTCAATCACATTTCGAGCAGATGCGTGTCGCAAATTGAATAACTCTTCTTTATTGACTGGTCTGCAAAAATAGAATAGATATTAGGAAGCTTCAAGTAAAAAGAAATAAAACATACCTGGTATTAGCACGCCCCCACTCAGTTAGATGATACCGGACACTGCGGTAGGGCACTAAGAGCTCGTGACACAAAGGGAACCCCGCATCTGCCAGAAAATACTTGCTGGGAGGGATATACAAGCCACCTGAACGAGCCTCATCATAAAGGCGTGCATCTGTAACAGATCCTTCCCAGCCAGTGAGAGCGTAAGAGAATGTGAGGTCGAAGTCACAGGCGAAGAGACAATTTTGCGAAAGGAATCCTTTACAATTCCGATATGCAGGACGATCAAATGATGGGGGGTGAGCGTGGATGTGACTACCGTCAATCGCGCCAACAATGTCCTTAAAATAGGGCCAGAGCTTAGGGTCATTACGGATCTTGTGTGGGGCGTGGTAGGTGTCGTCAGGAGAGCGTACATGATTGGTGTAGAATGGGGGAGATGCGAAAATGGTCAACATCTTGCGGAAATATCTACAATTAAGTGTGAGCTCGTTAGTATCATATATAACAATAACAATTGACTTACTTTGAGATGGTATCATTAGACCGTTGAAAGCGCTCACCAACATGGCGGATGGTCAGTCCCGTAACACACGTGTATAGGAAGATGGCGAGTTGTTCTTCGAGGGAAACATAGCGCGAATTTGCATGACCCAAGGTGTGAAGTTCCGCTATAAGCGAGTGAAATACATCTGTGTGCATCCCAAGTTCACAGCGCATACGCTCTGGGTGGCCCAAAATGAGCTCCATGACCCACCCTTGACCTGAGAGGGCCGATGTGTGATATGGCTTGGGTATAGAGTCTTCTAGCAAGGACTCTGTAGCAGTAAGAAGGACGCTGACAACCAGTGCAATATGTTGGAGAATTCGTGCATGATCTCGCTTGGATGCCCGACCGCCTGGCGGCTGAGCAGCCTGAGCCAGAGTCAGCTGTTGGATTAATGGGTTGATGGCATCCATCAATACAGTGAGCAATGGTCTGATAGATCATCGATAACGAGTCTAGTACTACTGATATTCAATTGAGACTCAGTCATCGGCATCTACAACGCCGACATTATATAATCATTTCAAGGTGGCAAACTCACCTTACCTTGGGTTACCGAACTGGCTCTCACATTACCTTACTTTCAGACCGCTGCTGTCCGAGATTCGAGTAGCATGTTACCCTGGCCTGATGAAAGGTGATAACAAGGAGCAGCAGCTATATCTGATCTTTCTCTGGGCTATACTAATACTAGTATCATACTAGTAGTGATGCCGCAGAGGCGAATCAAATCGAGGCGATGATTATTTGCAAGTTACCCAGCAGATATCTATCTACATATTGTAAGAACGGACTCGGATTGTTTAATCCCGTGGAACCAATTCACGTCGACACCATGCGCTCCACCCGAACCCCTCTTCTGCTCCACTTTGGCTCAGGCATGTACTCCACTTCAGTTCCTTTGTGTTAAAAATTATAATCAGTGTCTGTCACAAGCTCGACGTGGGCGCCGTTCAAACCTGTGTTGGGTCAATGAACAACATGGTTTTATTAATGCGTCGAGGCTGAACGTTGCATCGCACACTGGACACTAGCAAGAATACTTCGAAGATCGCACGGGCACCGCGCCCAAATCATATGCGGCGTTCAAACATTCTTCGTGAGTCACTGTGTTGCGATCTCACCAACAACCCTTGATCCCATTGGTATCCCTGGATGCACATTGTCTTTGCACTGGAATGTGGGCTGAAACACTTCAATCAATCAGATATCATTCCTCAAATCTCACTTTGGCGATGTAAACACTGGATTATGGTATATCAAGCATGAATGCGATTGTTATCCGTCCACTAAGTTCCTCCGCTCACTCGCTCCCATCTTCTGATAGTATGACCTTTCTCTACTTTGGTGTATGTACCTTGTATTTCAATATTTACGCTTAGCAAGTCCAGGTTTTGCTGACTATTCTAGGTGCGCCATGGTTGAATGGGATATGCTGTGTACATTTGGATGTTTAAGCTATTGATGTTGCGCTCATTATCCATCTCTCATAATCAGGATATACATGCTGGGTGTGTATCCTCGCATAGGCTCTGTTTCTTTATTGTGATGGGCAGCATACAGTCAGTGTTCCAACAATTTCGGCGACTGGCACAGTGAGCATTCCACACCGATGCCTTCCATTCTTGTCCAACAACTGAACTACCATACAGGGGTGAGATTCTCGAACAACTCGTTGATTCAACATAACGACTCCTACAGTTGTGAGTTTGTTTCAGAGTCTGCGATCTTCCGAAGCTGATAATTTATGTTACTGGATTTATCAGGCCTTGAGGTCAGCGAGAGATTGTGGGAGTTGCGTGAGGTGCTTGCAGGTCAACTGGTCATCTGCAGTGGTCTGCAAGCAAGGAATGCACTGAGTGTGACATGAATTTACAGGTATACCTAGGTATACTTGTAATACTAGAAGAAGCATCGATCGGACTTCCAAATAAGTTGTGGCAAATTGGCAAATCTAACCATAACCTATCGTCCACCATACTTACGAGCTCAGAACTTCAGGGACTCCAAGAGTCGATACAGAAGCAGAAGAAACCCGGCACAGACGTCTAGTGGAGGACTGAATGGAGCTGCAGAAGAGATCCGCAAGATCGAGGACTTCTCTCGCTTCCTACTTCCCCCTTTGTTCTCCGATCTTCAAGATGCAGCTCGTGGGCCTATCATCATGCTCATTGCAAGCGGGTCGTCCTGCGATGTCATTATTATCCCACACAAGCAACCTCTGACTAGCATTCAACTCCCTACCAATTTTGAGAAATTCCAGAGATTGGTGCTCGCACTCCGAGAAGCAATCGAAAGAGGCCGGTCCTAAATGGAACCAACCAGTGCTGATAAAAGCCTTCAGGGAGTTGTGGAACGATGTTGTCCGCCTGGTGGTCGAGAATCTGGGCGGATTTACACAACAAGGTTCGCGAATGTGGTGGTGCCCGGCGTCTCTCTTCAGCCAGCAGCGTGCAACGGCAAGAAATTGGCAATTTCTTGCCATGCACGCTGCTGGCGAATACGGGCACATGGAGAGTCCCTTTCACAACAATATATCTTCATACACCCCATTGCTTACCGTGCTGATGAGGGCTTGCAAAAGTCATGACAGGTCGCTGTCGGTGTTCTTCGTCATCATTGGCCAGAATCGCCCAGCTGGTGCTTTATTCATTTTGGACAGTGTGGAGCCTGAGCTGGAATTGGTGTGGAGTATTTTGCCCAACTGTTTCTATCACCAAGATAATGAGCATCGATGCCACGAAATCGAAAGCACAGTGCGCATTGTGAAATAATACTTGGGTCCATTTCGCATGTCACGGGACACAGAAATTTGACGAACCCCTCAATTCGGCCTTTCTTATGCGCGACCACCCGCTTTCACTCCTTGATATTACCCAAATGGATCTCTCTTGGCATCAATTTGCATTTCTTTCGGTCTGTGAAACAGCAGTCGGTGTCCCTAGAACTCCCGATGAAGTGATACTGGCCTGAAATTCGCTCGGGTTAAGAGCATCGTTGGGACATTATGGAAGGTCAATGATAGTACTGTGCAATGCTTAGTCGAGGCATTCTACAAACACTTGTGCGGGGACGGCAAAATGAGGTCCAAACGAGCTGCCCGAGTGCTGCACCGAGCAGTCCAGTCGTTGGCCCGCGACGAGGACATGCCCTTAGACCAGCGCATAGTGTTCATGCATATTGGCGTGTGATCAATTTTGTGCGTACACCCAGCTTGTTGATTAACGTGTTAATTTGACGACTTCGGTAGCATCCAGCCACGGTTTCGTGCAGCTTGTTGCCAAGAAAATAAATTTCCATATTTCAAACTTCGGAACTGTATACCTCTCCAATATGTGCACCCATTTGTATTTCCCAGTCTGTTGCCTCGGAGCCAAATATGCCCGCTTGCAGGTGCTTTGTGGGTAACAATAGAGCCTAAAATTGTGCCATTGGTTTGAACATGAGGCACTGCCATCTGCACTACAGCTGAAGTCGGTTTGAAGTTCTGATATCATCGAAACAGTGTTGGGAATGTTATCATTAATAAATCAACCCATCAATATGGTACATAGTTGCTTTTCATTTGACTTACGCTCAGTCTTGTTCAATAATGCATGTTCGCCACTTGGCTACGTCGAATTCTCAGTAGCTCTTTGCGCACATGTGGTTCACTGGAAAGCCAAAAACAGAAGACAATGAAGACGGCTCAAAAACGCTACAAGTGTAAATGCACACTAGTAACTAGAGTAGTACATACTAACTAGTGCACCTCTGTAACACATCATTCAGTCGGACAACTGCAATTGTTCAGGCTCGGTGCTAGGTATAGAAATTGACAAGGAATCAAAGAATCAAACGGTACACTTGATGTTGCGACAGTAAATTTTTCTTTACATAGAGCTAGAGGTCCTGATGTTAGCAACTGCAAGGACGGGTGGTAGAGACTAAGAACTCACGCATCTCGGCAACTCGACCAGTGTGTCCCATGTGCCATGCGGCTCAAATCAAGCTCGGGATATCCTCTGGGTATCACCAATGAAGTCCAAGGAGTATAAAATGCATGATGGGAAGCCGGAGGTACCCAGAAAAGGAGTCGATTATTGGGTCCCATGATCCATCCATCAGCCTGCAGCAAGAAAGGGGATGAATTAGAATTATGGTGAGAGGTGGGTTCGAGCAAGTCAGTAGGGTTGGGCAGGGCATGTTCCAGGCTGGACGAGAAGGAAATGAAGTGATCATCGCTTCTTAGTCTCTTACTAAGTGGCACCCCAACTAGGACCCTGAAAAAAGTTCAAGTCAACATTGCCCCTACCAGCGTCAACGTCGCCCAGAGGCGACCTCTCAGACCCAAGCAACATATCAAGTACCCTCCTAACTAACATCACTTCACAGATATGTCATTAGAAGAACCAAACGAGCCCCAAGGCTCGAAAAGTAGTAGACCCAAACTGTCATGCTAACACCTTCTGCCCATCGAACAGATCAATCCCCGACCTAATAAATGACCCAACTAATCAAACCTCCGTCAGAGATGAACAAACGGCAAGAGCAGAACTAGAACAGAAGTTTTTCATAACACCAACCACAGAAATCACACTGGAGTCACTGACCACTGCGCTCCTCGACTTCTCTGTTCAAGCCCACTCCTTAATGCCCATGCACGTGGATGTTATTAGAGCCATAGCTATTCTCTTGTTTAAAACCGATCATGACCGTAAAGTTAACCTCATTTCCAACAGTATCTCCGTGAAACTAGAAGAACCCATTGCACGCCTGGAAAAAACTAGCCAACACCATCACTGAAAGGAACTCTGACCAAACAGTCTTACAAGCCACGATCAAAAGGGTCGAAGAAGCAGCCGATGGATTCTACAGCAGCATAGCCGATGTCAAGACACAATTGAAATGTTATCTCCGGCGGTCAACTCACTCAAGACCAAGATTGATAACTTAGCGACCAAAACCACATCCGTTCCACCTCAAATGATGGCAAATTGTCAATCCTACAGCGCAGTAACCTCAGCCAACCTCCCCCCTATGGTAGATCGAGCACTAGCCAGAGCAGCCACACGAGAAAGACAAATCATACTCGACCCAAACCCCGGCACTCAGATCTTCCCTCCCAACACACCCTGCTCTGAAATCGCAAAGAAAATCACTTTGCCCTCGCGATCATGGAACGAGAAAACACTCTGACTGGCAACATCAAAACTGTTCTCCCCCTTTGCAATGGGGGACTGATAGTCGAATTCGATAATGAGAACATAGCTCAATGGCTCCGTGGTCCAGAAGGGAAGGTTCTACTAACTGAACAATTAGGGTCCGCGACTCTTGTCCACGAACAAACCTTCTCAATAGTAGCTCAATACCTGCCCATCAATCTCCCCCTAGAAGACGGCAATCTACTATGCAAAATCGAAAAGGACAACAACCTCCTGGACAACTCCATAGCATCCATGCGCTGGATTAAACCTCCTCAACATCGATCCAATGAGCAAAGAAAAGCTTTTGCAATGATACATCTAAGAGATGCTGACACTGGCCAATTCCATTCTTAGAGAGGGAATATGCATCACTAATGAACATTATAACAGTGAATAAAGACAAGAAAGAACCCATCCGATGCGCCAAATGTCAGAAATTCAGACACATTGCACGCAACTGCAAAGCGACTGGGGACACTTGCGCAACTTGCGGGGGATCTCACTGCACATCCACTTGCAACGCCTACCGCACTGAATGCTGCTGTCAACTGTAAAACTCAAAATCACGCCAGCTGGAGTCGTTCATGCCCGGTCTTCAAGCAACGATGCAATGAACTCGACGAGAAGTTCCCCGAGAACAGGATGCCATATTTCCCTACGGAAACAGAATGGACTTAGGTCATACGCCCATCAAAGCCCCAAACCACAATCCCCACAATCAACTCCCCCCCCCCCCCCCGCAAAGTCTATATGCCAGAACGCAAAGCTCTAGAAACCTCAAACAAAGCACCCTTAACTTCTGCCCCCACCAACCCATCCTATCACCCACCCTATCCTCGACCTCCAACTTCTTCTCTATGCTTCCAAACGATGACCTTAGAACCAGACAGTGAGACCCCTGACCATCAATTTTAATGTTAAACGAACCTAACACTCACCCCGTCAGACTGAAAATCTGACAGCAAAACCTCAATAAATCCCTCGCCACACAAGAATCCCTACTGAACGGACGCAAACTCTCAGAATATGACATCATCGCCCTTCAAGAACCTCACATCAACTTTCTCTCGTAACACCCGTGCCAACCATAGATGGCACGTCCTATATCCGACCCATCATCATACCTCTCCCCAAACAAGAACACGCGCATGTACATTCGTAAATATGTCCCTTGACACTAACCACTGGAAACAGATACCCTTCCCCTCATCCGATGTCATTATTGTACAACTAACTGGACCCTATGGAACTTGTACCATCCTGAACATATACAACGACTGTGAACAACAAAATACGCTCCTCACGCTAAACGAATTCCTTGCACATAATATAGCTTCAATTCGCCCCACATACAATGACCATGTCCTTTGGCTAGGCGACTTCAACCGACACCACCCCCTATGGGAAGAAACCCGAAACCAACACTTATTTAACTATACTCTCGCACAACCTCTAATAGACTTAATCGCTGACTTCGGCATGATGTAACTCCTCCCTCTAGGCACTCCCACCCTACAATCCACAAGCACAAAAAACTGGACAAAACCAGACAATGTTTTCGGAACAGAACACACCATCGATGCTCTTATTGAATGCGCAACATACCCCTCTCAAAAGGGCCCCTGCACCGACCACCTCCCAATTATCACCATTCTAGAGCTCGAAACCCTGAAGACAGACTGAAACGCCTCGACGCAACTGGCGTGACGTAGACTGGACAGATTTTAATGATAAGCTCAAAATCCTCCTTTCCCCATTCCCGCAATACCCTTAGCATCTAATGAAGAATTTCAGATTGCAGCGAAAAGAATGACAAAAGCCATCACCGACACCATCGACCTATGCATTCCTCACTCCAAACCGAGCCCTCACTCCAAATGTTGGTGGACCAAAGACCTCTCAAACCTTCGCAAACACGTCAGTGGCCTAAGCTGCCTAAGCATATCAAATGCGAGCAATCCCAAACCACCCTTGCCACGATGAGCTCAAGAAAACAAGACATCAATATGCCCAGGAAATCACCAACACGAAGAAAACAGCACTGGATTGACTGGTTAGAGAACATGGAAGGTAATGACCTCTGGACAGCAAATTCGATACCTCACTTCAGCCCCAAGCGATGGGGGGAAAACTCGCATCCCGACCCTCACCAAGACCAACGCTGATGGAACGATCACCGAAGCTGTCCACCAATCGCAGAGAAAAGTGTCCTAATAGCTGAAGCATTCTTTCCTCCTCCTCCCCAAGTCAATACTGTACCCGCTGACCATATTTATCCAGATCCAATAGCCCCGCACTGGCGCATTACCAAGGACCAAGTCACCCGCGCAATCAGCAAACTCAGCGGCTACAAAGCTCCTGGACCCGACGGCATATGCAATATAGTGTTCAAAAATGTAGCACCATCCTTGTACCCTACCTCCTCCATCTCTTCAACGCCACCTTCACCTACAACACATATTATGACGAATGGTGTCAATTCACCACCGTAGTCCTCAGGAAACCAGGTAAACCCAGCTATGCGACGCCAAAAGCCTTCCGCCCCATCGCCCTCCTGAACACCACTGGAAAACTCCTCATGGCAATAGTCACAGAACAACTCGTCTACTTACTGGAACACCACAATCTACTGCCTAATACCCACTTTGGAGGACGCCCAGGCAGGTCCACGACAGATTCGCTCCATCTGCTTGAAAGCACCGTCAAACATGCTTGGCGAAACCACAAAGTAGCATCTGTGCTATTCCTAGACATAGAAGGGGCATTTCCAAACGCAGTTACGAAGAGACTACTACATAATATGCACATGAGGAAGCTACCAAGAGAACTAGTAGACTTCACGGAACACCTACTAACAAACAGATCAACCCGTCTTCACTTCGATGGATTCACACCTGATTGGATTCCCATCAGGAACAGCATTGGACAAGGCGACCCCCTCTCGATGGTCCTCTACATCATTTTATAACGCAGACCTAGTTGAAGTTGCGAAACCCTGTAAAGGT